TTAAGTTGATTATATGTTGTTTAAGTTGATTTCAAAATTAAATTCATCTTTTCTGAAATACGCGCCACATTCAAATGTTCAGATAGTATAAAATTATCATAACCACAATAGACCCGGCATCCATCAGTTTGCGTTGAATCTATATACAGTACCGTGCAGTAAGATATACAATTTCACTTTTTTAATCATAACTTTCTGAAAAGTTGACCAATCGATCTGAAATTTTTGGACAAAACAGATAGTGTGTTTCCAAACATAATTTATTCATTTTGGGGTACTATAGACGCAATTTTTGTGTTTTGGACCTTTTTTTGCGTATTTTCAAAAATGCGATTTTTTTTAATTTTTAAGTTTTTTCGATTTTTTTTTAGATTTTCAATGTTAACATCAGTTTTTTTTATTTGTTTTAGCAGAAGACGATCAAAATGATCAAAAAACATTCTATCAGACATTTTAAAGCAATCAAGGATGACCGAGCACAAGGTCTTTTCATCCAATGTCTATCACACCAGTTGAACTCATCGACTTGGACCATTTGTGGATGTTTGAAACCTCGATCGGATTCCAAACCACTTGGAAATCCTTCCAAAACATCCCCGGCAATCAATCGAACAATTGTAAGAATCAGCAAGAGCAACCCACGTCTATCCGCTTCCGAGATTAATCGGCAACTGAGTCAGTTCTATCATGTCAACGTAGATTTTTCCGAAAAACCATGACTTTTTTTCATCAAAAGTCCCATACAGATCAGCGTTGATACTGTCAAGCGTCGTCTACGTGGTTCTGGATTATTTGGACGTCGGTCTGTCAAAAAATCTCTCCTTTCGGAGAAGAAACGCCGCGCCTGTTTGAAGTGGGATAAGGAGCTTTTGAATTGGAGGTTTCGACAATAGTCAAAGGTCGTATGGAGTAATGAATCGAAGTATATCTTGCTCGGAACGGATGGTATTACCTTTGTGAGGTGTTCGGACGGCAAAAGATTCGATCCAAAGCATCAATTACCAACAGTGAAACATGGAAGAGGAAGCGTGATAGTTTGGGGATGTTTTACTGCTTCTGGAGCTGGCCCACTTCATCGAATCGAAGGAAATATGGATCGATTTGCGTATAAAGACATTCTCGAGAACCATATGCTTCCGTTTGCAAAGTCTTTGCTCGGTGTGGATACTTATTTCAGCAGAATAATGATCCTAAACTTTTCTCTCGCTACATCAAAGAGTGGTTCTAGCAGCGTCGGGTGGCCGTCATGGTCTGACCAAGCCACTCACCTGTCTTGAACCCCATTGAACATTTGCAGGATGATCTTGGTAGACGTCTTGGTGGTCAAACTGTACAAAATGTGTCGAAATGATCGAGCAGCTGAGGAGATCATGGATGGATATTCCAATTTCAACCCTCCCGAAGTTGACGAGGCCATGGGTCTCCGATATCAAACTGTGATCGATGCAAATGACATGTCAACAAGATATTGAGTTGTTTTAAGCATCCTGACAGATAATTGTGGTTTTCCATTTTATTTCAAGTCGTTCCGGTATCAAAATTATTAAAGTCGGTTTTTCGCTATTATGGATTTTCTGATTATTTGTCAATAAAATTTTTCCTAATGTGTTTTGCACCTTCTAATTTTGTTACATAATCACTCTATCGATGCTTAAAGTTGTCCAAAAATTTCAGATCGATTGGTCAACTTTTCAGAAAGTTATGATAAAAAAAGTGAAATTGTATATCTTACTGCACGGTACTGTATATATACATATATATAATCCTTTTCCGAATATATAAGTAATCTTTTCCTATATAATAAGTAATCCTTTTTTATCAGTACATTGTAAACCATCACGACTTTTTTCCAGCATTTGGATATCACGAAAAACCATTAAATATATGAATTTTCATTTATCTACATAATTTTGTATTGTGATGACTGAGCGTTGACTGGAAATTCAATTTCGCAAAATTTGTAATGAAGTGGTAAATTTACGCGTTGCCTAAATATTATATATATTTATTTTATATTACACAGTTTTTTTGTCTGACAAAACCAATTTATTAAAAACTTTATTTAGTCGTTTGATGCCTTCTAACAGCATTCACAGTCCAGGCATTTTTGACCACCCAAATGCGCGCCATTGTGTCACCCTCATTCATCACGCGAATTAGCGAGAATTGGGATGATGCGTCATTTTTCTTCTTTGTTTTTTTTCTGACAAATATTATCCATTGATTTTGGTATAAACACTGTGACACCGAGAGTGTTGCCACTGTTTGTTCCCACAACTTTTAATCACTCGCAGTACGTCACTCCCATTATACATCGCCCGAAATTTATAGCGCCTGGCGTAGCCGTCGATGACTATTGTTTTTGCTTCCATTAACTGAGTTTTTCTTGTTTATCCTAAAGTGTTTCGCGTGGTTATACCAAAGAGAAACTATTGCACATATTTGATTAATGAATTCTCTTTTATTATAAATATGTTTTTCTTCAATTTTTTCGAAAAAATAAACTACTTTGGTAATATAAGGTGTTTTTACATACGATTTTAGTTTAATAGCAATAATTTGTAAAAAAAAATATGAACATTATTTCTTTGGGAGCGTTTCAAAACGTTTTCACTACTAAATTCCGTTTGTACACACCTATCTATTTCCTTAATATACAGTAGAAAAAATGCGATTTTAAAGAAAATAATCTACTTAAAATAACCTACGTTTATCATATATATAAGTGTGTTGTTTGAAATAATCAGATAATTATTTTAAATTTCATTAATATTTGAAACAATTTTTATGATAGATATTCAATTTCAGGATATTCAGCTGACAACGATCACTAGCAAAAATGAATACTAGCGGACTCAACGAACCAGCGACGGCAAATCTCAAAGTACTTAGTTTAATATAACTTTACAAATTTCAAATTCACCCAACGCGATTCATATTTTCAATTAACTTTGTTTCCATGAAAATAAAGTAATCACTAAGCTTAAAAAACAGCCAAAGCATCGCAGTTAAAAATTTTTTTTGAGCCAAAAAAAATTCGCCCTATAGAAATAATAATAAAAATAAAAATTTTCAGATTTCGCTCCCGCTCAACGAGTGCTACGATTTTATTTCTGCAATGCCTGTTTCCCCATCAATGATATGCAACGAACACTTTCTCTCCGTTCGAGGCGTATTAGTTTTGAAAGATATCGAAACAAGCACATTGAAATCACTTGCCCTTTGTAACAGTTGCATTGAAATTGATTCGTTGTTTGGTCCACCGTGTAGGTATACTGAGAACCTTGCGCAGGCTGTTTTTATGGCGTATCCCTTCAAATCGGTAATAATCGAACGGTTCAAAATATTTTCTAATTTTTAATTTTAAGCCATCTGCTGTCCGATATATTCAACGTGTATTTTGTATGAAAAGTGATTCCATTGAGATTTCAAATGCGTCGGAGACGGAAACGAAAATTTGCGTAGTAACTAAAGTCTTGCGATTCATAAATACATAGGTACCATTATTTCAGCTTCGTGAATCCCAGAATAACGTTGCTACATCTGAGATGAATGACACGGAATATCTATTAGGCATTTCTCATCATACTACCATTCTCACATGCAAAATTCACGAGCAGACGTCGAAATATGGGTTATTGCTGCGAAGAGGATCTGACGGTGCCCACAAATTTTCGATGGTCTGCGACAAATGTCAAGGGATTTTCCCAAAAATTATCAGACAATTTTCACCCACAGATATATAATACATGGGTAATTTTTTTAAAATTATTTACATTTTTTATATTATAGTTTTTACAGAAGTGCGATATTCTGATGACTCAAAAGCATTTCCAATTTATTCTGCGATCTCTTTCAAATCGACGTTACCAATTAGACTCTTTGTTAATCAATTCTTATATTTTTCGTTATATCTTGTCACAACATGTGTTTACGGTGTAAATAAAATGCGTTTGTAAATTTCATTAAAGATTAATACCTATTATATGAATGAATCAATTGAATCACTTGGTATTGAACAGAGTTGAACATATTACTACTTTGCAATTTGAAAATCAATTTTCATCTAAACATGCTTCTCCAAGTTTATCATTAAATTCCGTAGACATCAAAAAATTTTATTTTACTTTTTTACTAGATTTTTTTGTTTAAATTTCACCAGTTTTTTTTTACATTGCTGAATGCACTTTTCAGTTGGTATGGCAGTTATTACTTAAAGTTGTGAGATTTTTTGACGTTATGATTTTATTTATGTAATTCACTTTTGAAAAATTCTAGTTATTTGGTTGATTCTTATTTTTCTCGGAGAAATTAATAATACTACGACATCACTTTTGATTCAATTCTACCTTTCAAGTGTACCTCGAACTTGGGTAATTAAACCAACACAGTAAACCTGCGATTACCTCTACATAAAACAATGCTACGGACATTCGTACTGCCTTTTAAAAATTCTCGTTAAAAATTCTTTTTACAAAAATGTAGATTGACCAAAAAAGACATAGTGTTTTAAGATAGTAACTGTTAATCTTCACAACCTTTCATTCACATGTAAGGGCAATTTTAAACTGTTAAATATAACACAATTGTACCTCAAGCAATAAAATGTCATAACAAAAGATATCGTCAAAATTGGCATGCGTATTTCAAATGGTGAGAGATCAATTATCAATAACAAACGTAATTATGTGTATGGTTGCAGTGGTATATAGTATTGAGGAAAAGATGGGTTCAAAATTAAAGAAAAAAATTTGCACGCTTAGTGCTTAAATTGTGGTAAATTTACTTATATATCAACATGATATTAAACTATATGTATAGCACTTTTAATATCACAGATATATTCCCAACAGTTACACTTGAATCACGAAAAAATAAGAATACATTTTTTTGCATTTATATTAATGATCTGCTTTGCGGTGTCGCATCAAATCTCGAGTGTTTTGGAACCGACAAGGGCAGAATGAACACTGAAATATCTGGTATTCTGGGAATTCTGTTCACACCAAATTGACCTTGTAAAGTAGAGGCTCGTATTGTGGCATTTTGGGCTCCTTGCTTGTAGTAGGAAGTAGGCGTACACTATCGAGGCCAAGCTGCAATGGAAAATTTTACATATTGATTAGGGCAGAACGGGTCAGTCTATGCCATTCTCGAATTTATTCGACCATTTTTCATTCTATAAAATTATCACTGTTTTTTTCTCATTAAAATTTGCCAAATTGTTGCTTAAAAAAGTCCAAATAATTTATTTCTTCATAAATTATGACAAAAATAATAACGCAAAATTCTATCTATTATGAAAAACAGTTTATATGCACATTTGTTGCCATTTTCAGGCTATCTATAATTGTTTTAAATTGAAAATAAAAAAAGGAAGAAATGAAAATCATTTTTGATTTTTTTTACAAAGCCAAAAAATGCTTCACCTCGTCAACTTTTTTCTTCGCAACCATAAGGACTTTGATGCCCATCATCACTTTTTCCGAATCCTTGTTTCCCAATTCTCGGCATTTTTTGATTTTTTCATCGATTATGCGAATTTTCTCCTCATGATGCTCTGATGCTTCTGCCAAAATTTGATTCATCGTTGGTATCGCCAACTCAATTGGCTTTGTCGTTTCCTTTTTGGCGTTTTTGTGAGCGCGTGACTAAAACGTTAATTTTATTCTAATCACATTCAATGTCTAAACAACACGATATACCTTTTTTGACTTTGCTTTGCCACCCATGACCTGCAATTTTTTTATTTTACTCATTTACGGTTAATAAAACTTTGGAAAAACAGGAAAAATCATTGGGGAATCATATGAATTTGTGCGAAAATAATGAATAAGTATAAGAAGGGAATGATAATCGTTTCTTTTCGTAACGAAACTGCTTCATATGAGAAAAGTAGATGAAATGGAGACGCTTATCCGACCACATGATGGGCTGTCATAGCAACACTCGATGGAGTGCAACCTTCTAATTAGAGTAACGTGTGTTCGTTACAATTGTGTGAGGTGACATATAAGGGAAATCTTGTGCGCGATTATATTCTATACTCACGGACGATATGCTTAATATATGAAATAATGAAATAAATAAATGTCACGCGCTCTTTTTTCCAGGCAAAAATCAGCTCGAAATGTAGCTACTTTGAAAATACAAATAAGAACGCTATAATGTTCATTTAGAAAAAAATGGGGTTTTGAGAAGCTAGAATAGTGGTAAATAAAGATTCATTTGGAAATGTCACGTAGGTTTATGTAAATAGGAAATAATCTATACAGAGCATGTCCGAAATTTGAATTTTTTGGTTTATTAACGTGTTTAAGAACAAAATGAATCAAAGATTGACGGATAAAGGTTTCGTACAAAGTCTTCAAGACCAAAAAGAAATGCGCTGACCGGCGGCAAATTATTGTTTAAATTTCTGTGGCCCGTCAATTTTAATTTATAGCCGCCCCAAACTTGCAAATTTTGAATCGCTTGCTTTATTTTCGTTTTTGCGTTTCAAAAACATTTATTGTCATTCATAAAAAAAGAACATTTGTGAAGGATTCAATGATGCAAAATATGATTGATGAATATCACCTGATTCATTAAAACACATAATTTAAAAGAAATGAATAACAAAAAAGTGATTTTCGCAGAACTGTAAAATATAAAATATTTTTATTTTATTATTATTATTAAAGGTATGTAGCATTTATAAAAATTCACAATCGTTAAAATTGAAAAATTAAAAATATTTCAAATAAAAATTGCTATTACCAATTTGCTAGCACCCATGAAAAATGTCAAAATTTGATACGTATAAGGCTTGAATTATCTGACGATTATTTTCGAAATTATCTTCTACAAAATTACCATATTCGTTTCAAACTCTACCTCTCTATATCAATGTCTCGAACACTTCGAAATTTTGAATTTTTTTTTTGTAATATTTTACTAAGCCAGTGAACGTGAATTGTTGTCTACATTGTACCAAATATGTTCGTTTTTGTTTTGTGTGAAGATTTATAAATTCGTCCAAATTTATCAATGAAAATATTCTAATCAACTAATTATTTCAATTTAGTTCATTCTTTGTAGCCATTCTTTTAATTCTTTAGACTTTCTTCGTTAATGTTGAATATAAACAGTGGTTTATCAAAGTGCATACACAAAGTGTTGTTGGGTCAAATCGACATTCGCGCGCAAATTTCGCGCGCGTCTTTTTTTTTTTTTTTTGAAAAACCATATGAGAGGACACCGCCATTCATTTGTATATTGCTCACCTCTTTGTTGGCGTTCGTAACTCGAATTCTTCTTGCTTGTCTGTAATTTTTGATAATATTCTTTAATTGTTACAGGGTATATCTTATATTTTTGTTTACTCGCCAATATGAGTTCTACTGATTCGCACAACAACGAGTCCACTGAAACCAAGTAATTTTGAACTAGCGAAGTGCAGTATTGATACATTTCGTTTAGATTTGCGTATGTTGTCGATAGTTTGAGTGTTACTGATGCTTCCATAGTCTCCAACAGAGATTGCAAGGATTATAAACCCGAACATTTGTAAATATATCGGCATCGGTTAAAATATATGTCAATGTTCATTTCCAGTGTGATGCCGCAGATTGTGCCACAACAGGGAACTCCTCAAAAGTTTGTGAATCCCTTTAAATCACCGAACACAACGCCTTCCAAATCACCAAAGTCAACGCCTTCCAAATCACCAAAATCGACGCCGTCTCCATATAAGCGAATTCGTCGTAAAAGAGGAGGCAAATGGCGTCGGTTGAGCGTCGACGGTTCAGGTGCCGAAACCGGCGATGATGAAGCGAACAATGACGATAATATGTCTGCTCAAAACACTCCTGTCAAAAGCGAATCAAGAAAGAGTAAGCGAAAAAATGTTCAAATAAAAAAAATATGGTTTGACTTTTTAGAGCAACTGAAAGTCAGATTTGCCGAGGATAACATCAACAAAAACCAGCAGTGATGTCGTCCTCAAACTTATTTTATGTTTTGCATTGATAATTATCCTCTACGTGCCTTTAATTTATCTAGACCAATCAAAATAAATTGTTCATGTAAAACAAGTTCAATTACATATTAATTGCATTTTAATGGATCGAGGTCCATTTATATATGTATTATAATTGATTTCTTTTTTTTTTGTGCAAACAGGAGATTCATCATGTTTTATGAAAATCAAATCGAGAAAAATATTTTTTCTAAAATTTTAGAGGTCTTAGATATGTCCGGATCTCAAATTGTCGAGCAATTCAAAGAACAGTTTTGCAATCAAGGAATGTCGTAAGAATAATGAAGAAAAAGACATTTTGAAATTGATTTCTTTTAGCTCCGAGAATGGCGCCACCGTCATTCCACAATGCTCATCGTTGGCTTCTGATGTTGTGCCACCGAGACGATTTTATTGTACTCCTTCACCGTGGCATTTTCATTTGAAATCTTCCGGTCATAATTACTTAAACAGATTGACGCTCAAGAAAATTATTTATCAAAGATTCAAAAGAAAACTGGAGCAAAAGAAGTTGAAAAATGCCAAGAAATTGTTGAATGCTCGTAAGAGAAAGGAAAACACGATTCGAGCTCTTCGCCGTGAAGTTTCCGCTATCCAATCAAACAAGAACCTGCATCAAATGCTATCCGGTACGTTTTTGTTTTAAAAACGTTAGAAGAAAAAAAAAACTTCACGAAGTTTTAGTTGAAATTCATAATATGAATTCATAATTTTTAGCTACAAACTTCTAATTTGAGTTGACTGTATAATATTCGTCTGATAGTTCATTCTCTCTCAAAAACAGATTTTATTATATACTTCAAGATATCAAAATATCATTTTACATAGTAATTAATTTAGCAACGATATTTCAATTATTTTTCATCTTATAGATAAAGGACGTGTATCATGTGATGCAGAGTTGGATTCTTACCGGCGTATCCTATGTGAGGAAAGCATTAAAAATTCTCGTTCCAATCTGAGTCGGTTGAAAATGAAAGTCGAGAAAAATGATGACACATTTCTTGGCACGCTTGTCCGATCAAGCAACAAGGAAGTTTCGGTTCAGAATATTGAATCAAAACAGGATGGCCAAGATAGTATGGAACTATTCAAAACTACCGAACACGAGGCAAATGGTCACAAGAAGCGTCGTCGCAAACGTGCAGGCAGGCGTATTCAAAAACTCCGAGAACTAGCGATGAAGGAGAATAATGACAACGTGGTTATTAACTCACTCTAATACAGAAACTAAGGTTAAATTTTTCTGATTACGAATGTAAATATAATTTACCTTTTAGATTCATCAACATGATTAATCAGCTACCTATTCCACAACATCTCACAAAATTCAAATTGTATCATATTGTACCATTTTATATCAATATCATATTTTAATACGAGATTTATTCAATGTATTATATATATATTAGGAAAATGTTTGATTTCAAAATATATTGGATGCATTTTTGAGAAATGTATGTTTTGTCCCCTTATATTTTTGCAGCAGCCCATAACTTTATTTTCAAATTGACTATTGCTAGGAGACCCCTCCTCCCTTCCTCCCACTCCCCTCTCTTCCTTCCAGCACAATTCATGTTCAAATGGTCGTATCGTGATGTTCTGAGCATCATTTACTTAATAGAATAAAGCAGCATTCAATAAGGAAAAAAGGTGTAGGCTTCCGCAATGTTTCTTTCATAAATGTAATGATTTATTAAAGAAGTTTGGCGCGGTCTCCCTCCAATGTTTTCGGGATCATTAATGCGCTGCTGCATTTCTTGCAAGCTTACTTTTTTTCGCGAGGGCGTCTATCAATCGCATCAGAATAGCTTAGCACACCTATATATAGAACCTAGATTTTCTATTTTAGACATTGGATAGGTGGGTTAAATATACGCGGCTTTTAGCCGAGCGTTTGCCAAAATTTTGAACCACTTATGCAATAGGCAACCTACAAACAACATTTTTTAAAATGTTCTCTGATAATTGGGTGGGCGAAAGGCAAATTAGTTTAGTGCTCTCAGTTCTTTTCTGACATACTTTTAATTTGATTACCTTTCTTTTCGAAACTAAAATAAATGAAACACATTGCCCCCGCCGCGATGATTCTTCATATGACATCTGTAAGAACAATCGCGATCATTTCTTACAAATGACTAACGTCCTTATCAATCGTTTTATATGATTGCTTCAATTTTGGCCCCAATTAAATAATTATGTAATCGGATCAATATCGTCTTCATTCATTGTTATCATATACGGAAATGCTAATTCTCTGCAGACATCAATCACAGATTTTTTGCTCTTTTGTTTTCTGGTTTTAAACGAGAATGAAAAACAATGAATTAGTGCGTCTAAATTTGGCTTTTGCTTGATTACGAAAGTCTCAGCACAAAAACAAAAAATTAACATGAAAGTATGTCATTCGTTCTCATCAGAAATGATTTTTCTTCATCCCATTGCCACAAGTGTTCCACTTTTTTGGTAAATTTATTTTCTCAATTGAATTCGCAAAACTCGCAATTTTTTCAACAATTCCATCAGAAATTGTCGTTGTTTTTTTTTTCTATATTTTTCAAGCGCAAAAAAACCTTATTGTTTGCGTCCTGTATTGAAATATGATGAAGACATGTCGAAAATTCCATTCTCAGTTTTCAATAAAAATTGTTTTCCGGCTCATTTGCCGAAAGGAACGAGACTGGGAAAATCCTTGAAAATCCAGCCATCCGCCATCTCATTATTCACGTTGATTTTTTTATTATTCTAGAAAATTCTTTTGAAATTTGTTATTCATTTCAGAGTTCTATAATTTTTTTTTTTGATTTGAAGAAAAAAAACATTCGGTTGAGGGACATGTACCAAGTAACCATAAACCAATGGTAGATAATATGGAAATAGCCGGACATTGTTCAACACAATAGGTTTCACAAAACGTTTTGTGATCATTTTATTTTCCAATTTTTCACACATTAGGAAGAAAGTTATGAGCTCAAAAATCATGAGAGCCCATCGTTAATTTGAGAGTCACTCTACGTTAAAATTAAATAATTGTCTAATTAAAAAAAAAAACATATAGGGTGACTCGACTCTGAACAATCAATAAAATTTTCGCTGTGATAATTAAAATTCTGGCAGTTTTAATTACATTTCTATATAATAACATTTATTTTCTGTAATAGTACTTTTAAATGTTGTTCACATCTGAAAATTAATGTTTTTTCTTCTTTCCCAATTTTTACTGTTAATCAAAGCGTGCTATAGTTGATACCTAAAATTTTTCGAGTATAACACCAAATAAAACTGAAATTCGCTGATTATTTATTAAACAAATATTACAGTATAGAATTGGGGATTTGCATTTCTGTTTACACAGAGATGAAATTTTACACATTTTCCATCAATCTATTTCATTGTTATGGTTTTCCGTCAAATTTTCAGAAATAAAGTTTTTTAAAGGTTTTGCGCAGTTCTAAGAATGCACTAATAATTCATTTCGATTAAAAGTTGACAAATCAACACAATACTGTTTATTTGTTTTCTGCATTTTATCGTACATGCATTTATATATTTTAAGCCAAAGGATAAGCCAAAGACTAAATTGAAGCTTTCTCACTAATCAGCCATTTGAAACAGACAATACTATTTTTTATTAGACGAGCGATAAACAGATGTCAGCGAAATAAGATCATGAACTCTGTTGTTTAAAAAAAAATGGCAGAAAAAATGAGAATCCTTTGGATAAAGATCAGAAATTATTTTAAAGATGTTCTATGTTATTTCTTGTAACTTATACTTCCACGAATCGAGCTTGTTTTTATTTCCGTCTCTTGACATATTTGTCTACCTTCTTTATAAAATTGAAATAACTTTTCTAAGTAAAAGGTTCGTTTTACATCAATTTCCAAAAGCATTTCACTCGAATCGGACGTGTTTCAATGAAATGAATCTATGTTATATGAAAAATTCTTTTTCGACATGCTTCAGAATATCTTTCAAAACATGACATTTTCAGCGATAATTGTAACTTGCATGTTTTTTACGAAACCAGAAAAAAAAATTGAAATATTGCGGACACTTGGTGTAAAGATTAGTGCAATATGTTCCGAGATAATGGCATCGCAAGCTCTCGGCGGCAAAAAGACAATTAAAGCCACCATGTTATTTTCATATAAAACAATGTGTTTCACTAAATCATTGCTTGTTAACGAGATGTCAGCCAATTGGCGTCGGAGGCTAGCAGTTCGGGCGTTCTTAAATCATAAAGAAGCTCACAGCCACACATTTCACTCATTTTCGTTTCCTTTTTCCTGTTTTTTTTCCCCTTCTTGTCTTCTCAAACACGGTTTTTGCTGTTTCCCGTTTGGCTTTCCTTATTCTCATTTCAAACGAATGCCAACTATTTTATATATTAACCAATTCCGTGAGCAATTAAAACCGGATAAGCGAAAACGATGAAAGAAAAATGATTGCTGAAGGAAACCCATGTATCTCTATTGTGATAGCACTTTATCATTTGCCGGCCATTTATTTAGATTGTCATCGAGGTCTGTACAAATAGCCAAGATTGCACATCCCTTTTCAATTTTTAGCAACTGTGTTTTTATTTTGTGTAGAGGTTATGCATTTGCAGAGATTAATAAGTGCAATTTATATATTAATAATAAGAAGACAAAAAAAGCAATTTGCGGAGAGATTAATATTTTAATAATAATAATAACACGACTTTTTAATATTAGAGTTGCTGCCATTTTTAGGATGCTCAGTTTAAACATATGTAAAATATGTCGATTATTCGAACCATTTTTTTTTCGACAAATTCCCAGTATTTGCACCATAATTTGCATTTAAATATCGTTTTGGTCACATGCGGTTGCTCGGTTTTAAATTGGATGCACTTGGAACTAATGAAAATCAAAAATCGAGGAAAATGTTGAATTTTTTGTGACTGTAATAACACAAATTCTGCAAAACAACAATATCAAGGAAATTAATTTTTCCATTAAAAAAATGTGGCACGCAAGAAAAAAGAAAAAAAAATAGCGTGAGCAAAAATTGCGAAGCGGAATAATGCATTGTTCTTCTATATTAGGTGGCCACACCGGAAATCGTTTTATTATTCGAAATCGGCTTTTTTTTGTGCCAACTTGTGACGACACCTCTTCAGACTCACATGGCGTGGTGTCGGCTTACACTCTTCCATTTTTAATAGACATACATGAAACACATTTTGTTTGATCTCCAAAATTTCATTGGAAGATTCTTGAATGGTTTGCAAACAATGCGGGTGTAACAAAAAAGTTCAAACCAAATTTGTTTTTCTAAATTCAATATCCCACCATTGGCAACCGAATTATAAATGTAGTGTGACTTTTTCGGAAAATTTTGCTCTCTGTGCATCTGTTTTTTCCACAGATGAGTTTATTCCTAAAAATTGCAAACAGCCGAAACCGAATTTGTAAAAAACTTGACCCGCGAAAAAAAAACGAAAGGATAGAAATGCAAATTGTTTATTTGATTTTTTTTCAAAACACTATTTTTCACCTGCTTTGTGTTTATATACAGATAAATCTGTTTTTTCAAAGTTCAATAGTGACGTTCTTAAAAAAATTTAATGGTTTTATTGCTGTTATTTCACTCAAACGTCATTTGAAGAAGTCGAAGAGGAATTGCATTTTTTTTGCTCAAGTTTCTTTTTATCCTTTACGTTAATTCAAATCTATTTCTGGATCTTTAATTAATAGTAAAATTCATTTTTTATTTCAATGTCGAGATTCCTTAAGATTATGGCACAATGCCTGTTTATATGAGATGTTTCCTGCAGCCGCCGCCACTGCTCTTGCTGCTGCTGCTCATGTGAGTGCAGTTTTTGTTTTCCAAGATTTTTTGTTAGCCTTATCTATAATTAACGACATGCTACTCCATTATACTTAATTGCACATTGCGAGCAACTATTAAACACCATCTAATGATGAGAGACAGAAAAATTGAGGACTCAAAATTCGATGAACGTTCTTTGAATGTTTCAACAGGGTTCACGATGGTAATTTCTGAAAAGTTACCTATTTTCGTGTGTTCACTTTGAATTCCATAAATTTCTTAACTGCTCCACTTATTTCACTCACTCCTTTATCGTTTCTATGAAATTATGGCTACCGAATGTAATTCGAAATTTTTGGAATCTGTTTAAAAAATTTACAATTTTTGCTTCTGCAGAAAAAATCGACCAAATTCCCATTAAGAAGAAATGTTTTGATGGCGCATCGCATTATCTAGGCCATTTCTATACCCCGGATTTTCCATGTGTCGATTATTTGCTTCTACATTATTATTCTCAAGCAATTGGCTATGCAGATGCTCATTTTCCAAGAAATCCAAACCTTACCATCCAAAGTGTAGAAATCGGTTTTAATTTTTGCCACGCCTCCAAGTTAAAAATTGATGCTCAAGAGACGCTGTAGGGAGGCCTATTTAAGCATGAAAATAAAATTGACCAGGGTGGGTTCTTGTAGCGGTTTTTCAAACCAATACTGCAAAATATTTTTCAAAACTTTTTGAGCGCCTAAAAATAGTACAAGTCATGTTTTGAGAACTTAAGAACACGTTTGCAATTTGTCTTCTTTTTTGTGCCATCCAGCCTTGCAAAAAACTGTGTATTTGATTAATTGGAATATGTTTGAGCGCAGTTTCTTTCTGCGAAAAACGTTTAAAAAAATTTTCATTTTTCTACTTGGAACATTCAACTTTTTCCCCATTCCTATTGTTACATTTGCTGAAATCTTCCTAGAAATCCGCTAATTGGCAGGTATTCAGAATTGAATAAAAATTGAAAAAAATGGTACTAGGAGAAAAAGGAGAATGAGGAGGAGGAGTAGGAGAAAAGTTTATTCAGCGAATAGAAAGTTCAAAAATTACGCATTCACATTTCACACGCTCGTCCGTGAAGAAAACCGCCACTTACTGATATTGGACACAAGGCACTTGAAATTTTAAATTGTGCATTTTTTTTCGTGAAACCTTTTTCCTAGTTGCGAATTTTTTAAATAGTACATTACCTGCTGAAATAAATTATTACAGCAGGTGAAGTGTTCAAATCTAAAATAATCTGAACACAGTTCACTGATTAAGATTCCATTTATATATATATGTTATTTTTTCGCAATTCGCAATTGCACTTTTCGCGTGCTTCTTTTTGAACTGAAAAAAAACAACAACAAACTCCATATTTGGTTTGTGTCTAAATTTGGTTGAAATTGGATAATGTCTCCCTTTTGCAAAAAAAAATATTTCTTCTCTTTGCGTGCATAGTTTAAACGCTACCGTATGTCACACATATAAAAGGCGAATGACGAGATTTCTGTTTTTGCATGTCACTGAGTTTTATTCAAAGTTTCCTGGTACTTGTTGCCCAACCTTTGTTTACTTTTATTTTCAAGAAAAACAACACAAGAATTTCACTCCCAACAATTTTTTTTTTTCAAAATGTATGCGTGCGTGTTTTTTTTGATAGATTTTTCCTTTTAGGAAAGCCAATTAAATTCCATACAAATCTACGCGCGGATTCTTCCGTTTTCCTAAGCAGTAGACTATTAGTGCACGTATTCCTATTTTATTTCGCTTTCGTATTCCATTTTATAATAATAATAATTATTTTGTTTGTTTGCTGACGATTGAATGAAATAGTCGAGCAAGCAAGCAAAAAAAAATTGCCGCCGGCTCATTAACCGAGGTTTCTAAATTAATAATTTCAAAGGCCACGAACGCACCCATTCCTTTTTAAGCACTACAGAACCATTCATATATCGATATATTGCCGCAAACGGTTGCCTGCCTCGCCTAGTCATGAGCTCGACTGGACCAGGACTACGGTAAGTGCATTAACACATTAGTAATATGCATTCTCGAATAATGTATTCGACTCAATTCACACAAAAGACCCACCGTATACCAAATATTATTCTGCTCATATAATAGGGCAGCGGAAAATGTAATGAGCCTATCTCGATTTAATGAGATCATGAGTTCAATATGGTTGAAAGAATAAACAAAAATAGTGTTTGCGTTAATGAATGTGAAGCAGAATACCTACTTCAAAACATGAAATGTTTGGAATTTTATCTTAGGTTTATAATTTGTTAAATAATATTTTTCGATGAGCTCAATTTTTATCAGAAAATATAGTAATCAAATATGAATTCGGTTCCTTTCACTGAAGCCATCCATACACTTATTTTTTTTTATTTCGCCAATTGGTAGTGAAAAAAAATGTAACACTCTCCGAAGCCAACTACCCCCGCGAAAATCTTTCATTTAAAATTCCGACTAGGCGGCCGTGTCCGTTATGGAAAATAATATATATTTCCAAACTTGTCTCCTTACAACAGTTATCATTGTAATATGTAAGGCCATCAAATTAATTTCCGCACACACAATAAGCTGTTATTTCGAAGCACTGGTGAAATTTTTCAAAGCGTCATCATTAAAACTATTTTTTTTACATATTATTTCCAGAAAATGAAACTTTTACGTCATAAATAATAACAAGATTAGTGCCAAAATTACCGAAGCATCAAAAAAACATAACAAAAAGCATCTGGTTAGATTCTGTTCTTTCTAGATTAATCAATTTTGCCAAAAAAATTGTAAATACTTTTTTCTAATGTAAGGTTTTGATAGAGTTATTACTAAAATATCGTTGACCTTAATTAACTAGACAAATTTTGCGATTTTTCGAAAAATGTAGTAATTTTTGTAGAAAACATGAACTTGATTTCGAGGTCTGGAATGAGGATATTACATTTTCTTGAAAAGAAGCCAAAAGCAATTTCCCATTTATCGATACAGCAATCTTGAGTTACATTTCTATTAATCAGATTAGACATGCATCGAACATAGTGCATTGTGCACGGCTTTCCATTTAAGGCCAACATCCCTTAGCACAGTTTTCTCTCTCTCTCTTTCTCATTGTCGATTCTGAAGAAGTCGCGTCCAAACTCTTGTTTTGGAAGGCCCACACATTTGGTTGACTTTTTGACTCTTTGAGTTGGTTGTTTATTGCTGAAAAGAGGGTCATTCCGTTTGCAGCGCGTGGACCTCGTATCCATTCAGGAAGAAGGACCATTTCACAAAATGGCAAATTCCAAGAAACATGAGCATTGTTAAAATTCGGTGGCTAAACCCAAAAAATCTGCAATCCCAACGATTTGTTTTATCACCATTTTGATTTGACGTTCTCATTGCTCGTTTTTGTTCGAAAAAGCAAACAGAAGTTGGGGGAAATTTCATTCCAGGAATCTTGGGAATCCTGAACACAGTGTGCATAGGTGCACACCTACTACTAGCACGGTCTAAGTGTGGGAATCAAAACTATAGTTCAATATCGCTAACAAGGTAACTTTTTTCGGCATGTCCTACTTATCCATCATGCTTTTTTCTTGTAATTTTTCGTTTTATCGCTAAACATGAAAACGCTATAATCGGTGCACAAAACCAACATTATAGGTCTCATAATTATAATTATATATTCGAAAATTTGCGAAAAGTTCAGGTCAAAATTGCATGTTTTGAAATTCGAGCGGCACTTTTAAGGAAGGATTTGACATTTTTCACTCGATTTTACGACTTTTCGTTTGTTGAAACAAGAAACAATTTTGTGCAATTTTTTCATTTTCTTAATCATTGCAATTTCCTACATCTTTTTTTTTCTGCTGACTACTTCCCTGGAGACGGCACTAAAAATGCGAATTTCAAGCTTGCTCATTTTCTTCTAAATGCGGTATACGGCTGAAGTAAACCATTAGACTAATCCCACCATAATGGCTACTATGAAATTTCCGCAAAAATGCTCTTCTTGCGCTTCCTCGTCCCATGATTGCCATAAAACTTGGGAACACTAAAAATCAACTAGTTTGTGCCGTCCACATCCCCCTTGATTCACTACTACATTTAATTGAGTTGTCTTGTATCGTCCTTTCATTCCGTGTTTGTGTGCTTTTTTAATGTTTCTCGCAATCTCTATAGTCGGTCGATTACACAAACACAAATATACGAATGCGACTCCATTTTGCACTTCAAACCTTCTCAGTTTAGTTCATTGGTTTCGCATTCGAGAATCAACTGAGACTAGATTAATCGGACTAGAAATCAATAGAAATAGTTCAAGCGATTCTTGAATTATTGCCGCTCTGGGAATCAATAGAAATAAATCTAAACAACAATTTTGTGGATTGTATGTATGTATAATTACATTTACATATGAGAGCAGCTACATTCATAAATTTTGTAAAAGACTAACCACGTGATGAATCAGAAGACTTCATTAGCGGAAAGAAAAACGCATTTTACTTTTTTAATAAAATTAATAATTAAAAAAAGGTTTTTTAACGCCAAGACAAGATGATAAAGCTATAATTAAGCATTTGCAAATTATTTGAAAAAAATCTGTCTTTGCAAATTTAATTGTTTTTCTTATTTGTTTGTAAAAAGAAAAAAAAGCAATGAACTAGATTCTCATTAGAAGAAATTTGAAGGCGCATCACGAAAATAACTAAAAGCCTTCGAACACTAACTAGGCGACATTTTAAAGATGGAAAACAATATGAAAACTAAAGAAGTCAAATAAATTGGGCCAAATTTCAAATGTATCCCACTATTTTCTTGCTTCATTTGCATTTTTTTGTTTGAATGAAGAACAAACTTTGTAGTAAACCGCAAACAAAGACATGCCGTGTTTTTTTGGCTTTTAAGAGAAGGGAAGTCGGTGGCAGGAAGAAATTTGAAAGCGAACGCGAATGTGGGCAGAAAATTTTGAAGCCCTTTACATATTCTCACAACCATTTTTTTGTGTTTTATCCTCTATAAATATGAGAATCGAATTTAGTTGTTTTCAGAGGCGACGCACTGATTAAAGGAACCATGCTGGCGGCAATTATGCTGAATAAGACATTCGCGGAACAAATTGTGGTGCTCGAGAACGGTAAGAATGTAAATGAAAAAGAATATATCGAATCTCTAAAGAATTTATCTTATGAGAGCGATTGAAATAAGGGCGAAATAGATGAAAAATTCCGAATTTGCTATTTTTCTACTTCGAAAAATGATCTAAATTATTACAAATGCTTCTTGATGATATTCCATGATAACATTATAGATTTTTATTAATATACTCTAGAAAGCATACAACATTTTTTTTAAATGCATCAGGAGACTTTTTTTCGAACGTTAAAAAAAATTAAATTTCAGCCAATCTTATGTGTAATATATTAAAAAGATTACTAAATTCAATCTAGTTTTAATAAGTTTTATGAAATATTATTAAGCTTTGCAATCTCTTGTAATATTTCAGAATTTTCAAAAAATTATTCAAATATTGTAATATTTTAGATCGTTTTCCAGAGTAAAAGTTATTTTCTAACTTCTAACGTCTTGTTCCCTCTAAACGTACTCGAGAGGGGCGATCAAATGTTAGCCAGATGAGTGTACACCCGGGTCAAACAAGTTTTACGACCTAGCGGGTTAAGCCAATGGGAATTTTCAAAGAAAATTTAAAAATCATTACATTGTTTTTGATGATCTTAAGAATCTCAATGGTAACCCAATGCTGAAACTCGCATGCTTAAACGCGGATGTTTTATGATATTATTTTTTTAATGAACTCTGACTTGGTGTTAATGGAACCCGACATTTTGCACTTGACAATCATTGCCGAGGTATTTCACACGACAAAAACTAGGCCGAATTGTTTTGATGTGTGATGATAGCTGGCACAAGTGGCATCAATGACCCGCTACTCAAATTTTGCTGAGTGATGACGATCTTTTTCTTTTTCGATTCTGGTGGATTTCCTATTTATATTTTTACAACGAAACCCATTCGAACAGCGGTTTACCAATATTTATAAATTGGCCAGATTAGTTGTTTTGACGAAATTCGAATCGAATTTGAAGCTTAAAAATGCCATAGATTGTTTTTTTGCTTCAGTCTTTTTTTTTTCAAAAAAAAAAAAATATGAAAACATACAGCACACAAAAAGAACGCATTTTGAATAATTCAACCAGTTTTGTCACGTGGTTTTTGAATTTTAAAACTTTGTTAGCTGGCTATAAGATTTCTCCCTCCAACTTCAAATATTCCATGAAGATGTGATCTCTATTTTCAACATTTCATGATAATAACATTTTTTTTACAACAATACGGATAATTACATTGAAAAAACCCTGATTGAACTCGACATTATGGTATCTATAATATAAACAAGTAGGATAAAACCAGCAATTATCATCTTTTGAACGAGAGTTTCGTGCATTTCTTCCGATTAAAAAATGCGCTATGCAAGAATTTAAATTGGTCCAATAAACCTCGTGTTATATTGTTTAGCATTAGCTCATCAAAAACCACTTGCAGAAATAGATATCAATATAAAAAATGTAGGAAATTGTTTTATAAAACGGAAATATGCTTTTTTCAAAATTTAACATAATCTAAATAATCATGAAACAAAAAATAGATTTTTTTTTAGAAAAAAAAATAAAGTCCTGAAAATTTTCTCTTTGAATGCAAATATTTATCTAGTTATGACAGCGGATTTTTTTCGCTTACATTGATGTGACAGTCGTTTTCAACATGTGATCTTTTGCGTTTGTTTTACCTTACTATCACACTACATATAAACCTCTCGAGCTTATTTGAATGGTTGGGTAAATAATTTCAATTTTGTTTTTGCATTTTTTCTCCCCAACTCCATTTTCGGCATTTTTTCATAATGTCGAATTCTGGCGGTATTAATTTACACGGGTCTTGGCAAAGGTGAGGAAAAAACAACGAAAAGGGGGCGTCAAAGAAAAACTCAAGAGGGGAGGGCGGAGCCCGGCGAGGCAGCGGCTTTTTTTCGCGCGAGCATCCCCCCCACTAGAACTTTTTGAAAAACTCCGCGTTTGAGTGTGTGTGGTCTTCACACGACGTTTAATATTCGGCTGTCATATTATAACGGTTTCAATGTCATATTGAAACTTAGCCTCAAAGGTTGCTTCCAAAAAGCCTGTGATATTATTTTATGGTTTTTGTGCAACATAACTAATCAAATATTCCACCTATAGACACCACGCTGATCGCTGCGGCGTCGTCGTCGACGCTGAACGTGAACGTTGAGAAGCTTCTCGGTAGCGATGCCGTTCCGCACAACATCAACGGAGTCGCGCTTCTTTTTCTGCCGATTCTTTGCCTCATTGGGCTCATCGGCAACTTTCTCGTGTGCGTTGCTATCGCAAGCGATCGACGTCTTCACAATGTCACCAATTATTTTCTATTCTCATTAGCGCTGGCTGATTTGTTGGTGTGCTGCATCGTCATGCCGCTGAGCATTGTCGTCGAAGTTCGTCATGGTACGTTATATTGTTTATCATAATTGAATTCCGACATTAAAAAAAAACAAAGTCTTATGAAATTATTGATTTCTAAAATATTACTGTGTTTGCTTTTGAAAAAGCTATCAATGTGTGTTTTTGGCACTTCCCCACAGCTCCCTAATAGAAAAATTGGTTAATCAGAAAAACAAATATATCTTCGAAAACAATCAGCGATTTCATCCTGAATGTATTAAGACGAGAACAATAAACAAAAGACAATTAACAATGAGCCCAATGGTGCCGAAAACAACGATTCTACCCATAAATAGCCTTAAAATTGAGCAATTTCCCACCAATTTTCAGGTGTTTGGACATGGAGCGTTTCAATGTGTCTCCTCTACGTTTACTCGGATGTTTTCCTTTGTAGTGCAAGCATTGTGCACATGTCGGTTATATCGCTTGATCGTTACCTTGGGATCTCACAGCCGCTTCGAACCCGAAATAAGAGTCGATCGTTGATTTTTGTGAAGATCGCAGTTGTCTGGATGGTTACCTTATTGGTTTCATGCCCAATCGCTATTCTTGCAATTCATGATACCTCCAACATCCTTCAAGACAACCAGTGTATGATCTTCAGCAGATATTATATTGTATACGGCTCAACGATGACATTCCTTATTCCATTTTGCATTATGGCTGTCACCTATGTGCGGACTACAGCGCTTCTCAATAAGCAAGCATCAATACTGAGCCAGAAGGCCAATGATAAATTGAACGGAAATGGACTGCGACGGACAATGCCACACCGAAAACTCGGATATGTGCGAACCAATTCGGCAACCGTAACACTACCGTATCATAATGGAAAGCCGTCGCCGATTGGAATTCCACCGGATGCGAAGTGCTATCAACACGTGATGAATGGATCATATAGCGATATTAGCCGATTGAGCACCAATCGACCGTCGATCAATGGACGACGTAAGTCATTCGACAAGGCTTCGAAAATTGATCGCTGGCGATATCGGACATCAACGTATCTAACAAACATTGCGCTTAAGGTTGGACGTCGCAGCTCTCTTCAAGTAAGTATCCTGTTTACTCAGACGTTTATGTCGTGTTTATTTTTATCCAGCAACACTGTAATTGTTTACGAAAAAGTGTTTCAAAAAGACCAAGTGTTCAGGACTCAAATTAACACAATCCTGAACATTAAAAATAGAAAAAAATAATTAAAGAGAATACTGTGTTTAAAAAAAATTCCACATACGAATTATGACAACTTCTAGGCAACTCTAGTTCTACGTGGTCATTCGTGGATTCGAACATGTAGAGCAATGAATTTATTCAACGTAAGTCGTCAAACCTACTGTTTTGTTCACAAAACTTGGTTGAATGTTAAGTTCTAACAATCCCTTTTATTTGCTGTCCGTGTTCGATCTTCTTTTCTATCTTTTTGAAACACTTTTTCTGTTGTTGAGAATGCCCACAAGTGCATTTGCGATAATTAATAATTGACAATTTGCAGACTGCCAGTCAGGAGTTGGCTAATGAGCATAAGGCAACACGCGTACTTGCTGTTGTCTTCATCTGCTTTTTCATCTGCTGGACACCGTTTTTTGTTGCCAACTTCATTTTGGGATTCTGCGGATCGACGTGCAATATTCCGGCATGGCTTGGCTCTCTATTCTTGTGGCTTGGCTACATTTCAAGCACCATCAATCCGATCATCTACACGGTGTTCAACAAGCGTTTCCGTCAAGCATTCGTCCGAATCCTTCGCTGCCAATGCTGCCATCCATTGAGAGATCCGCAGGCGCATTATTCGCGCAACTTCACAACTACAATCGTACCGGACACTTTCACGTGGTTCGTTGTTCTTCCAAATCCTAGAGATCACTCATCATTTGCACTTTTATTGTTATTCTAAGAAATCGTAAAACAAAAAGAAGTTGGCATAAGAATCAAACTTTGGGGATTCCATTTTACCCTCAGCCGCAATTTTGTCAAACCTTTATAGACATCAAAAATCATTGAGTAATTTACCGACCAAAAACGTCAGAAATCGTCTACACATATTTGAGTCATAATTTGAATGGTCCTCTTTCAAAAAAAAACATTGAAAAAAAAAATACAAAAAATAATCTAACCAGCTAGTAGCAAAAATATGAAGGATAGTTTAATGTTAGAGAAAAATGCTAATCCTTTGAATTTTTAAGTGCCGAAATTAATTTGCATTATTATATTTAGGATTTCAAAATTCTCAGAAATTTGACATACCACAAAGCTGCCAAACTATGACATTTTTATTGTTTCCACATGTGGGAGAATTTCACACCATGTTCTCGAAATCTTGAAAAAAGTAAGAATAAATCTGATCATATTTCACTAATTAGTCTATTAGTTGTTATCGTCTTGCAGAACTTTCTAGATTTCCGGGCACTCTGTTGATTTATTCTTTTTCTTCTCAAACAAACGAAGAAGCGCAAAAAAAACTTTGTTGTTATTGTTGTTGTCTTTGACTTCTTTTTGCTCTTCAATAACTTGGCACGAGGATGGGGAGGAAAATGGGAGCGAAAGGTGTGCGAGCAAAATCGACCAGATATCAAATTTCGAAAGGTAGAAACGTTATATCATCAAGATGTGTTGTAATATTGAAGTTCTATGACGACATATGAAAATATTTGGAGCAATACGAAATGGGGGGTTCAACATTGTGTTGTTGCAGGTCGAACAATGAGCGCGCCACATCAGTTATGATCAAGGATGAGACTTTAGGAGGACGTGTGATTGCCAATCACCGCATCAGAACAAAGAGTGCTGGAGAAAACTTCTCAAAGAAGGTGATTAATTTTAATCGTTGAAAAATACATTTTCTTCCGAAATAGACGATCCAAGTTCATAGAACAACATTGATTCCACTTAAACCAGTATTTCGTGTTTTTATGTTTATTTGCGCACTCCCACTGAGTGCAATCTCGAGATCCGAACCGATCCTATCATTTATAAACGAAGGAGGAATCAAACTCCAATTTTACAACTGTCACGTACAAAAAATAATTGCTATTTCAGACATCGCTTCCAGTCCTTCCAAAAACTACAATTCCACGTGAAACCCGTTCAACCACTGAGGAAACTACTGCGACGACCACGACCACAACCACAACTGATGAAGAGAATCGTCCATTGCTTTCAAAATCAATCATGCCGCAAACCACCATTCGCAAATCCTACACTGCCATCACAATTGAACCATGCCCGGTGTCGACGTCATTTGCCATTGACATTGATGAGCCGGGACCATCAAACTCGCAACCGTGCGTTGACTGCCGCAAAGCTGATGATATGATTTTGTCTGATATGACTGATATGACGAATTCCACTGTTAGCACTGCCTCGAACTCGAAACACTTGACCTTGTTCAACTATTTCGACGGATCCATGAAGGAAACGTTCCTTTGAAAAATCCGATAATCTCTATTGAAATCACAATCTTCGAAATGTTCCTTCCATTTTCTTTTTATTTATTATATGCTTCGAATTGATGTTTCCCGTTCCAAAATCTCGGATTACGTGTAATAACATCCAAATAAACAAAATAATCATTTTCCAGCAATTTCACCGTGTGTTATAGAAATGATCGACGTCCATTATCAAACGAATTATTTATTTGTATTTGTTCTTTCTTCTTCACATTGCGCTTAATGAATATAGAAATATATATTGTATGCCCTTTATTTCACTTTGTCTTAATATTTGAAGCCATACTTCTTATTGCAGATAAAGTTCGAAAACAAAATTTTTCTATGAAACTTGATCTAGTTTTGCAAAAGATCAGTTTTTTTGCAAGGACTTTTACTGGCCGATGACAAAAAATACCCAAGATTAAACGATTCAATCCATGAGCAATAATTATATATATATATATATATGACAAAAATATGACAAAAAAGTTATTGTTGGAAATATAGTTCAAAAAGCGTTGGAATTTCGAAAAATAAATTAAGATCGTCGAAGATTATGGGATGAAATATGAAAGGAGCATATGTCCGCAATAAATAACCCGCTCTTATCGTGCTTCTCCAGCTTAACGGTGCCTAAAATAAAAAAAAAGCTCTCCGACAGCCATACATCAAACAGCGTGACGAAAAAACCTTAATAATGTGTTCATGAAACTCGCTCCCATTTTTCAAATGTTGGTTGAACGTTCTTCCGTTTATTTTTTGACAACAATTATTTGTTATTTCTGGCCACATTCATTTTTTTTTATGTAAATGTGTTGTGGCAGTATGCAGAGGAACTCGAGTACGTCCATAATTCAACAGGAAACTGATTTGTAGTCGGCTAGGTCAAATTGTGGCAAAAAATTTCTCGAGTTTCATCGAAGGCACGCGCAAAAAAGAAATGCCGTTTGTCATATTTGTTCGCACAATTTGCATTTGTCATTTTTGGCGTCGTCGTTTTTTTGCACATTTTCGTCAACGATAATGGATTTGAAGGGACTTCCTGAAAAAGACGATGAAAACCGAAAGAAATGGACTATTGTACGTGGGATGACAAAATAGGCCAGCTTTGCTCTTTACTTCTAATGCACCTTGCTGGCGACTCGCAAAAAAAATGTCATTTGAAATATTCATCAACGTGCAATGAACAAAGACTACGTGCTGGGGGATATTTTTGAAGAAAAAATATACATTTTGGTGGGCGGAATGAAAAAAAAAAGGGAGGAATAATTAGATGTGGACAACAGTGTAACAAGAGAAATTTTTATTCGAAACAATGGCTATTAAATTAGTGGAGTTGGTAAATAATTTTTAGTTGTCAAATTTTCGAATTTAATTGAACTACCGAGCAATAGCATTCCTAATAAAATTTGGTGGATGTTCCGTATGAAAACTAAAGAGCATTTGGGATATATGCATTAGGTAACAATTAGAAGGTTATTTTTGTCGGCTACAATGTGATTTTTTCAGTTTTTACTACTATTTTATAAATACAGATTTTGTAATTTTTATCATAAATTTATATTGTCGGAGTCAAACGTCATGACGAAAATTTGCTGGCTCTATGCCAATGCGTCTCGAGGTAGTGAGAAGTACGCGAGACTGCTTATCAGGGCTATGTGGCAATGGAAATGCCAATATTTTTTGCCGATTTTTCAAATTGCCGAAGAAACATTTCGTTCGGTAATTTGCCGAATTGCCGATTTCCGAAATTGTATGTCGGCCTTTTTTTTATAAGAATAAAAAAAGTTGTAATTTTATGTCGAATTCTGATGGATACCATGGAAATTCGGTATTTATGTTTCGAATTATCGTTGAAAAAATTTTATAAACAAAATGCTCATTTTCAGTAATTTGTCGATTGACGCATTGCCCTGCTGCGTACATTGCATCATAGCATATTTAATATTCAGTCAACGATAAATTTAATCTACACTGATTATCTGCAAATTTGGAGGCCCCGCTTCGTCGCTTGACGCCGACAATACGAATGTATAAATCAATTTTCAACACAGTGGGAATTTTTAATTAAAATGGTCAAAAGGTTTTGTGATGTATCGTCTCAATCGATATAATATTGCCACAAAATATTTGCGCTATTGGGTCAAAGGAAAGAAAATAAACGATCAATTCTTCAACTTCCTTGCTCCGATCTGTCGACCAATATATTACTGCAATGGCAGCATGATGAATTGACGTGGCCATAGAAATGAATTGCAGTTATGTAGCCATGAAAACGTTGAATTTCTTAATTTTTGGGGAAAATTTTAAGTGAAAACGATCATCAGAAATAGTCGTAAATTAAATGGCTTCAAGATTTTAATTACCCCAGAGAATTGTATATAAACTTTTTTAGAGGTTTTTCATTGTCATTTTACACCTTGTTCTTTGAATTCACTCCATCTGGGTATACTCAAAGAGGCCAATCATCCAAATTCAATTTCGTCGAAATTGTTCAGTTTTTCATTAAATTGTGCCAAGGGGGAGGAGTTGGTATTCGTTTCGGATATGCAATCATCCGGCGTCGTTGCCTTAATGAAAAACCTTTTTAGCTTCAAAATTTGCGCGTTTTTTAAGCGCGCCCTACAACGTTCAATCTTTATCGCTGCCGTCGCAATATGTGATATTTTTTTCGATTAATGTAAGGATTGCGAGAAGCCGCAAAGCACTTAATATAATTGAATTCTGTTATCTTTGCCCTTACCATACCAATGCACCGCCCAATTCGATCCCACACACGCCTACACAGTCGCAATATAAAATCTGAACGGTTAACACTTTCAGCAATAATTGACGAAGTCTGATATTGACTGAAATTTGTCTGAACTTTTCCCAATCGCTTTACAATTCTCAGGTATTGCGCGAGAATGCAGCTATGCCCGAATTGTAATGCACTTGGGAAGAATTCAAATATTTATTGAAAAAATATTTGTAACTGCATCATCACGGGTAATGTTGAATGTTTTCGGCGATTCCAAATTATTTCACAACTTTTGACATTGCTAAGTATAGTTTGCTATGTCACATGCTTGTGAAATGATTGGGGAAAGCTGGACAATTTTTCCTGTCATTAATGTGATCGTTTTTCGGAACGCATCATTAGCAAATACTACTGAAATATTTTTATACGTGATATTTCGAACATTGAGCGAAACTTCACGAGGGCGTATTCAGCAATTGCTAATAATAACTGTATCAGAAGGTTGTTCAATTTAAAAAAAAACCATATAAAGGACTGGCTTATCAGTGGAAATGCGGTCATACTGTGCATTAAGATAACATCGGGGACAATTTTCGCATTTTTCATCAACTACTATTCAATTCTGCTGCTCCAACTGTTTCTCCATTTGGGCCATAGCTAAAATCAAGTATAGCTATGGCACATAGAGGAGAAATGAATGGAGACAGCGGGAGCTTTACTCGTTTTATCTATTTGTTAATAATTGATTTGCTACATTCAAAATATACTTGAAAGTTGGAAATGGTAAATAAGTAAGTACAAAGAATAGTTGAAGAGCACACTTGAAAAATTGAAAACAGTCAAATAATTTTTGAGGGTCATACGTTCCAAGGGACCATTTGTACTATTGAGGGAATTTGGCAATAATCTTGAATTAATTACATATGATTGCCACATTAATTAAAAAAAAACTTATTTTTGAATAATTTAATTTGGCTAAAAGAGCTGAAAATGTCTTGATCGTGTTTTACTACGTGTTTTCTGATTAAAAACCAACGGAAATTTGCACACATTTCTTTCCGGAGAAATTTTCTTTTCAAATTCACATCATTTTCTGATATAGTATTAAACCAGTTTAAATGTCATTATATGTTTTAAGATTTGTTTCTTATAAACTGGGTTTCTTAAAAAATTTAATTAAAAAAAAATGCAGATATTGCAGCTTTGTTTAACATTAAAAACCGGTTCGTTTTTAACTATTTACTAGATTGATTTTCATATTTTTTCTTTCGGATATCCAATCTTTGAATCTTCCTTTCATAAAGTACTTTCAAGAATAAAAATTTGATTCGACGACCATAAGGGGACGGTGACGCAATTACTGGTGGCTGATAACTGATATGAGTATCTTTTCGACAAATTTCAATGAAATATTGTTACGCCAACACATACCAAATTTTGATAAGGGAATACCCCTCTAAAAGTGCTGTCAACGAATTTCCAAACAATTACATTTTGTTTACTTTTTGATATTTGACGTGCTCTCATATGCGAGAGAAATGTAGTTTACAAAGCAAAAAAAAGATTAATTTAGATTTTTAAAACAACGGTAATTAATAATAATCATAATACTTCAATTTTGTGTAAAAGGAAAACTTGTAGAAGATTGCAAATATCGTGCGAATGTTGTAATAAAAAAGATTCGCTAAATTATTCGTCAAGGATGAACGTCGTCATGGGAAGTAATTAACTCTTTCAGAATATTGTTTATGGAGTTTTATTAATGCATAGATTCAGAATTTGCAAAATTGTGGAAATGTGACAAATTTGATGCTGAAAATGTATTTCAACTATTCTACACGTTGCTGAATAGGCCCATCTCTGGGGAGTACAAATCATGGTTTCAAATAGGGATTAATTATTTCTAAAAAAAATTTCTTATCAATAAAAGGGCTAAACATAACAAACACGAAATGACACTATACAGGTAAAAAACGAATTCGAATTACTGGTTAGAATCTTTATAAGGAGTTTGAAGTTTTCTGAAGGTTATTTCCTAAAATCGATGAAATTTCATAAAATTTTGAATTTCAGAATTCATCAATTTTTTGGAAAACTAAAAGTAAAATAATATTTTCGTATTTTACAGTAATATCATTTTCTATTTAGTTTGCTAGTCCACAAAAATCTGTTGATTTTTTTTCGATTTTCTATTTTTAAGATTGACCATTTTATGAAATGCAATATTGATTTTGTTATCCTTATATTAAATTGGATGTATTATTAAAGTAAATGGAATTTCTCTGCTGTTATTAAAATGGAGTCAACGAGTTCATCGTGATCAAAACTCGAAAATCCAAAACCGGGTGTTGATTTTTCCAAGCAACATCAAATGAATATAGTGAATTCATCGAATTCCGTTAAATCGAAGCCAATGTGTGTCTATGTGTATGTGGCATTGTTCAGCCCAAAGTGGAAGACAAGAAGAGGTTTCCCATTACCGGCTAGCAGCGAGCTGCTCCTATGTTTGTCCGCAAGCCGCAACTTGTCTTTGCGTAGACCTCGAGAGACCCCCCAAAAAAAGAGCCCACACATACAAACACAGTACGAAAATGTCAAGCTCGGAAGGGTGCTCTCCTATGTGCACAATATCCTTTTCAAATATTTTTTGGTAAAGTATGACTAATCTCGATTTCGTAGCGCTATTCATTTTCATTCATTACACTTTTCATGGAATGATAACAGTTGGATAAGATACATACTTCAAAAGTCAAGCGTTCTCGTATTTCACTTTACATAATTCGATGTTTTCAAATCTATCAAAGGTGTTCAAAACTGAATAATAACAAGGATAATTGCAATCTACCTCTTCCTCGAAGTCATCGTTATTCAATTCGTGGACATTGTTCACACGCAATTAGTATCTGCCGATTCCCGACCTTTATTTCCATATTTGGTCGAGGAATTGTCGAGACGAAACGCTGAAGTGAAGGGATAAGAGGCCTCATATGCGCGAGCTTCTTTTATTAATTACGCGCGTTTCAGAATTGCAAGCTCTCGACATTATTTATTGGGTTGGCAGCGGCGACATTATTACCAGCCGGCATGTTTGTTTCTTTCTTATTCGCGATAAACCATCTCGTCGAATATGGTAGTTGTCAGCGGCGCCGCGCGCCACCCCATGAGTAGGCGGGGTTTCGTTCGTAAGCGACATTCAAAGTCATTTCCATACCGTTTTTGGTGACCAAATGGCTCGTGTTTAATCCTTTTTAACCTCAACTGCCTTTTTTTTTATTTTAAAGATTTGCATTTTCCTTCCAGTCAGTCAATAAACTGTTTTTATATTACTCTAATCTACATTATTATTTTTTTCATAAACAAATTTTTTAAGACCAACATAATTTTTTGGTTCCACATTCAATTATTTAGCTTCTATATTTTTGAGTTTCCCTCCCTAATAATTTTATTGAGCATACTCATACTTGATCAAGCTCTTGACTTTTTTACGCAAATCTTGATGATTCAATAGAAGATCAAATGCCAAGTATTTGACGCGTGCCAAGTGGATCTACTAGATTGTCAATTTTCCTGTTCACGCAACCGTTTTTTTGCTATTCCTGCACGCGCTCCGAAATATTGTGCGAAGCGATGCGATGCATATTTCATCTACTCGCGATCCATTCGTTAGGAGCTCCCGCGCGGTCTTACGCGCGCAAACGCTCCGCCCACTTGAAATGCCAAGCTCTTGGAGGTTTTTGCGCGCAGCGCTGCGCGGCCCCGAGCAAGCAGTCGCCGATGTTGTATACCGTCGACCACCATTCCCAAACACACTCCACCCCTCAAAGCAACTTGGCCGAATTTGAAGCAAATTTGTCGATGTTTGTATATCCGCGTGGATTTTTTGTTCTCGCTATTTTCGTTTCTTGTTTGTCGCTATTTATTTTTCGAGATTTTTTTGTATGCGGACATCGCATATTCCACGCATTTTTGTTGATCTATTGGACACCCTCATCTTCTGGTAATTTGATAGTAAACACATTTGAAGTTTTTGCGTGAAAAAAACGTTCTCCATTTTCGTTTTGCTCAACAATTCCGGAAAATCTACAAATGATTCATTTTTTCAGATGAGAGGGTACATTTTACTTTGCCTCTTGATTCTATGCTCGAACGCCTGCCTATTGAAAAACGGGATGAGTTCGGTATACCTGTCGGCATTCGAGGATTTAAAGCCAGGTAATTTATTGAATTTCCCTTTCATCTCGATAGGGAGAGAGTTTTCATTTAAAAAAAAACAACAAACGATTAGCGAAAGGTAATGTTGTGTCATCACTTGGTTGAATTTACAATTGGCAGCGTGAAAGAAGGTGTTTTTTTTTTTGTAGTTAGGGGTTCGCCTACTTTTAGTCGGTCGGCTGTAAACGCTTTCTTCCGCATCGTTGAATTATTCCATCTTAATTTACACAATCACATTTGCTAAAATGTGTTCGAAACAGAGGGTGGAATGAAAGGATGCAAGAGGAACGCTGCCATCAAAAACTTTTAAATTGTCTTTGAAGAGCAATTCAATTTACTTTCATTAGATAAAATAACTCGTGAAAATGACTTCCCTTCGACACTATAATCCATTTCGTTGCCTTTTGAACAGCAGAATATCCCTTATTAAGTCACTACCGAAAACCACAGGTTTGTTGTGGTCCCCGACAATGACTAATCCGCAACCCAATGCCTAATCTTATACTAGATCATTAGCATCCCGTCGTTGTGGAACACAAGGGTGTGGGGGAGAACTAAACGGATTTAGTTGAGCCAATTTTCAATGTGTTTATTAGTTCATTTTGCGCGTCCGTCACACGTTTCTCGTTGTCAGCACGCGTGTTGGCGCTAACAACCTTTTTCGGAGCGATGGCGGTAGTTCGTTAAATTGGTTGCAATTGGCTTTCGGTCGGCACCAATTTAGATCAAATAATCGCGTTTTGAGATAGTAGCCAAAACTGGATGAAGTTATTAATTTCAATACGTACATATTTGAGGTTTTTATAGGCAGCGTTATCGGCACCCTGCCTTTCGAGGAATCGTCGGAGACTTCAAAAGAGAACGACGTCGAGTTGCATGTTGTCAAGGGCAATAATCTTGTTGAAGTGAAGCCGGGGACACATGACTTGGTGTTGAAAAAGCCGCTTGATCGCGATGAGGTAAGAATAATGGAGAGTTAATAACGGAGGAAAAATGTCAGGGATTGAAAAATCTTCTAAGAATAGCCTCATTATTCTCAAATAACGATAATAAAAGAAAATTCAATTTTTCAGTTTTTTCATAATTTATATCATTTCATTATGCTATTTTCCGATTTAATACGCTATCAATCAATCAGAACAATATCGCATTGATTGTTTGCTTGCGAATTGTTAATCGCGCGCTAAACTCTACATGTTTATCACCATATTTATCAACTTCTTATGTCCCCCAGCCCCCCCCCCCTCAACCCGACAATCGTGATCATGAAATTTGAGAAAGCGCAAGGCTCGAGTTGTGCTCGCTGAGCATCGTCGGTGTTGACAAACCCCATTATAAGTGGTTAGCGTGTAAAACAAAAGCACCGTTGCGGGAAAATGACCAGCTAATGGACACAGCACGAGAAACATTCATTGCATTGTTTTTTTTGTGTCGTTGTTGTTGGTGCTCCATTATGCAACAGGAATTAAGTTGGTACCCTTAGCAGTGCGGAACAGAGCAGAAATGAATTATTCAAGGCGCACTCAATGTATTGGGTTTCGGGTTTGGTATTGGGGTAGTCTAGCCTGTTACATGCCCTACAAGTTTTATGATGCGAAAGAGTCATTGAATGCGGCCACGAATGCGATCATCTTGTTAATTTTAGGGAGTCGGCAAATTTGAAGCCGTCGTTGAATGCAAGTCCTCTAATCTGGATGCCGATTTCAGTCAGGTACGAAATCCAACAACATATGTGAAAAGGAACATGTTTGGCAACGGGCGATATCATCAATCTTAATAGATATTTGTTATAATTAGATGATTAATGATGATTGGAAACTGATAGTGGAACATGTTTCATACAATCCACTAAAACTCGCATGCAAGAGGGATATTAATCAGTTTTCACGTTTCAGTTGAATATATCAGTTTTTGTGACAGTGAAGGATGTCAATGATAATGCTCCAGTATTCGATTCTCCTGAATATAACGTTGATATTAAAGAGGAACTTCCAACTGGTAAAATTGTTTTAAAATCAGTTTCTCAGTCCATTTTAAGGAACTATCGTCTTTACTGATTTCGAAGCTACCGATAATGATCAACCTGGACCTAACAGTTTTATACAGTACTCTATCGTCCCTGGACCTCATTCAAACTATTTAGAGATTCCTGATCCTTTCAAGCCAGTAATCACCATCAAGGTTTGCTTCTCAACAGCAACAGCTTATTTTCTTATTTTCATAATGTCCTTGTTTAGAATCGCATTGATTATGAAAAGATAAAAAAGTTCACCGTGGAAATTGAAGCAAGGGATCAAGGCGAGCCAAGTTTGGCGTCGCGTGTTCCTCTTCACGTTACTGTAATTGATGTGAATGATCTCGCACCAAGATTTAAACATTCTTACTACACGGCGAAATCCCAGAAAGTGAGTGTGAGAGGGAGCGACACACTGAGAATTTTCTTGAAAGAACTTCCATAGTATTGAAACGTATTCAGAATGGTTTATTGGTTTTCGAACCGGAGGCGATCAGTGCCCAGGATGGCGACCGTCTCAACGCTTCGCTGGTCTTTTCTCTGTCCGGAGGTACGTGTCTCATCGTCAACGACTAATATCATTTCATACCTCATGTTGCGTGCCTTATGTGAAATGCAAAAACCGATGATCGAATGCAAAAAAAAGTTAAGCGAAAGGAAGCGGTCGCTGCAAAATGGGCACGCGAGAAAAAAAAAACACACGGCATGAGACGCTACTCGCTTCCGATAATCGTGTTTCAATTGTAGAAAACGTTTTCAGGGCCAATAGAAATTGAGTGTGAACGGGTCTTTAACAAAACGTCGGCGGGAGGGACGGAAAGTTTAAGAAAATTTTGGGTTTTTGTTGGAAATTAAATTCTGCCCAACGCCCAAAAAAAAAATTAAATATATATCAGAAAACCAAATTTTCTATTGGGGAATTCGAGAAAAAAATGTTTTTTTTTCCGAAACCTTCGATTTTCAGTGAGAATATAAGTGTATAGTTTTTGTTGTAAAATCGATCACTAAATAATTAAATTGATTTCCCTTTATTGTTTTCTTCAATCATTAGATGACCAGTTTACCCGAACCACTTGTAATTATTTGCTCAGTGATGTCGAGCATTTGCGAAATCACCGATGAGCATACGAACATAAGATCCCATAGCATTACTTTGTAGAACTTTCCGAACATTTTGCAATCGACGATCGGGGAAATGTGATGGCGAAAAATGGCACTCCACCGCCGCGGGCGACATTTTTTGTGACGGTGAGTTGAACGGCGTCGACAGTTCGGCTCGATTCAATTACAATTCAAACGGTCGTTAACTAAACACAGTTTGAACGTGCATGGAATTTTCGATGAAAGGCAAAATGGCCTTGGCCGGTCGTAATGGCGCCATAGAGTTTTTGGAATGCACATCATTTGGATTTCGATTAAATTTTTGTTTGACCAGAAGGCCGTTTAATCAAATGTTTCTTTGACCAAAATCTCGATGAAATTTGGGGGTAAATTGCAGGCAGCCGAGCGAGATGATCCCGAGAAAAATGCGACAGCTATTATTTCGGTGAGATTACAGCCATCGTTAGCTTTTCAGCACAACACATATTCTACAAATGTAAGAATTTTTCTGTGTGCCGACGAATGATTTAAATTTGCTTCAGGTTGCTCCATCAACACCAATTGGCTCAACAATTCTTACAGTAAAGGCTTACTCTGAAAATGTAAAATCAACAGCGAATCCATTTAATACTATACTTATTCAGAATTCTTCCATTTCTTACTCCCTTCTTGCTGATACTAACACAGTTTCCATTGATGAAGCAACTGGAAATGTTGTTCTGAGGAAGAAGCTCGAAAAGCCTGAAATTCTCAATGTCACCGCTAGCGATGGAGAGAATGTAAGCGAAATCTTTGAAAGTCAATTTGACTCAAAGGAAATTCTAGATCGTTTCAACTTCTCTTCATTTAATGATCGCCAACACGGAAGGAGTGTGCAAATCGCCTCCAAAATTCGACAAATTCGAATACAAAATGATAATTGGCTCAATTAATGTTCTTGGAGTCATTAACGCGACTTCAAAATCCGGCAATAAGGTCTCTTATACCTTAATGAACATGAACAAGTGGGTGTTCAATAGCTAATCATGAAGTCTAGTTATGTGAAATTCAGTGAATTCGAAGTAACGTCTGAAGGTGTCGTGAAAATTCTACCAAGAGCCAGACCGCAATGTAAAACATGCGAGCTTGTTGTAATGGCAAAAGATGGCAATCAAATGGCTCTTACAAAGGTTGATGAAATATATTATTTATAAAATTAGCATAATTAATTATAGGTGATTGTCGAAAATCCATCCTTTGTAATACCGGCATCCGCGGTTTTATCCATTTTCATATTGATAGTTTTGTCTCTTATATTCGCCATTTTGGCTCTTTTTGTGTGCCGTAACTTTTGTGAGAAGTGAGCTAAAACAGAATTAAGCAATATGTTATTTAAATATTTAAATACCTTAGATGGAAAAGGGGCGCCCGTAGATCAAGCATTTGCTGGCTCAATGGGACTACAGATACAGGCGTTTCCATCACAACAACCACACCATCAACCACCACTAGGTATTCAAAATAACTACAGATAGGTGGTGAATGCTGATAACTACAGATATGTGGTGAATGCTGATAAGGATCGAGCATATGAATCCAAATCCCCAGGACCAAAAAGATCGCAAGGCGCTCACTTAGTTCCAGTCACCGTGACATCACACGATGGTGCCACTCCGACAGTTTACTTCTAATTATTAACTGGTTCCTGTATATATTTCTATGTTCAAAATCAATTTCCATATCGGTGATGCCCATTTTTTCACATATTTTTTTTTATGAATCGTTCACCTCATTTCAATTTCCTACCAGCACTTTCTTCCCCTTCATAAAAAAAGACAATGCTCATTCCATATTATCTATTATTTTCTCTAAATTGTCAAATAATGCAGTTGTACGCCATTTTCTTTAAATTTCAATTGCTTTGTAACACAGGGTAGATCTCAGAATTATTAATGTTTAAAAATTATGTAATTGTATGTGTTGAATAAACTATAACTCAATAATTGCCAAAAATATAAATTTCTAGAATACATATAACTCAAAAGATTTCAACGGCTTTCTTTCATTAAATTTACAATGTAGACTAATGATGTCTCGAGAGGGGTCACATGATTCTATACAATAGGGGCCAACTCGGGGGTTAACGCGCATAGGTAATTAGGTGCTATCTGCCGATATGCATACGTCGTGTTTCATTCAGATTGAGCAGGACAGCTGGAACTGCGTGAGACATTCAATTCAGGTCATATACTAAACCACTTCTACATCTCCTTTCTCAAAACTCCATTCGAACTTCCAATTTGTGTTAAAATTTCCAGTTTTTTTTTCAGCTTAATACAGAAATTATATAACCTTCTAAAATTCATACCCATAGTAAATATTTTTGTTTTTGTTTCCGAGTGTTCATGCACATGTTCATGCACTTTTATCCACATAATCTTTGCTGTTTTATTCTGATTTAAATGGAATTGAGCTGATTTATACAATTTGAACGACATCCTTCAATTCTAGAAATTCAGCCCTACATTTTCGAGAACAGCGAGTTGTCTTTAAAAAAATGCTTTCACCAAAAGCGTATATCTAAACATATTTGTGGAGCCGAAAGAAAATCAGACGAAGGCCGACGAAATTGTCGAATCCTGGCCGAAAAACTAATAACGGAGCGAAATTTAACCGCTTTTATGCACTTCTGCCGTCTTATTGTGTAGTTTTCTTTTGTTTCCGGAACCGAAAACGTTTTTATTGCTTTGTGGGGATATGAAATTCAAATTAGCTTTTTTTTGTCATACGGATATGAGACGGAAGTGACGTGTTTATGACAAAAACATTTTTTTTTGAATAACTAGCTTAAAAAATATGAACGAATAAATACAAAGCACTAAATGTCGTGTGAAAGTGAAGTTAATAATGAAAAAAACATTTGTGGAAAATATCAATGACTCATTTTTTTTCTTTTCAAACTTAATTCCATAATAAATACTAGCGATAAAAAATTAATATCTACAGAAAATTAATAAAATCAGTATTATTATTATCATTATTATTATTAATCTTATTTTTATGCAATACACGTTGTTGTGGCAAACATCATTTTCGATCTAGTACGGCCGTAAAGTAATATGGCAATGTCGAGTGAGAGCACTAGAATAGTTCTATGGAAATGAGCTATCGTCAGGCAAGAAATTATTATTGGTTGTTTTCATGTTGGAATAAGCGGATGATGGGTCTGGATCAAACGGTCCCGACGACGTTCTGAAAATTGCTTTTGAGATTTTTGAAAATTCATAATTTTATGCAATTTTGCCACCATGAAACCAAACCATATTGATGACAATTGCCATCATTTTATTGGTTTATGTATTTTTCTGACATTCATATTTCTTCTCTTTTTAGGATTGTCAAGCAAACACAGACTATTCCTACATGCTTTTATTCAAATTTTCGATTCGCAAGTTTATATTCTTACTTGGAAAAGGAATATATGTAATTATATTGGACTCTCACGGATTATTATTTCCTTTTAACACGAGCGTTGTTTGATCAACCAAATTCGAATCAAGTGCTCTTCCCTTTATTTTAGCCATTTTCTATTATTGCTTTGAGCTTCCATCCAAGCAATTTCCATATTTCTCATACGTTTTTTGTGTTCTGTTTTCATATTCGTGCCACTTTTATCGAGATGCACATTTCTCGACTCATTTTTCATTCGTGGCTCGTCGATTTTTATGGAGTCAAAGACGGATCATCCAATTTCATCCAAAAGAACCCCAAAAAAAATTACGAGATGAACGTACCGATTATGTAAAGACGACGACTGACCCATTGAGCCGGATGAAGAGCGATAATGTTCACCGGAAATAAGCCTGAACCGATAAATGTCATTAATAATCAAGAGAGCGGAGCAAAACAAAAAACCACTCAAGCAATCCACATTTCATTTTAAGAAGTTTTTCAAACGTTGCAAGATTTCGCCACGCAGCTCAATTCTTCTTTGTACTTTTGAAAAACGTTGAGCAACGCATATTTCCCAAAGAAAAAACTCTCAGAAACTCTTGGAGGTTTCGCGCGCGAAATAAATCATTTGAGCATCCCAAGAAACCATGAATCATGCTTAACATTACATACCCAAACACATGCAACAATTGCTTTGTTGCCTTCAAGCTAAATGCATCTATCAAAATTGTTTAAATGCAAAAACACATTATAATTTCCATACAAGCGTCCGCCGAATTCTCATGTTCGGCAACGACCAAAACTTTTTCGAATTAACAGTTCACGTTGATATCCACTGGTTCACATATGTATATGTATATATGTACATATATATTCTGCACTCCGCATATTTTATGCATGACAACGCCCACTAGTGGAAAAAAATGCGCTCCTCACCCTCCAGTAACGGCGAGCCGTCCTTTTCTGCGTCGCTCTTGAATCTTGTGCCTGATATCTTCCATTTTACTCATCGCGTCGTCGGTGCTGCTGTCGGAGTCTGAATAGGATTTATGAAACATTGTATTACTAATCTGGAAAATAATAAGCTAACTAGGTCGAATTCTCTCACAATTCCATTTAGACTACGGTATTGGCATTTCTTGTTTGCACTTCAATAGTGCAACTATTTGCAACTTTATTGAAAATTGCACTCACTTCTTCCCAATAATGAGATGTATTTATCCTTTTCCATTCGCAACTCGTTAATCATCATATCCTGCAACATTACGTTTTCCTGTGTTTTTTTTTTTACGTTTTTCATGTCAAGCAACTTTTTCCAATTTTTCATCTTCCAGCCGTTTGATTCTTGCTTCGAAGGTGTCGGTGATTGTCGCCAGTGTCGATTTGCGTCGTTCGGTTTCATCGCTAAGCGTCCTGAATTGAATGAACAATTGTGGCGCATCATCAAAAATCAAGGTACGCACTTTTTCAAATCGCAGACATATCGCTCCAACTGCATTATTTTCTCGTCTTTGGCTTGGATTGCCTTCCGTAATCGGATCATTTCCTCAGTGCTATTTGGTGGGGGAATTCTCTAAAAAATCAGAGATTATTGAAATTCATAGATAGAGATAAGTATAGAATTTTTCAATCCAAATTTTCTGTGATATTTTACAATACCAATAGAACTTTTTTTTTCAAAACAAATGCCTAGTCGAAAAATCTTTATTCTCAGCTTCATTTCTTCCAAAATAAATGAAGCAGCTTGGATAAAAAATTGTGCTGATCAATTAAATTATAAATGCTTTTGTCTTCAGTCGAGTGTTCCATTATTTTTTTTGTAATTTCATCAATAGCGACATATACAAGCCAATTGAGTGAAATAATAGGGAAATTAGGAATGCAAATTGAATGCGCCGCAGTCGTTATTGGTCTCAAAAAGAACGCTGCCGATTAAATTATTCCAGCAACAGCGTCAGGCTCCACCGATTTCTAATGCACTACTTGAAGGCACTCTAGGCTTATGTGCTTTGAAAAATAATTATATTTCGCTGCCAACAACACTACTATTTTATTCCAATACTTCACCATGTGTGGGAGATGCAGTAGGAGTATTATATGCTGGGATTAGGCCGTCATAACCCTTTTCTTTCTCATATCTCGCTTTGTTTGTTTACTTCAGCTCTACTCATTTTCAAAAAGAAATTTGAATTATGTGCAAAATGTTTACGTATTCACAAAAAAGTTTTATTTTTTTTTGAGTCTTAGGAAGAATTTTTGGCCAATCAGAATTCTCAAGTGAGGCAAAAATTGTTTTGTTCGATGTTGAGTATGCAGGAATAGCATTTCTTCTACTTCCATGATGTTTTTAGTATAAAAAAATATATATCGAATTTTCACAGCAGCATTTGATGTTCAATTTGGATTGGAAAAGGTGTCAAATTTCACGATAAATTATTTTTTGAGAATTTTAGTCAATTCCAAACAAATTTTGTCAATTTATTATGAATGTAATATTTAAAAATAATTTTTCATTGGATTGTTCTTGATTTATTGAAACAACATAACATTAGAATTTTCTCACTGTTCTAAATGTATTCAACTTCTACAATATTCAAATGCTAATCATGGTCTCAATATATGCCTCAAAGGCTCATTTTACATACTTGTCAACTCCCCATTTTCATAATAATTCGTTTCCGCTCACCGATTCCTATTATGGTTACTTATTATATATATAGATATATAATATACATATACATATATGTTCATGGTTATTTACATTTCTCGGCATCTAACTATCGAGAAGGAATTATGGTGTTCCCCCCCGTAAATCGTGCAACCTGTTCGATTTTTCTTTCCATCTTCATTTCCTTCTACTATCCTTTTTGAATGAATTTTTTCAAGAATTGATGATGATAGATTGTCCTGCCATCTTGAATTGATAAAACAAATGTTTTTTCCTTCTGAATCGGTTTCGTCATGAGACCAAAACCGCTTATTTTTTTATTCAGGATAGAAAAAAATTTTGAGGTTTGGTGAAGATTCTCACGCGCGCGAGATTGATAATCTTATCTATCACTCAATTGCATGTTTTGATTTTTCGAAAAAAGAAAGAAAAAATCTATTTTTTCCGACTGGCAGATGAATGCAAAATGAATCATAGTTGAACTGAAAAACATCTGCGCACTGAAGTTGGGAGACAACTGAATAATTTTTCAAGATCACCGAACGATTAAAAAAAGGTATTTAGCGAGTTTTTGAATTTTAAAATCAATTTTCTGTTAATAATATCCAGAATATGTTTCAGTTTTTTTCATAGACCATATCGAATGTCAATAATCCTTTCGCTATTGAATAGCCTTTTCTATGACATAATATTGATTTGAGGCATTAAGCCTCGCCAAAAGTGATAAAATATTCCCTAATAAATAAGATGGCTTCGCGAAAAAAAAACAAATATAAACGCTCCGTTGGTTCTTTTCAGAAAGAAAATTGTTCACCTTGAGACTTCCTGTCAAACTAGCATCCTTATTGAGCTGCATGCGCATTTGCGTTTTTTCCATTTCCCATTGAGCGCGCTCGGCCTCGATCATTTGCTCGCGTCGTTGCTGCTCTTCCCACGCTTCACTCAACTGTTTCCGAAGCTCGTCGGCATGCGCGACAATTGCAGACAGCTCGTCGCATTTCTAAAAAAAAACAATATCTCAACATATAGTCGTTGCGTTTTATCGCGATTTTCAAAACACGAATGAAACCCCCACGAAGACGAATGCATGTGACGCGAATTGACAAATGTTTATGAATTCACTTCCGATATTTTTTAATACGTGTTGAGTGGACGTTAAGGTAAACGTTTTGCGCTATAAATTGCTGAAACGCTCACATCGTCAGATCTAGAGGAAACTCTTGTTTTTCCTGCTAACTCCAGCTCGGAAAAATTGAAAAAAAAAATTTTCCACGAGACATCCTAGTTGAAATTAAAGCAAAATTCTCCCCGCTGAAAGAGTTGACCAAATTTTACATATTCCCCTCCCCCCCTTTCCTCAGACCGCAAAATCGAATTCCGTATTTGCCTCATTTCCCCCGCAATGCTTCAACATAGCAGTTACACGCCTTCAAATGTCATTTTCTATTTCACAAAATAGTGGGCGAAATAATAGCCTTGAAAGTAATCATTTAGGCTAGTTTTGAGAAATTACCGTGTTATTTAGAAGCTCGCCAAACTCAAATAATTTGAGCTAACCCTGCAATTTTATCGGTATTAGCTAGTGAATAATAGAAAATGTGAATTATTTCAGTAGTTATGTTATTGAAACTAGCGGATATTCAAACTTCAACAAGAACCATTCCAATTTCGATGCAACAAACGTTTAATTGGCCGGAAAATTTGCAATTCTCCAAAAACATGTCAATTTATTTTTTGTGACACCTCTTTCTAGTTCAAGGCTCTGTTAAAAAATCCGATTTGTTTGAAACGTGCTTTTTTTCTATTAATTATATAACGCCTCGATATTATCGCTTCTATCATGCATTCGTTTCAAGCGCTCGCTGCTTCAATTTTGATCTCGACGAACCTTTTCCCGTTTCGCCATTCTCTCTTGCGAGTTGGCCAACGCCTTCTCGAGCATCGTGATATGATTGCGTTGCTCTTCGAGTGTCTGATTCTGCGCTTCAATCTCTAGTTTTTGACGCTCTTTGCATGCAAACAGCTCCTGCCCTGAAACGAGAGCGTGAAAAAAAAAAAACATGGCGCACACACGCGCGAGAGCGCCCACATCGACGCATACACACATACATACATACACTCGGAGCGAAACATTCTTCGAAAACGCGACCAATATTGCCAGAAAAAAAATGTTGAAGGCGTGGCCAGTGTGTTTCGCTCATTTTTTTGTGTTTGAATTTGCGCGCAAGTGTTGGCATTTTTTTTAAATATTGCACTTAACAACTTACGTTGTTGGATCTCATTTATCATTAAGTTTGCAACCATTGCGGGCTCCTGAGTCGCCTTTTCCAGTCTACTTTGTAAATCCTCCTTTTCAACGGTCAGCCTTAAACACAATGTTTTCATTCATTTTTCTTTCTTCAAGACAAAATATATTTATTCATAATTATTTTTCAGAAGCACCATGGAGAACATCTGGAGCTCGGATTTGGAGTTCAGGTAATCGATTCAATTTAACTCACTTTTTGATGGTTTTTTCGAGTTGGAGTATAGCGTTGAATTCCAAATTCTCTTGCTTTTTTCTTTCGTTTGCTAAGTATTCATATTCTTTTTCTAGTCGCCCATAAGAGAATTCAATCTGCAAAAAAAACAAGGCTTAGTCGTCTTTTGTTGTCTTTGTCGCTGTCGCATTCATTGTTTGTGGTTGGTGAAATTTCAGAATCACAAGACTCCGCATGAAGAATATAAGCGCAGATATCTATTATTATGCGTCATGAAGAATTGAGAATATTCATGTTGTTTTTTTTTTTCATAAAGCCATACTATAATAAGAACATAGGCTTAAAAAACACTTCTGTCGTTTGAGACAGTCAAATTATAAAAAAATTATTAACGGTCTGGCACAGCGAGCCGCTTCAATGACATTTAATCAAATCGCTCAAGTGTATTGAATTTGTAATTTACATATATATATATATATATATATATATATATATATATATATATATATATATATATATATATATATTAAAACTTTTTGTCATTCTCTTCGTATTAATACATTTTTGAACCAATCGTTTGAACTTTGCAATGCTAAAATTTGCATCATCCATCAAACCTAGCAATTCTAGAAACATTGCAGTATGTTCGATTGCAATATATCGAAATTGTGCGATTGCTTATAAATAATCGAACATTTTGAATTTTTCAAATTATGCGGTAATTATGAAATTCATAGCGCTTTTATTTTTCCTAGACTGTTTGAAAGAGCACAGTTATCAATTCGCGTTGCAAAAATTTGTGTCAATTGATAAATACCCCGCAAATTTGATTTTTTATTAGTCGAGCAAAATGCAATGTACTTGTATCTTATAATATTAATAAATCACACCCGTGGTTATGGGAAAAGATACAACAGAGTACTGCGTTATATGTAGTGTTCGTGGGAACTCTTGGATAATTCATTATCGCTTAAATACTCTCTGATTGATTTGCGCAGAATATTACTGAATTCAAAAAAAAACCTGTTGGAATTTCGCTAGGCTCTTTTTCATTGCTTCAAGCTCCTTTTTCAAATGAATGTTTTCGTCCCTCAAGGATTGTATTAGTTTCTGATTGCTCGTGACATTCTGAAAATAAAACATTCAACAGATGGGGTCGTAAAAAGTTGACACGGGACCCTTTGATTTTGTGAGTGCGGCATATCCAAAACTTGGTCGTTCGATGCAGATGCTCGTCGTTGATATGACGTTGCTGAATTTGACTCATACGGAACCCTTTAATTTCATCGAGTTAGCTACTTTGAAATTGGAATCGAACTTAACTCAATTGATCTAGATCCCACAGCCATTAAACATGGCTGCGAATGACTAATTGATGAGGCTGAAAATTTAATGACATTAAGAATTGATTGGCAAAATAATTCGGAGTGACTAAGGTCGATGCTCGAAACGTCGTATAGTAGTTATCAATCTTCATGGCTAGTTGTAAAAATATTTATAGAGGTCACCGACCCTTCGGACTTTGGTTTTTCTTTTGCAAAACACTCTTGGTATCAATTAATTTCTGTTATCGGCTTCTGTGTTTCACCAACAATCGTGATTGATTAACGAAATAGCGGCTATCTAATAGGAATACAGTAGAATATACAGTAACTCACACTTGTTTGAGCCCTCCAGCTTTCGGCCATTTGTCCGTTGCTGCATTTGCAACTTGACTTCGCTTTGATATTTTTCTAGCATTTTTTGCAATTTAGCATCATCTTGTTGCGGTTTTGTGTTAGTCGATGCCACTAAATAAAATTTGTTAAAGCATTTTTTGTCAATTTGATCTACTGGGAGCCATATGTGCCTCTTTCATCAAAGAATCCAGAATTTTGGTTTCCCCCTGATACATGGGAGTTGGTGGAACTGCATGAACTCGACGTTGGTCAGTGTTGTCTGAAGATCTTGGATCAACAACTTCAAGCCGGTTCATTTTTGACCCGCGTTTCCTGAAGTAAAAAAAAAGTTTCGAGGAATTATCATTAAATTTCATTTAAAAGAAATTCGATATTAATTACAATATTTCAAAACGTATTAGTAGAATTCGGCATGAATCCAAACATAACTTCCGGGATGCAATAAAAAAGGAACGGAAAATTGTTTGAAACTAAATTCGATGGATTCATTAGTTTTCACATTAAATCTGATTTTGTCGGAGATTATTAATTGAAAAATCAACCAAGCGAATAATTACAATTATCGAAGAAACATTGAAATCCCAGAGATTTGCATTTAGAATCAATAATCTTTCGCTGAAATATCTAGTGAAGGTTGATTCAATAGCCATAGGCGAATATTTGAAAATTTTTCAAAAAACCCATTATTAAAATAATATTGATATCAATTTTTTTCGAATTGTTTGCTTCAATGGAAATTAAAAAATTATAAGAAAGTATAAACATATTGAAATTTCATTATTGTTGCAATTTCATGGTGGTTCGTACAAATAAAAAAAATGTTGGTAAACTTGGCCCAAGGTAAGAAATCGATTGATCAAAGATAGTTGGCTAGAGAAACGGGGGTCTCTCCCAATGCCAAACACAATTTCTCTGCGCTCTCTACCATCATCATTCAGTGAATGCTACATACATTCCCACACATATATACACAACCCATTTGTTCATCAGCCCAAATTATAGGATAAATATTTTCAATTGCTTTCCATCGAATCGTTTCCTAATTTAGCCACTTATTTTTCCAACGTCACTCTCAGTAATAGAAATTGTCGTATTTTCCATCAAGCCTATCTTGATCAGTATACGTTTGTTTTATGCTTGAGATTTTTGCCGATAAGAAAATTGGTGAGAGATGATGGGAGGACTCGTCAATCTCTCATAATGTATACACATATGGCGTTGAAAGACAGCGAGTGGTAGAAGAACAATTAGTGTTGATATCGATGGTTTTTTTTTGTCCGATCGGCCGACTCAATTAACTGATTGATAAAAATTGATACTAACCTGTTAATTAAACGCCTCATATTGATGAAACAAAAATGAAGAATACATGAATTAATCGAACAATAAAGACCATTTTTTGAGCGAAAAAATCTATTAGTCATGCACATTTTCATTCCTATATTGTTCCTTTTTTTTTCTTTGAAACGTGTCTCTTCGGGCCCCTCGGCCGATGGAATTCAAAGAATGATTTGAAATACAACGAACATTTCACGATCGATTAGATTTTTTTAAAGAAGTGATTGTTTTCCAATAAAAATATATATATCAAAAATTGAGCTCTGGTTGAGGAAGTGGCAACTGTCGTTCGAACATCTTGCGAACGTTTCGCTGATTTTTATCTACAATGAAATTATGTTTTAAATCAGCTATGCAATTTACCAAGTTTTCAGTCATTAATTTTAGTGAAATCGAGTTTTTATAAAAGGAGATAGACTCAAAATTCCAATAGTTCTTTGTGATATCCATTTTCGGTAATCACTGTCAGCACTGTCTTAAAAAAACCACGAAGATTTGAAACATAAATAACAATAATTATTTATATCATTCTTCCAAATGTCTTTGTTCAGTGTATTTTATCTCAAATGGCCTCTCCATACGTTTTTTTGTCAAACGCAGTCCAAAAAACCAGAAATTGGATCTCTCGCGTTCAGTTTTTTTTAATTGTCGAAAAAAAAAACTCGTTGGCCTTCTGAATCAAAAACATCATGCTTTGTTTCCTGTGTGACGGGCTCAAATTAATAAGCATTTTGGAAAAGAGACAGCAAAAAAAACTTTTTTTTTTTCTACTAGTCCCATTTGTTTCCCATCTAACCCCTTTCAATCGTCCTGTGTCAGCCAGTCGGTCAACCAAACAACTATCGAGTGTGCTGAGCGCGTGAGCGGGACACGAGAGAGAGAGAGAGCGAGAGTGTGTTCAGCGGGTGAGCGCGCGACTGCGCATCCTCCTTGTCTACCCCCCCTCAACAACACCCGTGCCGTTTTTTTTTCGGGTTCGGGGACGACCGCGACGCGTTGCCGCTCATCGATCTGCTATTTATTGGTGAGAGACGTAGTGTGCGCTCTCGTCGTCTGAAAGACCGCAGCCAGTGTTGCAGCGTCGTTCGCTTTCCTCTTTGCATCAGTCGCCAGTTCGTCTCACCCGCGTTTCGTGGCTGCTTCACATTCATATTCATTTACACATCATAAGCAATCGCAAACACTATCATTTTGACGCAAAATTAGCATTAATGATATAAATTTTGAAGCATACCGTTAAAATATTCTGAGTGTAAACCAATTTTACCACTCGATTAATATTTTTCATCTTGTGTTTTTTGTCAAATCGATTAATTCCTTTTTTTTTTAGTTTCCAGTTGGGCTCAAGTCAAGATCAGCAAAGTAGTACAACGGAAACGAACAACATGGAAAGTCTTGAAAGTCGTATAAATAATATGAATATAGACGATGGTCCATGGAGACAACATGATCAATCGCAGCCGGTATTAAAACGCTTCAATTGAATTCAAATTATCGGAAATCTATTAAGGTATGGGGAAATCAGGGAGTTCAGCCAGCTAGAGTTTGGGGACAACCACAAATGCAGTTCAACCAGCAGCCATCGAGAAGCCCGTGGCAGGAAAGCGGAGACCTCGAGCAAGGAGTTAACGAGGCTCTGGGATTGACCAGTGCCAGCACCAATCAATGGGGAGCACCGCTTTCGGGTGGGCCGAACGATTTTGAAAAACAGATTTGGTCGGATCCGAACAATGATCAATCGTTCATGCCACCACATCGTAGGCTAATTATTTGCATAGTTTCTTTAAACGCAATAGAGTAATTTTAGGTGGCGTCTCAAGCATTCCAGAATGGTCGACGGGAGGAATGAGCACATCAACGCAACCCCCAATTTGGGGCGACATTGGATTCAACAAAGAGGCTGAACCATTCTGGAAACATCAGCCCCCACAGCAGCAGACGCCGTGGGGAGCACCGCCAGCGCAGCGGATGCCTGGCGGATGGCCACCACGCCAGATGGGTCATCCCGCCGGTCCACCGCCACCGCTCAATCAGGGCCGCGCGCCATTAATGCCGCAGCAAGGTGAGACACATAAATTTTATTGCAAATGGGTTCAGTTTGAACCATATGGTTTTGACAATTTCCGAACCCACCAATTAAATTTAATGTTGTTTGCGTCACTCATCGTTATACAGTATATTTAATTTTTTATGATAGGAGGTGAAATTGAAAGCAATCTTTTTGAGCGTTAATATCAATCAACTTTCTCACGACTCGATATTGTTTCTTTTTCTCAATTACTTATCATTGAGCTCATTGAAAAGAAGTCATTTTAAAATTATTGTTAAAAGATGCGATCAATAGTATTCTTTTGCAAATCACTAAATTAAGTGATAAATACACGTTCAAGAGAAAATCCCGTTAATTCCGAAACAATGGATGTTCGATTGGCCTTTCAATCGTATGAATGATAAGATTCTATTCCTCATCTTCGCAGATGTTTCACACCTGCTATCTATAATAAGCAATACATTAAAAAAAAACTAGTGATGTAATATCATTTGGTCTCCCCTCAAAAAAAAAAATGCCAAACGTCTATATGTCATATTCAACACAGGTCCTTTTTTCAGTACCGGATTTTTCGACTGGATGGGCCACCAACGGAATGATGCGCCCAAAGCAAGGCGGAATGGGTTGGGGAGACCAATCTCAGCATCGCATGCCAGGAATGCCACCGCGAACTGGAGGAGGCGGGGGCCGCATGCAGCAGGGGCCAGGACGATTCCCTGGCGGAATGCCGGGAGTCGATGTAACCGTTCCACCACCCATCGATCTCGGTCATCTCGGCCAAAACGGAATCATACGTCCGATGGGAGGGCCACAAGGAGGTCATGGATCGTGGAAGAACCACGGCGGTGTCAACAACGGCATGCAAGGAGCACCGAACGGCGGCCGCCAGCCGTATCAGGTATGTTTGTGAACAAAAAAATGCTTCGATTGAATTGCATTATTTTTTTAAATTTCAGCCGCGCGGCGGAATGAATCACGGTCACGGCGGCGGGAATGGCGGCGGAAACTGGGCGCAATCTAATAACATGTGGAATGCGCAAGGCGGCAACACCAACAACATGAATCCGATCGGGACTGGAATCACCGACTTCAATGCACAACAACAAAATGGCGGCAATAATGATCTTGACCTTACCGTCTGGCAAGATCCGAATGAAGTGATCAAGAAATGGCAGCGCGATACCGGTGTTTCTCATTGGGGAGAACCAAATGAAAACGGATGCAAAGGTTGGAACACAAGAAAAACATTGAAACATTCAACGTTTAGATGATCGTCCGATTAGCCTTTGGCTCGTAAAAGAGGGTGAGGAAGAGGACTTGGAAACCGCTTTAGCAAGATGCCCGGTTCCGCAGAAGAAAGTTGGAAAATCTGAAGATGGGCGAACAGCGTTCCAGATTCCACCGAAAAGACCAATTTACGTTACCGGATGGGATGATCTCCCGGAAGACGATCCAAATAACTCGTCAAAGAATAGTGAGATTTAATTGTGTATTTGTATTTGTGTGTTTAAAAAAATACTCCAGATACTTATGACAACCAAAGATGGAATGAGGCTCCTACTGTCGAAAATCCATGGTATGTTGCAAACGGGCAAATGGCCTTTGGCAATGATAAGATTGGATCATGGGTGCGCGGAATCACCCGTTCCAGTGCGAGCCCAAATTCGACAATGGCCAACCAATTAGCGGTTACGGAGACTGTCAAATATGCAGTCAGCAATGGCTATTTGGATATGTGGGTCACAATGGTGCCAAATCTTCCTGCGAACGTCATGAACTTGATCAACGCAATGATTGCCAAAATTCCCGCGTTGGAGACTGCCGAGTGCGAGCTCTCAATACTTGTCGATAGTGTCTGCCCAAATGGGATGAAAGAAGAGAATCCGCTTCGTTTTATGAACGACGTTCAAACTGTAAGATGAACAATGAAAAATTTCATGAATTAAACTTCCTTTCAGGTGGAATATAATCGTCTCATTATTGAGGTGACGACGGCGAAGATTGAAGTTCGCGAGCTTTCGAAGAAAATTAGTCGTGAGCTTTTCGATGCCGGAATAGTGGCTCCTCAAATTGAAGATGATAACAATATCCCAACCACTTCAGAGGATTACCATTACTCATTCCTTGATTAATCGGATCCTGTTGTCAAATTTTCCCACAGTCTTCTCCATATATAATTGTCTATAATTTTCCTATAGTACTCAAACTGGTCCATTAAAGTTCTCTTCCAACAAATGTATGTGTGTACCATCCTCTTTAATTAATCATCTGACGGGGAAATGTACCCAATACCGATTGAATGCAGTTGTATGTGTCCTATGTTTGTTCCTGTTTCGGTTCTACAATTTTTGATCTAAACGCACATCATCATCACATGTAAAAATTCTCTTCCTGAAACGATTTTCATTTTTCGTTGTTTATTGTGTTCTTCCGGCAATTGTTGCCGTTTGCAAATTGTAATTAGCTCTACAATGCCAGCGCAAACGCTATTCATAACGCACAATAACCATGCGGGCGACACAGAAATTTGAAAATTCCCCTCCTCTCCCAATACGAAGTGTGTCTCAAATCCGCACATTTCTCATGTCACCCAAAGTTTTCCAATGTGTTTTACTTCAAAAATATTTTTCTCTTCAAATGTGAATTATAACTGATACAATTAGTGGGTATATCAATTTTAATTGTAGTCGCATCTATTTTGTGTCTCTGAACTGCATCTTGTGTGCATTTTTGTCTGGCTCCCCTCACCCAATTCCTTTACTAAAATGCAATTTCCAGCCCTTTTTGGTTCGAAAACAATCTCATTTTAATTGGGTCCGATCTACGTCATTATAGAGAGGTTTTGTAAATGATATGTGTGATTACTGAATCTTACCGTAGGTCAATTCAAACATTCTAGATTAAACCCAGGTCTGACGAATACGGCCGTCCGATGTGAATAATCTTTAATCAATTTTTCTTTTTTTTTCAACGATATCGTTCATGTGAATATTTTATTGGTATGCCTCCAAATGCTCTTTTCTGAAATCCTGCATTATTCGCTATTTTATAATATCGTATTTAATCGGTTGAATAAGGACAATAAAAAATTTATTATGTTGTGTTTAATGTATTGTGATCTGAGTGAAATATGGATGTTATTCATTTCAGCTTTCCCGCTCTGAAAATTGTAATGGTTTGGCTTAAAATTTATTTAAGCAAAAATCAAAGTTATTTTTAATATTTTCAATTCACGTCAACAGTTTTCTGAAACCTTTAGTGAAAAAATGAGATTTAGCATCTGCAGAATTAAAGGAGATCGCAATACTTTTGATGGAAAAAGTTAAGGAGTAATGATTATTCATTTATATTAAATAATTGTGAGATTGTTAACATCGAGTAGAGCGAGATATATTTATATATTACTATAAGATATGAAAATTGGTTCTCAAAGAAATTTCATAATTTTTCTTCGTCAACATTCAGTATATGGTAACCTAAAAAAATACTAGCATTTTTATTTTCGTGCATATCCAATATAACCGCTAAATACGGGGGTGCCTCAAATTTTTGACAGCAGTGTACAATAAAAATTTGAAACAAACATTGGCGTAAAAAGAAAATTCATTTAGTTCTGATTTGTTAAAAAAAAACAATTTTCAATTTATGACTGATGTACGGGGGAGATTTACAAGCGCGCCTTTAGGAATGGTCTCGCCACACGTGATGACTCATTTTGAAAATTGTTTTATTGAACTGTTTGATTTTTTATGAGTACATCATTATCTTGATTTCTGAATATGACTAAATTTGATAGGTAACAGAGTGAACTCTAAAATGAAAAAGACCTAGTTACTCTGTGTAGGACCATTTTCCGGACACCATCTATAGCTTTTTTATGTATCACTGGAATCTTTACTTTTCCTAACTTCTTATAATTAATCAATATATTTTGCTATTGTTTTTGTTGCGTAATCATGTACTACATCTTTGCAATGATTTATCTGCTTTATTTTCTCTAAAAATGATAGCCTGCTTATTTTCCCTATTATTAAATACTTAATATTATTTGTTCTCCTAAGAATTAATCGAATTCTCTTTGAAGTGTAGTACTACAAAAAACGAGATTTCAGACGTCCATGTACTAAGAATTCCATTCGAGCGAACGAATACGCCGGCGCCGCGAACCTTTATAAGTGAAGGGAGGGGCTGCCCACATCTTTTGAAACAATGTTTTAATTTTCAGTTTATGCTTTTAAAAATCAAAATTCCGAATTAAAGGATGTGTAACATTCAGTGTTTTGCAGGTGGTAATGCTAAAAATGTTCCACAAAAACGACACAATTCAATTTATTGCTCAAAAATTTGACAAAAACTTCTTAGGCTCACACACAATTTCCCTATTAATGATCAAAAATAAAACAATCAATAAATAATAAAGTAAAGGAGAGATCTTTCGAATTAAATAAGAAAAATTATTGTCGAAGCCGGGCGAGAGCGGATAGAGCAATCTATTGTAGGGTTGGGTCTTGCAAGATGAGTGTCGATTTATTCGCTAGGATTTTTACATCACGTTGTTAACTGGTGAGTTTATTCATTTCAGAGATTTATATGATTTTTTGCACTCGCGCGACTTCGACAATACAAAATAATGAAATTGAAATGAACGGGGAAAAATTTCCATACCCGACAATCAATGAGAACTGCTATAATAAAAAAAATAAACATTACCTATTAATAACACATAGCAAATATGTCAACTCCTAACCTATACTAACATATTCCGCACAAGGCATGTTGGCAATAAAACAATACCGGGATTGTAAACAAAAGAGAACAGCTCGAATTGGTGAAAACGTTTCAGAGAAAATAGTGCTTGTTAAATTAAACTTGAATTAAATATTTAAAGTTGTCACGATGGGCATTAACTATTTAAAAAATTAAGCATACTAGAAAATTTTTAATCAAGAAATGCTCACAAAAATATTGACGAAAAGGGAACGCAAAAGTATAAAAATAACAAAGAATAACAAGCATACTAAGCACTATAGAAGTAACCCCCCCGTTTTTCCTAAAATTGTTTTCACCAATTGAGTTTCTTAAAAAAATTTTTTCACCAATCTGGAAATATGCTTTGTCGCTGTATCACTACAGCAAGAGGAACTTGAGGAACAATATAGAAAATTAGAGAATGAAAAAGACAATCAAAATGAGATAGGAATTCATCTATTCCAGAAGTCTTCTCCACGGTATTCCTGAATGAAAGTCGGCTTCCAATCAATGTCGATCACGATCAATCTTCGGTCTTCAGTATTATTGAATGTCGTATTCGCATCAGTATCTTTCTCAATCAATTTTTGCTGCTCTCCAGCGATAGTATTCGCATTCTCATGCTTACCGATTCTTTGTTCAACCGCCTTCACCTCATCGGAAAACTCTGGAAAATTCTGAAGCAAAAACAAAATTGATTACGAGTTGTTGCTATAATATCTCTTACTTCGTGGATGAAGGGGTCAACAGATTTGTTAATTTCATACTTGAATTGAGATTCAGTGTCAGACGTGAAGTGAGATTCAATGTCAGACATGGACTTTGATCGCAACTTGACGGCGAACGGGGTGGCATTTAGCTATAAATTTAATTATTAATGTTTTATATAGAAAAATTGTAATACGATTGGAACGTCATTGACGAAATCGTAGTCTTCGATAAATAACTTTCTCGGCGAACTTTGCTCAAACTCTTTTCTCTGTAAATACTTACTTGAAAAAGTTTTATTTATTTTATTTTTACCGTTAATTTCCAAAACTTTGCTTTTGCTTTAACAATAGGAATTCGAAATTTCAGCTCTTCAGGAAGAGGGAAAAACAAGCTGGAGATATTATCGACCGAATAAATCTTAAAAATTGAATTACCGATGTAACAGAAATTGAAATCTAACCTTTCCCGAGTCCAATTCCAAAACCGTGGTCCATCTCGGTGCCGTGTATAACACAACAACTCGAACATAAACCACTGGTTCGACCCGTCGTTGTGAAAGCACGTAATATGAGCCATCCATTGGTGGAAGAAACTTGGGATGGCTACTGCGCAACCTTAGTAGTTGGAATTGCTGAATGAATATCAAAAATAATAATTACCATCGCCAACAGCATTTCGAAACATGGTCCACGTCACTCGGTGACCTGACGAGGAACACATGATCATCACATTTGACAACGATTCTCTCAAATTCTTCCCACATTTGCGGTGCCAGACGAGCCGTGGCGAAGTCAACAACTAGCTTTTCCAAATAATTTGGAAGTGTCGCAATTATTTGGAAGTAATTCAACGGAATACTTTTCATACCGCCAATCGAATAATGGGTGATTGACCTTTCCTTTTCAGGAATCGACAATATATCCTGCAAGAAAAAACTTTCTTCTGACGTGTACTTGCAAGAGTCGTTGACCATCTTTTTGATAAGGTAGCACTGGCCAATTGGCATTGTATGGAAAACTTTGGCATAGAACGGAAAACTAGCTTATGATTTTATCTTATTCTATTTTATTCTTTAAAAATAAATTAGTTTGTTATCTATTATTTAGAAAAAATTATTTAAAAAATTACCGATTTTTCTGTTTCAATGAGTCCGAGATTCCCAGAAGAGTTCGAGCGAAACATTGGCTTGTTGACGATATTCCAATAGAACGTCATTCTCTTTTTGTAGTTTGCAGCGCTGAGCATTTTGAGTAACAACACTTTCAAGTTTTCTGAAATATTTAAATAAATGTATATATTCAAAAGGAATTTAAATAAAATTGCAAGAACGAATCGGAAAAATGTCTCGTTGGTAATTCATATCGAAAACGGAGACGAGCACTGAGCCAATTCAGTAAGGGCTGGAAAAAATACGACAAGGTGAATGAGAGTGCTTCGATTAGTTCCGAATGAGCGCAAAAAACAAGAATGACTGAACTGGGGGAGTTTGCGCGTGGAATGCTATGTAGTCCGATAAAGAACAAATGACAACGCGCGCGCACAGTGACAGAAGACCAGAGTGTGCTATAGGGCATACTTGTCTCAGCCTCTAAATTGGAGTGTATAGTGGGATACGGATATACATATTGTTGACATCAAACAACTAATCAAAATTGCAAAAAGTATTAACCTGCTGACTTATCGTCTTTTAAGTGAAACATGAGAATAGCCAGCGAACTATTATTGATTTGCGACAAGTATGGGTAGATTTACGGGTTCGCATATGGTCTCGCCACCATTATTTAGTTGTTGCAGTCTCAAAAAAAGAAGACATTGCGTTTACGAGTTTTAATTAGCAAGTTGTCTGTAGCGCGATCCCCAATATGGTTTAAATCGAAATTTAAATAACCGCCCAGATAAATTCGATCGTCCATAATTGTTCTAGGTGCTCATTTATTTTGAAGGTTGTAAATTTTTTTATTGTATAGAGTTTTTATTTTCCATAATTTAAAATGTTTAGAATTCATTTAAAGTATATCGTTTTTATAAATTGAAAAAGAAAAACGGAAGTATTGAAGTTAATAGCTGCTGAAAAAAAATTTCGTTTGATCAAAAATACGAATACGAAAATTTTTCATTAATAGATTTTTAAAATTTATTTGAAAGAAAAACTGGGGCTTTAAGAAAACCATGATAATTTACTTCAAAATAATTTTTGTTGAAAAATAATTGATGAATGATGTGAGGGTTTGAAAATCAAAATTTGTTCACCAAAACATTGACTGTGTTCTGTTTCGAAAAGAAGTTCACACATTTTTAAAAAATTTTTCTTCAAATAATTTCAAGAGATTTTTTTTTAGAATTTACAGGGTGGCCCATAATTTTGGAAACACATTCAAAGTGATGTAACTTTAAAAAAATGATCGATTCAACTTGAAAATTCACAAATAGTTTATTGAATCAATTATAAACAAAAATACATCAACATTACTCGATTCGATTTCCTTTGTTCTTCATTACTTCCTTGAGTCTCTTCGGGAATACCTCGACTGTGGCACGGAGGAATTCTGGAGATAGTTTGGCCCATTCCTGGAAATGTGTAAACCTGGTTTCGAAAATGTGTTAGGGTCCGTGGAAGCACGTGTTTCTTAGAATTTCCTCTAAGTAGTATTTCCGGTTCATTTTGACTCCGGGATCCATAAGAACAAGCGATATCTTCCCATCAGACGCGGCGATCGCCCGAAAAAAAAAATGACTTGTTGAGGATGAGACATTCTGTTGATCGTTCTTCCATGCTTATTGGCTTCGTCTGGGTCCCTGCAAGCACCCGATGATTTTGCGAGTTGAATTCAGCCTCCACGATGTTCATTTTGGCGCGTTCCAGCAAGACGAGATTCGCACTTTTGCATTCGGGCCACTTTGTTCTTTTCAGTTAAAACGGCCGTTTTTCGAACATGATGCGGGGTCAGTCCAAGCTTCGTTTTCATCATGCGCTCCATCGAAGATTTGCTCATACCGAGATCCCGCTCATCTTTCTTATGCTCCGGTGCGGATTTCGACGAGTTTGTTCTCTGGCGACCTTGATACTCTCCGGAGTGATTAAACTACCAGGTCCTTCGCTTCTCGGAGGGTTTTCATGTGTGTTAAGCTCCTTGTATCGTTTTACGGTTTTCTAAACTGTTGATCGAGAGATTCAGTAAGCTTTTGCGATGCAACTGTTGCTCTTTCCTCACGTCGCCATTCGATAACGGTGCCTCAGTGTTTTGAATTGGCTACTATTCCAGTAAAAATGAGGCTAGGAACTAGAAAATTTGGGAAAATTAAAACATGCTGAAAAATAAAATAATAAAATTGGTGCGCGAAAAATGCGCCAGCATCTGCCAGAAGGCTTCAAACTTGTGTTTCCATAATTATGGGCCACCCTGTAAACCTATTTTTTTCAATTTCTTATATTCAAATTCATGCAAATTTGCATATCAGTACCGTTTCGAAAAAAAGGATATAAATTTTATAATTTAAAAATTTCCTGTTACCTTTTTTTTATTATTTTTTATTCAAAAATATTTCATTCCATTTTATCATACATTTTCCCCAAAGATTCATTTATATTATTTTCGTAGTGCAATTTTTTTTCGAAAATCCATTTCATTTAATTATTTTTCGCTGATTCATCTTTTTTTTCCGTTATAAAATAATAAGCAATAAGATCGTAAACAATTATTTATGAGTCATCCTACTCCTGTTCAGAGTTTTCGCTTCGGGACCGATTTTCGTGTTTCCTATTTCTCTGCGTTTCTTCAACAACTTATTGTGAACATGACAATCATTTCGAATTTTTGGTCATGTTTTCGAATTTCTCTAGCATCGCTTAGTGGCGTTTTTTGAGCCAGCATAGTTATTTTCTCAAAGTTGCATAAAACAAATGCTATTTATATATTTTATTTCGCCATTTTTGATTTATATATGCTTGTGCATATAAAATATACAGCTGGTTTATTAATTGTTCATTTTGCCAATCCTACTTCAATAAGATCTTCTAGCGTTAATCACTTGTGTGTATGTTTTAAAGCAAATTGTTATAGATATTTTTCAAAAAATATGATTTCTAATACGTTCTCACAGTTCCTTCTTTGACATTTCGCCTGCATTAAGGACTATCCGCTGTCATCAATCGCCGACACGATCAAGCATTGGCTTCAATGAGGACCTTAAAATAAACATTCTGTATCTATACATTAAAAAAGCAGTAAGAACTAAAAAAAAATGATAATACCCGAAGCAAATTGCGCAAAAAACAGTTTTAACAAGTTTTTTGGAATTTTAACTGAAATCTTTATTGTCTGTATTTATTCGTGTAACTTGCGCAGAGTCTCATTTTTTTGTCCATGAGAGAAAACAACACGGTATATGCTATTGACTAAATACATATTCCATAAATGGAAATTGTCAATCACCTTTTTTTCCTTCAACACTTTTTCGTTCTTCGCCTCATCATTTTGCTTTTAACTTTCTTTGTCGATTTCGAAAGAAAAATGATTAACAAAAAGATTTACAGGAACTATGAATTTTGCTCAAAATAAAGAAGCTCTCAAGGAGCAATTGACAAATTTGATCGATCTGTTCAAGCAACAGCCAATAACAAATGCTCATGAAGAAGCTTCTATGACAGCGTTTTGCGTCGTGAACGCTGTTGATAAGAAGGTTCTTTTGGACTCGTCGTTTTACGAAACGGCAATTGAATATGTAAGTAATAATTATCCGTTTTTAAAGTTTGCCAGTATATTTTCGAAATTTATTCAGTGAACTGCAATTAGTTTTTAGCTTTTGCCGTCTGATAATCTCTCATTGGCGGGAGACACTTTGCAATGGCTCATGCGTTTATACATTGATAAGGTGGATTTGCCGGCATACGAGACGAAACTCATCGACGTGTTTTGTGAAGCTGTCGAGAAATTGGAGGCTCGATTTGCGAACATGGACCCTTCAGCGTTTTCGCAGGAGCATCCACAATTTGTCAATCATTCGACTCTCTTCTTGATCACGTTCTATAAGAATTACCGCAAAATCGTTGAGGTGAGTGAGATTTGCTGAAAAGAAACATTTTAACGAACTACTGTATGTCTCATTTAGAAACCGAATATCCCTCCAAACGTTGCTGAATCGCACCAAAAAGCTCTCAAAATTTTGGTGACGACACTGAAATTGAAGGTTGATCATTCGACGTACAGTTGCGTTGAGTTTTGGTGCGACATGATTTGCAAATTCAATAAGATGCTCAAAAAGCGCAATCGTCATAGCAGACTCCATCGCCTTTGGCCAATTTACGAGTAATGAATATATGTTTCAAAAATGTTTTGTTTGAAATTTGAATTTCAGGCCGCATTTCGAAGAAGCTGCTGAGTTCCTCAATACTCAATTTCGAAATGGCCTTCAAAACATTGCGAATGACAGCTGCTACAACTTCGCCATGAGAATGCCTATTCTCACATTCTTGCAAGGATATGGTATCGTCAAGCAATTCATCAATGGAGACGAAGAAGTGGAGCCGATGGAAGATCTCGAGTGAGTTGAATGGTTCTGGGTGTGGGCGCATGTTAAATAAAAAGAGCATTCAAAAAATTAAATTTGCAATATTTGGTTATAATTAGCAATGTTAGAAAAATTTCAATTAAATTTTTCAATAATCAGTTAAACCATTTTTACATTTTCAGAGAGATGCCAGGCGTTTGTGTTATTTGCTAGACGAATTGCAGCATTTCGGTCGTTATGTGGCTCTTCAAATATATATTATATCAAATGTTGTAATGGATTCTACTTGGCATTATTGCTATTTTTAAAATCGTTATGGTATTATGTGGATTGCGCAATTCTCAAAAATCGGTAAAAACCCTAAATGTCGCTATGCAGATTGCAGAAAAAAAAACGCTTTGTCGGGGGCCATCTTTTTTTCAAATATTATGGTACCATAGTTTATTAAATCGCTGCAAAAATCATAAAATTTTATAATATGCACCTTAAACCGTGACGATTTTTCAAAATCCAAGTTTTTCGGTTATGGTTAAAGGTGCATTATAATAAAATGTTATGATTAATGTCGCGATAAATAAAAAAAAACTGTGGTAGTGTTGGCTTCGAAAAATCTAGCCGCGCTCAATAGTTGGAGCTGTTTCTTGTAATCAGCGTAGCGATTTTTACGGATCTTCACCGATGAGTTGCGTTTTTTTTCCGAAATCAGTATTGTACTATGTTGTTTGGTTTTTTATTATTTTATTTTGAATCGCAAAATAACGAGCACCTTGCATTGATTTAAAATCGGTTTGAATTGACACTGTTAAAATTCAAATTTGAATTGTCGCCTTGTAAGAATACGACAGTCTACAAATATTCGGAGGGGGGGGGGTGCCCGTTTTTTTGCAACAGTAATATAGTCGGCTTCCGGCAACAAATGCGTAGGAGTAGATTTACGGGCGCGATTTTCTTGTCATGGACATCACCGCGTTTGAATGCTGCTTTGGTTTTTTTCACGTGGACCGTTAATTGTTTTGGTCCAATTTTCGTAAAGTTATTTCAATGGTTGTAAAAATAACCATTTAATGTCGCAGCGCACGTAAATTCCCACGCATCATTTGCCGGACACCAACTCTATTTGTTTTCTAATTTCCAAACGATAATAAATAATTTATGATATGGAATATTGATGATATCTGTAATTATGCAAAAAAGAATTTTTTAATTATCAAATTCTTGATTATTTTCTCTCACTGCATACATTGCCCAATAATCGACTTATTACTCTATGTTTCACCAGCGGTCTCAACTATTTGAAGATATGTATTTGCAACTTCGGTAACAGCGAAGAATCGATTTTACCAAAAATTGTATTGACTCATGTAGCAGACTCTTATAATCAACTGCACCAACTCTGCTGAAGGTTTGTTCAGTTGTTTCCAAGAAATTTTTGCAAAAGCTGGACTGGCTTTATTACTTCCTACAAAATCTGCAAAACCTTTCAACAAAGCTTGCAGTTTCTTATAAGAGTCTATTGTTGAAAAAGACTCTGCACGACTTTTCCAAGACTTTTCACCCGCAAAAGCGTGCCTTACAAGCATACCGTAATCCTTTCTGATACTACCGTTTGGGAACTTCTTTTATTTTTCCGGGGGAATTCTGCACTTCTTAGGAGGGTTAAAATCTTGAACATAATATTATTTTCGGTATAAAAAAATTTAGCAACTGCAATATAGTCTTATCAATTTTTTATTTGTATTTGCCAGTTTTCGGTATAACTTACTCAAAACTCTACTTCTGCCAAAACATTCCATTGTATAGTTGCTTATAATAGAGAACATTCTCAAAATAACATTGTCTGACCAAAGAAACCAAAATTTACCCGAAGCCAGTCTCCCAAGTCACCATTGTTGTGTTATTGAATTGCAAAGTTTGCCATGCGGGCCCGCTCTCGGCGCGAATTAGCGCAACACTACCCCCCGCATTCTTTCAAAATGGATTTTCATGAAACAAGAAGTCACAAAAACACACGGCGGCCCGTTGGTGCACCTCCGGAATTGTGCGCTTGTCCCGTGGATCGAGATGGACACGCCCAAGTTATGTCCATACGAGTGACCTTTGTTTGCGCGCGTTTGCTATTTTTTCAGGCCGCCCGTACGGGATGTTGCAAAACACGAAAGCGAAAAGAGCAAATAATTTAAAGAGGAATGTGCGCGAAAAACTGTCTTTTTGGCATATCGCCCCGCTTGTGCCCACCTTCTCGACCATTGGACCCGAATATAAAAGCGGCAGTGCAAGGCGAATAACAGCACTTCTTGCATTTGCTTCAACCTTATTAAACCAAAACATGTTGTGCATTTCGACAATCTGTGTCTTGATATTCGCGGTTTCTGCGCAATATGACGATATTTCAATTCTTGGCGAGGTTCTTGATAGAACCACTAAAGCTGTTGACGTTTTGGTAGTCGAAGAAGGCTCTGGAGTCGAGGTTTCTTCAGTTACTCCTTTAAACGCAACACTTCCATCATCTTCGACTTCTACCACCACTACCAGCACAACGACTGAAATTCCGACAACTACAACCACTGCCACTACCACCACTGCTACTACTACTACTACTGTCAGCACAACAACGACTACAACAGAAAAACCAACAACGGAAGCTCCAACTCAAGGTTGATTAACTACTTCATCGATCAATCTTCTTAATTACTTGATTTCAGCTCCAACGACGCAAACGGAATCTTTTCCAGAAACCACCAATCCAGAGGAAGAAGAAGAGGAAAGCTTCCTTGGCTTCAAGAAGCCCGATTTAGCCACTATTTACCGTCGACTTTTCCCGTTCCAGCATCCAGGACAAGAAGGCGCAAGCGGATCGTTCCATTGAGTTTCTGCCCATGTTAGCTCATATTTATTATGAGAACGCCCTCGTAATCTGTATCAGAGCATTCATTGAAGCAAAGTGTCAGAGACTTATATTTTCTTATTATGAAATACCTACTTAATTTATTACAATTTATTATGATAATTTATTGTGATTATATAATATAAAGATCTCAGAAAACAATATGTGCTACTTATAGAACCCGAATGCAAATAACAACGATTTGTTTAGCGGTGTTTGAATATTTGGTGTTGATCTATCAAATTCCGCGTATTTGTTTGTCTGAAAAAAGTTAACTGAAGTTGGAAATTAAAGAAGAAGAACATTAACATTATTCTTGATAATTATTTTCGTTTAAATGTTTCAAATTCATGTACCGATTCAAATGTGATTTGTTCGAAAAGAAAACTTGAAATTGATTTCATAAAAAAGTGACCCTTTCAAAAAAAAACACTCGTTTTTTTTTGAAATATCATTGCTGTTAAGCCATTATACGGAGCCAATTGACAAATTGTTCAATTCTACCGTCCCTTTCATATTACCTTTATCAAAGCCAGTGCGCCGATTATTTTGCAAAATCGACGCCACGATTACGACTAGCCTAATATGTTTTTTGCACAAGTTTAAATATCTTTTCCACAATAGCACCAATGTTTGTAGAGCTATCGAGCTAATGGAGCTATCGAGCTAATGCTAATTGGATCATTAAAAAAAATAGAAAAAAAGAACAATCCTGGTGTGTCTCTCTATAATTCGAAAGAGCAAAGAAATAAATATTTGCATTCTTTTGAATAAAAAATGATTTCATTCAAAGTCCAAAACCCGTCTTGTTAAAATATGATATCTGGTCGATTGCACATTTAAATTGGCTTCCAATACATTTTATGACATTGAATTTTTGTTTTCAATCACCAACAACTTTGAAAGCAAATTTGCATTTCACATTGACATAATCCACAGAAAATAAGACGGTAATTATGTCGTTGATCAGAAATTACGCAAATATTTCAGGATAAAAAGCCTAATCATTATATTTTCAGAACAATTTTGAAAACAAAACGCTCCAAAAGAAGTATGACTCCCATTTTTTGTTTCTAACAAATGTATTTAGAAAAGGCTTATAAGTTAGGGAACTGGGTGTATTAATGTCGAATCTCAAAATTTTAGATTCAAAGTCGAATAGAAAAAATTTAAAGCCTGTTGTATTTGCAATTATTCTGAGGCATTCTTAAAAATTCTTTGTGATCAAAAATCACTCCGTGAATTGCTATTATTTATATTTGAATCAACGCACCGGTGCATATTTTTCCAATTACAAAATACGTTTTTGTTGCCGAATTCAAAATGTTTACATAGCGGCAATGAACTTTGCTTTCAGGTGGGATGCGGTGTCGATATTTCGACTGAAGACCAATTTTCGCATCGTTCTTGGTAATGGAATATGTAGTGCGAACGCCAGACTAGACAATAGGGAAGTCGCCTTTGAGTCGTAGCAAATAAACAGTGCACATATTGGTGCAAAGCGATCGTCAGAATAGAGAAGTTTTGTATTGAAGAGTCAGAAGCCAATTTTTCAATTAGATATGATCGAAAAGTTAAGAAAGATACCCGAAAAATTGGACGATTCTATATTCCGGCGCAATTTTTTTCAGGTACATTTTTCCAGAAAAGTATGTTCTACGGAAAATCTGCCCATCACATTTACTGATATTTATAAGTTACAGTAACGAGAATGCTCTTTTTTATGGTCATATCACACAATTTTTGTTAACTTGTTGTACATTAATCATTACTGCAAAAAAAAGATTTTTTTTAGTTAAAATCTTTATTTTGAAGCTGTTTGAGTGCAACTTTTCATCTTCAACCGAGCAACACTTTCCCGCCTTTTGTTGTGTTTTTTTTCCAGTGGCTCGCGTGGAACAAAAAGAGAAATGCAAACAGTGCGGGCAGCCAGAAATATGCATATCCCGAAAGTGAAGGCAAATCTATCACATTATGTCTCTTCCGTTAGATTTTTTTTCGGCTTCGTCTGCCGTCATTCTACTTGCTTATTTGCGCACCTCCTAGTGGGTGCCGCCGACCTTTTTTCTTCTTGCTGCATGCATGACAGCGGCCAATGTGATCCAGGCGCTGAACTGAACTGATCGAATACGACGAACGAATGATAGAATAATTTGTTGGCTTGTGTTCTTATTGAAACTTGTTCGAGTCGGTTTGTTTTTTAGTCAAATGCTGTCGAAGTATAGCCCATGTGTAATATTAGTGAACTTGTGTTCTTTCGAATCGGTTCCACTCAACGCTGAAGGTCGTCCAACTCGGACAAAACCATATGATGGGACAAGGCAGCGTTTTTGTTTGATTGAGATGAATACACATATCGAAAAATTTTGCGGTGCTTCGCTTCCACTAGTCGGCCGCAAAAGGCGCAGGAAGAGATAAAGTTCAGGTTTATTAGGCGATGAAGATAGCGATGGAAACAAGGATGAAAAGCCACCAACCCAGCGACGGCCTACCCCTTCAATCTTCTTCTGTTCCCGGCGGACGCTTCTCCATATACTTATATCCTCATTTCGTTTCGCCGCCACGTACCTACACTAAATCGTCTTTTTCGATCGATCTTCCCCTTTTCTTTACCTTTTTCGTCCTATTTTCACCGATAAATTTTTGCTGAAAAATCTCAAAAAACATTCAATTTTCACATGTTTATTTAATAGTGTGTTTTCTTCAAAAAGACGCAACATAAAAAATTGGTACAGAACAAACAACAATTTCTATTGCTTCGAAAAGATTATGAGGTATATAGACTGACAAGACTAATCAATTCGCAATTCTAATTACTAAAGCTCAAAAAGATATGCGAATGTGTTTCCATCGCAAATTGATTTTAAATTGATCATGACAAAATGCTGATTGAAGATCTCAGATTTACACAATAGCCAAAAACTTGGTATGGAAATTAATGAGTGGAGTGGTGGTGGTGGTTTCTGATTTCTTCATGACTGTTGATTTTGGAGGAAGTTTGGCTGGTGAGTTATGATGCCTTTTCCTTCAGATTATAAGAAATAAGGAAGTTGAGAATCGAAACAAAAAAATACCCTCGCCCATAATTCTAAAAAGAATATTATCTTTTGAGAATAGTTGTTTGTACCTTATTGACAACACGAATCATCAAAATTTGGTTTTCATGATTTCTTCAGCACAAGCTACAAACTTACTGCCACCTTAATTGGCGACAACTTCATTTCCAACAGGACATTTGTGTCTGCTACAAACTATCTGGCCTCGTAAAAGGATTGCTTTGTTCGATGTTCTTCATTCTTTCTGGACATTGCCTATAGTTCAACTTATAAAAAACATAATGCTTTTACTAATTTTCAAAAAGAAACAATAAAGTCCAAAGTTTTGTCAATGATTTATGCGAATTTTTACGAGAGTTGTCAGCATAATGTCTGACTTATTAATTCATTAATGGGAGATTCTGATACGGTTTTGTAATTTCAAACATTCTGAAACTGAAAATGGTTTAGGTTATTTATTCGATCTCTTTAAGTGATTCATGATCGCGTGTTGAAATACTTCTGCATTTTTTTTTGGCGGGGAACGCCTATTATGAACAGTGCCAAAAACCCGCCACCAAATCCATATTTCAACACGTTGCGTCTGGTTTTTTACAATTATTTCATAATGAACACGATGCGCAATGTTTTCCTCGTGCAAATTAGTTCTCCCCCCCCCATACTGCCGAAATTAACGTGTCTCTTGAATGCGATCGTGTCTAGAATGGACACCAGACATTCATCCATTCACATATCCATTCAAGGCTTTGCTTTAATGAAACATCAACGCGATTCATAGTGAGGATGATGCCCCCCCCCCCACTCCCCGGTCAAAAAAATATCGTTTCAATCATCGAAATATCTACCGCGAGAACAAAAGCATGAAACGTTTTTGTTCTATTTCAAACATTTCTGGTTCGTTCCGCTGCTTCTTCTCGATTTCTGAAGTGGATGATGAATCACAAAACCTTTGTTATACATTACCATGACATCATTTTCAAAGTGTATTGTTTCAGAATGTTATTTAATTAAAGCTTTTCCTTTACGACTTCTATTCACTAGTACTATTTCGTTTTCATTTTCAAATTTTCTAATAGCCACGATTTCCATCGAAACTTTGATTCGATCAAAATTTTTATCGCGATTGTTTGATCTTCGCTTTTAGATGCATACGTATGCGACAATTAAACGCGCGATCTGTTCAAATGACCGTATTTGCAAAAATCCGATTTAACTTTTTTTGCAACAAATTGGAACTGCTCATTTTCAATGGAACAGAGATCACAAAGTCAACAAATCCAGTTTTGTTTTCAAGCATTTGTAGTAATTTTAAAGCCGACGGGGAACCTACACGACGAACACATATATAAATAAGAAATTCCGCTTATCCATCTCGAGAAATTTCCGATTTTATTTATCTTGTCAACTTCGAATGATCATTTTAAACTTCTATTTCAAATTAGTGACACGATATTCATATTTCACGACAAACATCTTCTTGCAAGGTTGAAACCATATCTGATTTCATTTGATCAAGGACACTCATTCAAAACCCAAAAAAATCGGCATAATTGAATTCACTTGAACCATTTCGATCGACCAGCCATCAAGAACGAAACAACATTTTTTGCGAGACTTTTTTGTGAATGTAGAATGTTTTTCTTTTTAAGAGTTGATTACAGAATGGTGTTGAGTTTTACTTTAAATTTGTAGGCATGCGTTTTTTTAAGATAGGAGATCACAAATCGCCGCCGAAAAATTGTTACAACCGGAACTTCACCGAATAATTTTTGCGAAGCTTACAACCACGCTCACCTGTCGTTTTCAACCGTTTACAATCGCCTTCAAATCCATCGTAAAAATCGCTTATTACAACACTGCTTTTAGTCTTTGTATCAAATGTGATAATTATTTTTTCTCAACATTGCTGAGAGGTGTTGATGTCGCCTAATATATCATGTCTAGGCAGACAGCCGTTTTCACATTATCATCGCTAAGTGGAACCTAATTCTCTATATTAAACAATTTTATTCGTTGTGATAGTGTGAACGTTGCTGAAGCAACCAGTAAGGCGAACTCGACGCGTTCAAGATGTCTCATATCATGTTCGCCCAATTTTTGTTCGCTAGCGAGTTTCCAAATTTTTACACAATCGCCGCATTGTTTTCAGTGTTTACACTGTAACAATTGATTCGAACTTGTTCTACTACAAACTCTCTAACTAGCCTCCTCCCACTTCTGACCGTTGGGTCGTTTGCCATATTCAGTTCATTTGAGTTGTCTTGTAGTGTGTTTGTGTGGATGCCAATCAACAACACCTCTCACTTTCATGCATTTATCGTATACTTCCTTCAACCATTTCCCTTTCAGATGTCCCCCAACATCAATCTAGTTCACCCCCCGAATCGGAGGAGGGGGGAGACGCCGCTTCTGCGCGTGGCACTTAATATATTCAGCACTTGTCTCAACCCTCAATTTATCCTCCGCCCTCCGATTCCACGCTTTTTCTTTTCGCTTCACTCGAACTGCCGCCTTTGCCCTTTTTTGTAGCGTGGAGAAATGATGAGGGAGAAGGTGAAGGGGGGGCCGATTGAGAAACGCGTCTCGAATTCAGATCCGATTTGATCCTCTCAACCACCCCCAAACGACGATAATTCATGAAATTCGATCGCCCCAGGTGGTAGTGAAAGGTGCCCCAATAGGATTTCACATGTGAGCGTCAACTCTAAGAAATTATTTTTGGATAAACCAAAATCTCCTATGATTGAAGTTCATTGACGATGTTCGTTCCAGTTTTCCTCGTCAATGAGGCCTCACGTATTCTGTTTTTTTTTTCATTCCCAAATCAAAAATTTGATTATCCATTGTCTTGCAAAAGCTTGAACAAACAAGATCAACTTTAATTAAAACGCTTACATGCCTTCTTTCTTTTCTTGTCGCAATCTTGATGGGTCTACTGTTGTTTTTGCTGGTGCCTTCAACAGTGCCAACTGGTTCGTATTGTTCTTCTCTTTTTTCTTCGGCTTCTTCCTCGGCCTTACCGCTTCTTTTTTTTTCATACACTTATTCGGTAGAGAATTCGTTTATGCAACTAGCATTGTTCTCCCACTCCTCAGTAAAATATGCCATAAATGTTGAAGTGCTGGCTAATGGTCATTTCCATTTTAAATACCATGCGATCACGCATTTAACATTAAGATTACGAATTTTCAGATTCGATGATTTGGGTGTTATTGCTCTTATGTTGGTTCAGCAATGTTACTCATCAGCAAAGCCTTGCAAGTATGTATACTCTGGAACTTCGAGATTTATTGAACAATGCTTCAGATAGTCTTTTTGCCGAAGAAGGCACACAGCCAGGATTTGTGACGAAAATCAACAAGAAGGCATTCAAGATAGTGGCCGAGCAACTCAAGGATCGCGTTCTAAAATTCATGAGAACTGATGGCCTAGAATTCAATATTTCAGCACCATTAACCAATCAAGTATAAAATCTTCCAGTTTTTCGACAAACAATCCCATAAACTGTTCTTCAGGTCCGTTTCACATTGCGCTCATCTCGGATTATCTCCTTTGAAGAAGCTCAGTTCGATTCGGACATGTTCATCGTACCACAGAAAGGCATCTCATGGACGGTATGGGCATTTTGAAATTTCCATTTTTTGGCAAATTTTGCATTTTAATCATTTTTTTTTTCGCTGGGGACTTAATGATGTGTAACTTTTGCCGACCTTGAACATCTTGATTGTAGGGAACGAATATCAATGCGACACTTTTGGCAAGCTTCAGCCTACAGACTACACAAGGCGAGATTACCGGAAACGTGCCACTTTCTTTCGACAAGTGAGCGAATTGCCGCAAATTGTAATTTTTAAATCGGGGGTTTACAGCACGAATGTGGAACTGTTACTTTGGACAGGTGTTAACAACGATGGGCATTTGAAAACCGATCTTATTACATGCAAGGTTAACATCACTTATAAGGGCAGTTCAAAACTCTTATTTCAGGTTGCTGCTAACAATCTGCAGCTTCAATTCAGCCAAGCTGACTCGAACTTGCTAGCCAATTATGTTCCACATATGCAAAATTTCATTCGACAGACCGTTGAACAGGCAACACTTAATATTCAATCGTATAATGTTTTAACTAATTAAGGTGGTTTGCCCTTCATTCCACGCTGAACTTGTTCCTGTCCTCTCGAATCGCTTGATGAACACTCCATTAAGTGCCTCGCTGTTCGAACAATATTTCATCAACTACGCGCTACTCGGTGAGTGCAAAAAGAAATGCCTGCTGCTGGAATCGAACCAGCGTCGCCACGGCCACAACGTGGAGTACTAACCACTATCACAGATAAACGGCGGCATAGGCACAATGGAAGCATAGTGGAACGGCTGTGGATATCATAGGAATCTTATATGCAAGTTATATGGAAGCATAATGGAAGCATTTTTTTGCGGAACCGCGTGTTTCGTATATGGAATGAGCCGTATGCCTTCCATATGGGAAAATAAGAAAACAATTTGATTGCTGTATTCAAAATTTATTTCATATTAACACATTTATTTAATTTAAAATAAAAAAAACAACAATGAAATGAATTTCAATTAAGATATAATCAAACCATTAGTTACTGGCAACTGCCGAACTATTCGAATCATTGTCAGTACTGACATCGAGCGGGACGCTGTAATAAGTAGATTATAATGGGCCTATTAATTTGAAAAACTTGTAAACCATTGTAACGTAAACTAAATTTTTCGAGAAAATACAATCAGTTTTTTTACATCAATAATTTTCTTAAAAATAAAAATAATTTATTTTTATTGCATTTTTGGAAACCCTTTAGTGCACAAAATAAAAAGTGAATTGGCGGAAGAAAGAACAACTCCAAAATTTGAAGCAAAAAGGCATTTTGGTTAAAATTTCAAAGACATATGAATACTCACATCTGAGGGTTGCTGGTAGAATCAAGCAGCTTCCTTAATTGCGCCGCGAGCGCTTCCGGCGCTACACCAAATTTCCTTTGAAGTCGTTGGCGCATTCTATCGCTTAATCAAATAAATAAATTAATAGTCATAGTTCAAAATCTTACAGAAGATTATCCATGACTTCTCGAACCATGCGTAATGCTTTCGCTTTGAAGTCATTTGTCGGTTGTTGCCCAAAGCCATGGATAAGAGCATCTGTAATATAGATATTTGCAATAAAGTATAGGATCTTTATATAGTCGGCGTCTGGCGACTTCTGTACTAGAGCCCCACTTAAAAAGATAAATGCCACTGAATGATATTGGTACGAAGGCTGTACGGCAATCGGAAATTTCGGCGATTCGGCTAATGGCAAATTACCGATCGAAATTTTCTTCGGCAATTTGAAAAACCGGCAATTTCGGCAATCGGCAATTCCATTGCCGCACAGCCCTGATTGGAACCAAATAATCAACAAGCTTTAAACTTAGGAAGTACTTTATAAAGACTTCATTGCGCATATTTTTCTAATTGAAACCATTTCTGGAGTCGAACAGGCCAATTTTTGATGATAACAACTTACAAATTGGGCGTACGAAGGTTTAGGAATTGGCGTTGATTTTGTTGTTTGTGAGGACTGTGGAGAAAAATTTTTTTGCTGAGTTGGCGAGTAAATTGGACTATCTGGATCTGAAGTGTCGAGCGAATTTGGTTCCATGTTAGGGACTTCTGGTTCTTTGTTATTGACTTCTAGAGCAGTTTCAGTTATATCTGACAACACTCTCGATCTTGTCTTCATCTGTAAAAAATTTCAAAACATTATGTTTTATTAAAAGAAAAAAGCGAGCGATAATAAAAAATATGTTAAAGTAAATAAAAATAAAACGGATTCGATGAGAAATTAAACACAATTCGATTGAGAAAATATTTAAATTCGATTTTAAAAGTGTCGGAAACGATTTGAAAACATCGTATCGATTTTAAAATTTTCGAATGCTATCAATTTATTTTTGGTTTCGATTTTGATGATAAATATGAAAATTTTTCCTTTATTTTTTAAAAACATTTTTCCTTTAATTTTGAAAAAAATTCTTTAATTTTTGACAAAAAAAAAACACAAAAAATCTTGAAAATTCATTGAGAAAAAGCAAAAGGACAAAAATTTTGAAAACGAATTTCGAAAATGTGAGGCGTGGCCGCATTGTGCAAAGCGGCGCACGGTTTTGCAATGCTGCGGCACGCCTCTTCTACGCGCGTCTGCTACCAGTTTGGAGCAAATTGTGAGTAGTTTGCGATGCCAATTTCGGAAAAACCGGCAAAAATATATTAATACGACTAAATTGTAGTTGGCAATCTTTAAACAAAGTGAGGAACAGTTGACTGAATTAACATAAATCTGAGTAACATAAGTCATTAAATGGTAGAAGCTAAATTTCGTCCGTTGTGTATCATGTAATTTTCAAATTTTCATTGTTTATATGATAGCATAAGTTTTTTGTATTGATTTTTCTAGAAATTGTCTTGGTCTGCCGTACAGACGCCAATTGTATAATGTTTATTGACATATGATTATTTTATCCATATTCCATCCATATTTGTTCCACGGCTCGCAAACACCGGAAGCATATTCATCCCGTTTTCATTCCATCCATATTCGTCCCATAATTCTTCCACAGCCACTAAGAATTACATTATGCTTCCTATATGGAAGCATTATGCTTCCGTTCCACAGATTTCCCACAATGCTTCCATTATGCTTGCGTCGCGCTTAATCAGTGATACTAAGCAGGCCGAGAGAGACGCGTCGCAAAGTTGGTTAAGTATTGGCGGTGCAATGGGGAGCGAGACGGAAGAGAGCGAGAGATTGTAAGAGAAATTGGGTTGTCAGGCAGATATAAGATTGAATGTTGCAACCAGCAGGGATTTCGCCAAAATTGATTACCTAATTAAATAAATATGCATCTGGCTGGTCCCTGTATTCATTTTCAAAATTGGTTATGTAAATGATTAATTTTTTAAAAGATATATATTGGTTCATTGACGGGATGTTGTAATTTGCGATCTTTTTGAAAATAATCCAGTTTTCTAGATTGGAATTTTACGCAGTTTCGTTAGATGTTTGTATGTGTACTTTTTCATCAATACGACATTCGTCAATTTTTGTTGTAATAGAAAGGAAAACTTCCTCATTTTCACAATATATCATTATTACAGGACCAGTGGAATTCACCGCTCAGTCAATCACGTTGAAACATCGCGGAAATTCATTCGGTATACTTCGACAAGGTAGTAGTTGCTTAAAACAATTCCCTGTTGATGTTTCAATTTTAAGGACGCACTAGATTGAATGACTTCCGTTTACCATACCGCAGTCCAGCGCTTCAGGTTCCATCAGCGGATTCCGGACACATGGTCGATTTCTATTTGTCGAACTACACGCTCAGCTCTTTGCTTTTCTGGATGGACCAGTACAGAAAGTTTGACTATGAGATCAGTCGGCAAGCAACCAACAACACGGCGCTTGTCGGATATTTGAAAACCGATTGCGGTGTTGGAGATATTTGCGCTGGAACATTGTTCCCTGGTATTTTAGCACTAAAACTTGCTGAAAAAAAAATTGTCAACAAATTCGTTTTGCAGCACTTTCAACACGATTCCCTGGTGGTGAAGTTGTCATCAAATCGCACACGATTTCCTATCCAAAAGTTGTTCTAAAGAAAAACAATGCCACGATTTTCATCGACAGTCGGGTCGACGCTTTTGTTCAGGTTCGCTGATTGCCCCCGATTAATCGCGTAAATGTCACAATTGTTTAGCAACAAGACCGCAGTCGGCGATTCTTAACAGCCTCGATGAATGCGGAGGTCAAATTGGATAAGGTCTCGTTCAAGGATTTCGTGCTTCACGGTGAAATGCGCATTGACAAGTTCAAAATTGCTGATGTAATACTACAAATGCCACTGATATCAGCCAAATCGATTCGCTTTAGGTAGCATCGCTTGTCGATGGAATTGACGAAGGATCGCTGGAATTCCTAGTCAACGCCTTGACTGAATTAATATTGAACGAAGATATGGCGAAGAAACTGAAAGGAGGTTTGTTAATAACTAGAATTTTTGGAAAAGTGAAAACAATAATAAATTACTCCAATTATGACGATGGTGTTACTAAAAAAAGATTCGGCTAGGGGACATAGAATCTAGAACCCATCCATCATAGTAGACATAATGAATGTTTGATAAATTGTTTGAAAGTGAAAATCGGCGCAATTTTTTTGTAGGAATCCAGCTTCCAATTATGTTCGACTATACCCAGCAAACAGCTCAAGTCGAATTCGAAAATGTAGGAAACGATTGAATTCGCTGAATTCTTATCATTTTCATCGTTTAGGGCTACATTCATATTGGAGCTGATTATTGTGCAACCGAGAAGTGTTCAACTGTTGCTGACAGCAAGGACACCAACGTGGATTACTACGATACGGTTCAGGGTTAGACGGAACGTTGACACCTCACCAAATGTTTGTAAAAATAGACGTGAATAGATTCGATGAAATCATATCTAAACCGAAAAATTGGTAAGCCTGAAACATAACTTGTGGAAATCTTAAATTACCACGTTTCCCGATTAGATATGTTTATGAAAATTAATGCGGGTTTTAATGTACACTTCTCATTTTTATAGTTCATTTTGTTCCAATCGTCACTTGTCTTAATGGTTTCTCGCACTTCTCGACTTATTTATTATTATTCACATTTCTGTTCGATTTCGTGTTTCTCGTATTTCATCTCTTCAACAAAGTTTTTGTTTGTATGTACAAGGTCTTTGTTTGTTAATAGTGTGGCATTTGGAATAAATATGAAATTTCAAATAAATATTTATTCATGCTTCAAATGACGGTGGATTGTCGTGAACTTTGAAATATTGTCTGGAACATAGAAAAACGAAAAAGGAACCAAATTTGGATTTCAAAAAGAAAATTGAGAAAATTACTAGAAAAAGCGACAAATAAAAAAATAAAATAGCACCGTGGGACGTCAAGAAAATAGTCTTAAAGAAACCAAAAAAACATTGATAGATATAAAAAGCATGCAATTAGTTTATGGCCAATGACGTTTTAAGGAATGGTACGTATTTTCTGATAGAAATGAAAAAAGGACTACAAGATAGAAAAATGGAACACAAATGACTAGACCACATGAATATTATCAAGTCATTAACAACAATACAATATTCAAACATTTTTTTTTTAATTGGAGAGACCGTACGTTTTGGACCGTATTTGGAAATGCTCCAACAACAACATTATCATTAGAGAAGATCGTGGTATGCTAGACTGGTTTTGGAATCATCATCTTCAAGATTCAAGCTGCTGAAAAGTATAGTATAAGGAAAAACTAAAAGAAGCAATCTACATTGTTTCAGCATCAGCCTGGTCATCCTCCATCATAGCTTCATACTCTTCTATACAATACTTGTCCCATTCAGTGAGCTCAACACCTCCTTCATCCTCAATTCGAGGCGCTTCGGAGCCTGAAATTATATTTTCACATTCGCGAAACTAATGATTTGTGAACATCTGTTTGACATGTCAAAACTCCCACGCGTGCTCTGACGTCAATGTGATCATTTAAAGTTTCATTGGATCCAATTCAACAAACAAAAAATATTACGAACTCTTTTTTGTTCTATAAACTTTTTATGACGGCTCTTATTGACTGATTAGTTTGTTTGACTTGCTCAAGTTGTTTCCCGAAGGTTTATGTTTGTATTGCGGATGTTCTAATCATTTTGTAGTGATTGCGTAGTAAATTTGTGTTGACACAAGTTCGAAAGTTTACCTTCATTGGTCTCTTGAACGAAGAACTTTCTCCAATTTACAAATGTGTTAATGAATCGGCCACGAAGCGGCGACTTCTTTAGGTCTCGGAGTCGGAACGACGTTGCACCATCAACATTGAGCATGTCGATGAGCTAAAAATGAAAAATTGCTTCAGAATACCGTATTAAGCGTAACCTGGCAAGCGACATCAGCGAATGCCATTGAATCAATTCCTTCAGCAGCCAACTTCTTTTGGATTTGTGAGTGAAACAACTCCATATCATACAAAGTCACAATTCCATCGCCATCCAAATCCAAAATTCTGAACCAATATTCGACACTAGTCGGATGCGTTTTATCCTCCTCAGCCAACAGGAATTGTGTGAACTCTGGTAGCCCAATCTCTTCAATTGGTTCCATGTGTGAGGACGACATGCAAACCGCTCCCGAGAATATTCTGTCAACAACCAATGGAGCGAGCGCTGAGAATTTTTCATCATTAATTGTAATGCCGTCGAACTTCAAGTCTCACCACCGCCCGCATGTGCAGCGAGATCGCGTTTTCGGATTTTCAAATCATGATCGGTGTCGATCTCCCAGAATTTACAATATACAACGTAGAAGTGCTCGTAACTGCAACGAAACGTATTAAAAACAGTTGTTTTCGCGTAATTGTGTACCTGAAGTATCGTAGTGATTTATTGATATCATCTTCAAAAGCGAGGTCCCGAATCGCTTGCAGTACTCCGCCGCGGCGAAGTCGTTCGGTAGTGAGGCGACCTGACCAAGAATGGGCGTCATTCCAGAATATTCTAGTCATCACCTGAAAGCGAATAATTCGATTTGACCTAATACGTAAAGATTTATTACCACTTGACAATATTTATCATGGAATTCGGTGGCTTCCCTATAAAACGCCAATCCTGGATGTGTGTGGATCACATCCATCAGTAAATGATAGAAATCTTCGGGCACTAGATAACTTCTTGATCCCATAGTCATTGTGTAAACGAATCTGCAAGCATTCTCAAATTATTTTAGGTGCGATTACTTGACAATAAAAACCTTGAAGCTTCGTCATGTGCAACAGATGTCATCGCTTTCCACCATGATGTGAAATCGATTTGAGTTGCCGGCCGATTCTGAATGAGAAAAACGGCCAATTAAGATTTTATTGGCAAAAAAAATCGGTTTACCTCATCGTTGGTCAATGCCATAAACACCGGCATTTTCCAATAAAGCGGAAGACCGGCTGCCTCACAGACAAGCTTCATGTTGTTCAATTCGCACTGAAAAATATTTGTGTGAAATTTATGGCACGAGAAAGTCATGGGATGCGCTACTTTCTGATCGGGCAGTGAACGGAACACTTCACACACTCTGCGAAGTGCGGCGTCGTTTTGAATTTGAGGTACCGGTTTTCCTTGAGGGAAATATATGCTATAAAGTATCAATGAGTTGTAAAATGTATGGAACAAGCTTACGGCTCTTTCGGTGCTACCAGTTTTGGTTGTGGAGGTTTCGCAATGGGAGGAAGTGGCTTTGGAGTAGGACGATATTGTTCATCAATCAAATCACTAGAAAATTATTCAAAGATTACCTAATCGGTGTATTCCAGTCCTTACTTCAAATCAAAATCATTTAACTTCTTTTGATGAAGATTACTGACCAGTTCCGGTTCAACATTGAGATCATTTTGAGAGACAGTTTTCTAAAAAAAATTACAGATCGATTTGAGTTTAGCTAAGTTTTTTTTTTCGAACCCTTCCATAGTTTCCATTGCTGTCTATTGTACTATTAAAACTGAGTCGGTTGGATGGTGCTGACGAGGTTCGCTTCGGCGGCGATGTAATGTGCAATTCAGCCAATTGCGGACTTCTGAAACCATTGAAAAATGATTGATTCGTCAAACTCAAACGCCATTATTTTCAGTTTGCTCTCATTTCACAGCGCTATATTTTGCGAGCCATCATTATTTCGTTCTCCTTCAACACATATGATGTTTTCGAATATATTTCAAGCAGGTGGCAATTCTTTCTTGTTGTTCACAACTCGTCGGCCACATCCTACGCGTTGAAATAAATAAAAAAATAATTGAATGGCTCGCAATAACACTACTCACAGCAAGGTTTCTTTCGTGCCCTCTATCATCTGGCAACAACAATCGAATGATGGAGAAAATTTAAAGGTACAGATATTGCCGACAACTGATTAAATTGTCAAACGATTGGACAAATAATGGGGTTGGTCTCAAAAAATGCAATGTTCGTAATCAAGGCAAAGGATGTGAGGTGTCAATTTGCTCAAAACTGGATTATAACTGATACAGTCTCTCTGGAAATTTAAGTTCTTGAGAGAAACCAATAATTATAATTGAGACCACATTCTTCCCAAAAAGATCAAAACTACTATTTTGCGTAATATTATAGGCGTGATAAAGCGAGAGTTCCGTTTTCCGGTTACCTCGAATATTGACGTGCAGAAATGTACACCATTATCAAAGAAAGCACGGCAAGCAAATATCAGGACGAACTCTGGTTTCGAAATTTTTTTTTGAATTGTGTTTTGTTTGCGCTTTTCTATATACTTAACACGCAGTTCACAAAACAAATTAACCGTCTTATATACAATTCTAAGGACAGGGAGAAGGATAAAGGCAAACATACTTTGTCGGTGTCACATCGGCTTGGATTTGGGTCGTCGATGCAGAAGTGACGTTCTGAAATCACAAAATTAATGGATATTAGGTGAAATCGGAACTAAGGAACGATTTTTTGTTGTCAATGTTTGTTCAACTCACTGTTCGGTTCCTTAGTAATCGCCATACTCGAAGATTTCTAGGCGCTGGGAACGTTTGCATCGTGACAACACGCTCACATTTTTCAAATTTCGGTAAGAATAGATTTGAAATCGGCGTTGTCAGAATGGCCGGCGGAATTTTTAAAAACTGGCCGGATTCTTGTTGTTTTCTTATTTCTTCACCAACGCCGACGACTCACGCCGATTTGGCAAAGCAGCAGCAAAAAAAATCTGAGGCGGCTACTGCGTGAAACAGATGAACAATGCAGCAAAGAGGACGAGATAAAGATTGTGAAGAGAAGGAGGCGAGGCTTTTTGATTCGACTTTACACACAAACACACGCAAACACACTTGGACAGCCAATGGGACTTTCGAACGCGGAGAAAGTCCCAGTCCGTCGCATGATACATTCTTTATATACACGATTTCTTGATATATCACTTTCGCACTATTTTTGGATGACACCAAATCGCTGACAACGTCATTCCTTACGGCAGGCATTTTTTTGTAAACCTTGTTTAATTTACATCACTGTAGGTATGTATAAACGCTTAAATAAATAAAAAAATGCGAGGGTATGAATGTAATCTGAGAATATTTTGACGCGAAATTTCGACTTTCACGGATGCTCAATTTGCTCTCGTCTTTGCTTTTATGCATAATATCAAGATTGAGATTCATATAAAATGCAACCCAGCCAAGATTTTGAAAGGTTTCTTTTCGTGATATACTACTTTGTGAAAAAAAACCAAATGGCTTTAATAAAGATAATTCTATAAAGTTGGAACCAGTTATCAGATTAATAAAGAACGACTGCTTAAAATTTAGGAATAAAAAACAAATATGAGAACACATTTTCAGAAAAAAGTTAGTATTCTTCAAAATGCGTTTCTCTCATTTCATCCTATGCTTCTTGCACCAAACTTACATCGTTTGTCGATTTTCTCTGATCATTGAATACTTTTCGCATAAAGCTTTCAATGAACCGTCGAAATCGGCGTTGCGACCGCCTTCGTGGATTCACCACCACCGCCGTCTGTTTCTGATGATTTGATCTACGTGTCGCCAGCATACTGCACTCGCAGAGCACCGCATCTGGCGGTCTGGAGTCAACTTCCTTCATACTAATGCGAAGGAAATAGTTCAACTCCAGAAGTTGAGCACACTCTAAACTAGTAAACCAGTAAAGACAAATCAAGACCAAGGCGGTTGAGAAGAAATATGATGAATAACAAAAAGCAGCAAGCAAAATTGTCAATAAATATTATTGGAAAAAATAACACAAGACGATGAGAAATAAAACAAGGAAAGCAACATGGCATGTTTTGTGTGCATCAATGAAAATCAATAAGGTTGTTACTAACTGTACGAATGCTCTAGTCACCTCCACTAATATTAATATTTGACTAAGATATTATTCTGTACTCGACTCGTTGAGTCGCATCACTGCTAGCCCGGCAATAAATAAACTGTTCGAGCGAAGTGCTCTCCGCGATAGTGAAATAGAGACAGAGAGTTCAAAACAATCCGATTTGGAATCGAAATGATATGTATTGTTATCACCTATTTTGATTGATGCGAAACAGCCTAATCTTTCAAAGGAAGCCGACGCTAAGATGTGATATCGACTTTAAAGTAGTTGTACAATTTGTGTCAGGTTGGGTTGCTAACAAAGAAAATGGTTTCGCAGTATGAAAAAATATGTAATATTGGAAAACAAAAAATAAATTGTCAGTGCATGAAGAAACATCAACTAAACGAGGTGATGCTTTCGATTTTATGTGTTCACATAATAAATTTATGTGTGTATTTTATGCGATGACAAAATAAGGAAGAAGAACATTTTTAATTTGAGAAGGTTGAAATGTTATTTTTGAACAAAACTTTCACTTTCTTTGAACGATTTTTCACACTTTAAAACAGTTAAAAACTTTGAAAAATTGCGTTTTATCACGTTATTCTTCAAGATTGGAAACCTCGTTGTAAATGGATGGTTTCGTTGACAATTATTCCTGCCAATTATTTTAGTGTGCCACCAATCGTGTTTTTGCTGTTGAAAAAAAAATATGATTGAGCTCAGCAAACGTTGAAATTAGTTATACGAAAATTGAAACTCGAGCCATTCATTGCCGGCATCCGGTCAAAAGGAATACCAAAAAAGAAACTAAAAATATATGTATAAATAAAATGCAATGAAAAGAAGAAGACCTGCTTGTGAATATAGTAGGGCTTCCAATGTGAATTGATGACATTTGAAACAAAAATGTTATGATTTCATTGTGACATCAAATTCCTTATGTTGCCCGTCAGAAGAAATTGTGTGAAAGCAAAAACAATGCGCCGCCGCATAAAAAAAGTGGCAAGAAAATGAAGAACGGAAAAATTTCCTGTATAATGTTTTCTTTGCGAAGTGAACTTTCAAATGATAACCGTATTATAATCCGGAATGCGTCAAATGCTACGTACAGTAACGTATATAACCATATGCATTGAAAAACCACTTGTACATGTATACTATATACAACGGCTAGAGGCCCAAATAATATTTTCAAGGATGGAATAAACAAATCAGCACGCTGATAATAATAATAAGCAATAATAGTAATGATATTTGTGGAAGGTTTGAGCTTGACACACTGGTGCTCCACTAGCAGCAGGAAAAAACTTTCGGCAAGTGAATTGGCGCAAAAAATCGTCGAGCAAGAAGAGAACCGGTCGGCGAAGATTGTGTGCTCGCCTCAAATCACTTGCTCATATGCAAATGATTTGTTTTTTGTTTGTTTCCACAGAATGCCATTCGGCTCTGTCGACGAATTGATACAATCCCTCCCCCTCCCGATCATATTTTTCCTTCTCGTGGAATTAAAATACATTAAATTCTCGGCGACGTGTATTGCCCACTTTTTTTGTGTTATCATTACCGGACACGCGGCGTGATGTTTGCTTTGGGTGACTCAGTGAAAAGGTGTGAAACAATTAATAACCCACCTACCCGTCAACTAATAAAACTTGATATATTTCAAAATTCTTGATTTATGAATGGGTTGTGAATCATCGTTCGAAATTTGTCACTGTTGCCAAAAATGTGTCGTGTTCGAACTAAGAGTTAGAAGGTTGTCAAACAAAAAACGATACAAAATTGAAACCGTCTAAAAATCTCTATCAGAGGACTGATATTATTTTTTAAATCCTCCTCCTCCGCATTATCTTTTTGAAAACAAACCCACCCATGAGAAAAATTTCATTGAAAATAATCGATCGAGTAACATTGCTCAAATTTCTGAAGAAGAAAAAATTGATTTGTTTTTGACAACACTATCAAATTGTTTTCTTGTGTTCACAATTTTGCTCAGCTCAACATGAGCATTTTTCAAAATTTATTGCTTGCTGAAACTAAAAGATGGAGTGTAAAGAAAAAAAAAACAATCAAAAGAAAGGATAGGATTTTAATAATCAGTACCCTAAAAAAATTTGAATTCTCGCTTCAATCTTTTCGATTCTCTCACGTTCGTCTTATATCAAGAAAGGTGTCGCAAAGAACGGGCGATAAAAGGAATCCGGTTGGTCATTTCGATTTCGCACCATCGAGTGATAAATGGCCGGCGCCATATCAGACAAATCAATCAAAAAGCACTAGCAAAAAATGTTTGACATGATTCTAGTGACAATGTCACTGATGGTGGTGTCTTTGCCTATCTATAGTAACGGTTTTGAGTATCACAATGAGACCCCCCCTGGCATTCAAAGAGACGAATAAGAAAAACAGTACGTATTTGGGACTGCTGATAGTAGTAGCGCAATGAAACCGGTTCAGATACTAAAGACTTACAGGCATTGCGCGATAAACCATGCCATCATATAAAATATATGTGCGTGTGTGATCGGGATTTGGATAGAATATTGTCGACAAAAAATTCACATGAAGCAAAGTTGAAAGCTTCTTTTTTTTTTCGAAATCCTCGCAGCACTTTAAAAACGGAAATTTGATATTATTCCGGCTCTTTCGAACATTTCTTTATGTGACATGTGTTTCTTCAAAACCAACCTCCCAATTAAAACCTACGTGCATAAATCTAAACCGAGAAATTCAATGCCACCCTCGTAATGAGCATTATATGCATACAATATAATACAAAAAAATTTGCATATGTACTTGAAGGGCATACATTTTAAAAGATCAAGTGTACAACAATGATATCGAGGTCAAACTACATGGTTATTTACTATTGTGTTCTTGTGGGGGGCTTTAACAAAAAATGTATGAATGGAACTTCGGTGCCCATAAAGAAAATGAAGTCAACTGGAGACCATTCAAGACAAAAGAGAGTAAGAGAATAGCAAAAAAAATCAAACATTAATTTTAAGGTGACACTTTCTCAAAGTCTTACTCCACATTTAGAAAACTTGGCTAATGATTAATGCATGTATATCAAGAAAACGCAAATTCGAACATTTTTGTAGGATGTTGGTTTTATCATTTATAGATTACGGAAAATAATTTTTGTCGATAATGAATAAATCATGAGAGAAGCGTTGCTACCAGCGCGTGCGGATGTTCTCAGGAGAAAAATGAATAATTTTCCGTCTTTAACATCCTTATTGGAATTCGAAAATTGCACGAATGATTTGACTTGAAATACTCTGAATTAAATGAGGACCATCATAATTTTAAACAAAAAAGCGATTTCGAATATTATTGCTAATTTGAGATTTTGAGAATTGTGAGAATGAATTTCAGTAAAATAAATGAGCGGCATATATATGGCGAACAGCCATTTTTGGCAATGTACGATTTGTTTGCGCTTCATTTCGCTCACTGGCAACATTTCTTGAAATCCATTCTCATTTGTTTGAAGTAGCAGCCATTTTTCATTAAAATTCTCGTCTCTAACGAATGCTTGAAAAACAGCAGAAAAATAAAACGAAAAAATGATCGCAATGTGACCTTCTCATTACTACAGCCAAGTATTTCTGTCACATTTGCCGTAATCAAGAAAATTGGAAATGAAAGAAACTGACAGAAAAGTTTCATTTTGTAGAGTAACTTTGCGGCGTGTGGAATAAAATAGTGAATATGTAGGCAATCATATTATCTATGCATATAATGGGATGGTTAGAGCCACGGTGGTCGGTGGAATATAAAAATAGATGGACAAACATTGAACTCTAAAAAGGAGCCGATGAAAGAAAAAGAAGAAAAAAAAGGCATCTATGCATGTCTACTGAAAAATCGAATGCGAAACGATGGGAACGCGGGCGCTGTCTGTTCATGAGAGCACTATTCGCTGGCGAACATCGAACATGTTTGAATGATAACACACCGCGCATTTGTGGAGTACAAAAGCGCTCGCGAAAATAAATGGAATGAATGTGAAGTGGAGAAACAAATGCTCTCGAGTAGCAAGCGACTCGAACGAAAATGCTGCGGGAAACCATATGGTAGTATCCGATTTTTGCACTCGTCTCACTTCTTCCGACTTCCGTCAAGTTGAAATCATCCTCGCAACGAGCACCATCGGCTGTCGAACGTCGGAATGTGTTGAAACAGCACTTTAATTGCTGAGAAAATGACCGCAAAAATTTTTCTGAAGAGAGTGGGATTCGAACCCACGCCCCCGAAGGGACTGGTGCCTTAAACCAGCGCCTTAGACCGCTCGGCCATCTCTCCACATAGCACTGCAATAGCATTCACCGTAGACAATATGCACTGACTCGCATGAGAGAGATTGAGAGAGATGAGAAAAGACATGAGAGTTAACGTGCATCTCATTGTTCAATTTTGGAAATGCTTAAAATTGAGAATTTGAAAAAAAGGAAATAGGCTTTGTAAAATGTAAAAAATATATTTATGAACTAAAAGCTAAGCATTTATATGAACCGATCAAAAACTCTCGATGAGTTTAAAGTGTGTCTAACATGTTTTGAACCGCCTTGTAAAAGAGCCTAAAAAATTGAACTCATTTGATCAAATCAAAATCGGCTTCCAAGGCAAACAAATAATGTCAATATTATCATTATAGTTAAAATTTTGTCTTTTAAATAGAGGACCTACATATATAAGCAGTTCTCAGAATTCATTCGTAAATATTCGATTAGCGAAAATGTCAAAGATGGCTTTCCCATGAAGATTAGAAATTAAAATGAGGAATTCGAGAGGTTTTTCTATTCAATACTCAACATGGAGAACTTTTTGATTTTCACGGAAATTGTGTCCAATTGCTGATAAAATTTTTTTCAATCACGCGTCATCATTTTGGATAATAGTATTAAGTTCTCATTATCTGAATTGTTTGTTACTGCTGCTCAAACTTTTCACGACTGTTAACTCTACTCAAATGTTTAAACCATTTCTATGCAGCTAGAATAATTTAAAAAAGAAACTCACATTAGATTTGAAGTCGAAAATGGAGTGTGTCGAGTTGTACTGCTTTTGTACCGGCCTCGCTGCCTGCTGGATTTGAATCGAGTGAATTTGCACGTGTCGAACTGGTGGTGTTGGTTGGTAATCGCCCATATGGTTTGCTGTTCCGAGGTCCACATGGATTACAGGTTTCGCACGAAACACAGCACTTCTTGGGCTCATATTTCCTCCATTTGCACTTGGTGTTGGCGATCTCTCATGATACTTTATAGTTGAAGCCAATTGGATTGTAGGTGTTCCTGGGCGTTTCTCGAACTCCGTGATACGCGACGCGACACTTCCCGTAGTTGGCACTGGAAAGTTCGGCCCATTGCGATAAATGGAACGGGACATTTGTTGATTAGGTGTGTGAACACCAGCGAGATAAAGCTGCTCTTTAACATTGTGCTTCGGCTTTGGATGTGGTAGTCCTGTAGGGATTTGGTAGACAGATGAACTGTCACTGTTGTCTTCGGTTGGTGACGGTGAGTGGATTTTGCGTTGAACCGGAATTAGAGTTTTCTGCTGCTGCTGATTCAATGGCGGCGGACTAAACGCGTGATCTCCAGTAGGGAATCGCCCACATCCCCCAACTCTTCGGCTATCTCCATTGAACGCGTTATTCCGTGCGGCATTACTCAATTCGCTCACCGCATTATCCAGCTCATTAAAATTCAACAAGAATGAGTTGGATGGAAACGATGGATTCAATGGCACTCGCGGTTTGTTGTTGAAATCAATAGTGTCGGTCGAATCTGCCATTAATTGCGCTTTTCTCGCAGCAACGCCTTGTCCGTTGCCAACTTTTTGAGTTTGCCGCTTATCGGTTTCAATTGGTTCCTGTAACAATTGCAATCGTTCCGCGGCTGTCAAGCTCGTTGGAATTCGTTGAATAGTCGGCGATGACGGTCGTGAGCTAATTGTTTGACACCAAAAATTGTCCAGTGCACCCGATCTTCTCGGCTCTGGTGCTTCGGCTGCTCTTCTCTCGACAGCTCGTCCCAACACCGAATTTTGCACTTCATAATTGCTCGAAGACTTGGCAACTCTTCTCGGCAACGACAGCGATCCAGATGTCGCAAAATCATGATGGTTGTTATTGGTTTGCAATGTTTGAAATCGATTTTGAAGCTCTCCAAATGATTTGCTCCATTCGGATGTGCTCCGGCTCATATTGTCATCAAGCAGTCGTGCCGCAAGTAACTCCAACTGATCAGTGTCTGGTTTCCTATTGAAATATTGCTGCTGAGTTTGATGGATTTGTTGAGTTTCGTGTGGCGGATTGTACGGCTCCTGTTGTCGTTGATCCTGATGATAAGTGTTGTAGTTATAATTATTGGTGTTCGAAAATGACGTTGAAATCGGACCGTTTGACGAGAAAGTCGTTTGAATACGTTGATGAAAAGTTTGCGGAGAAGCGCCGTTAGCGGGAATCACGTTCTGATAAATTGCAGTGGTTCGAGTTACGTTGGGCTCCTCGTTTCTAACCGTGTATTCAAAAGCGGGCTTCGAACTCGAATAGTTGTAACGTTTGTCTTCAAGATAGGCTTGAAGAGAAGGCGAATTACTGATTGAATGTTGTGCTGATGGATAGCGCGAAAGAAGATCGAGGAGTGCCGAACCACTGGCTGGTGATCGCTCACGCAAATGTTCCGAAAAGCTCTGGCTCGATGGTACGTTTAAAGTGTGCTCCGAATATGCCCAAGGAGTTGTCGATGCTGGGCGTCGTTGTTGTGACGGAAAATTGACTTCAGTAGAACGCAGTGGAGTTCCGTTCCAGGTGTTTGTGTAGTTGTCGTGCTCTTCGGAATAGGTTCTGGGTTGGTGCTGGAATGCTGATCGTCGAGCGTCTGCTGAATGTGATCGCGTTCGAGTGTTCAGCGATTCGTCAAAATAACCGTGCGACTGATGTGGTTGTTGTTGTTGTTGATAGTTCGGCTGTTGTCCACCGTAGCGCAATGATTCAGACGGAAACTGAACTGTCGATGAGCTCGGTTGATTGAATCTCGAAAAGTAGTCGTCGTCGAGATGGTACATTTACCACGATGGACGACGGTGCTTTTCGCTCGTACTGAAATGAATATTGACGGTTGGTTTCATGCCGATTGAAAATCGCCGACGAACGTATTAAAATAACGAAGCGAAATTGAGGGGTGAGGGGGTTGAGGAATTGTTTGAGTAACATGGAATAAAAAATTGTGCAAACATACTTGAAATGCTGAAGAGGAATCTAAATCGAAAGTTTTAATCAATATAAACAACAACAATTTCGTGTGAGTGACTAGTGATTGTTCTTGCTGTTACTCATCGACATTTTTGAAGACAAATACTAAAAACAATCGGAACATTGTCTTTTATTAATATAAGATTTTAATTGTTGAAACATTTGCACTGATTAAATGACATGTGCTTATAATGTAAAATTTTCCGGATTTTGACTACACATAGGAATCCAATATACGCATTTAATCCTCACACGTTTTATAGTTATTCGAATATATGTATTGAATTCTAGATGCGCATAAATGATTAATATGAAATTTGTAAACTAAAATTGATATTCGATAAAATATGGCTTGTCAATTCAAAGCAAAGTTTTGAAAAAAGAATTGTCGGAAAAGTTTTCTTTCATCATTCAATTCAACAAAAAATTCTTTGAAACACGAGAACACATTTTACACTTTGAAAAAAGAATGCATTTATCGAAATCGATAAAATTTCATCTAGTTGACTGAAGAATTTCAATTTCCGCTGGCAAAATCGCAAAAAACACCAAAATCAACTAAATCGATTTAAAAAATTTTAAGAACAACAACCTTCATCAAAGTATTTAGTCTACCAATTCTTGAATATCAAATGGGATTTGATTGACGCTAACCAATTTTCAGATTAAAACGAAAAAGAAGCCATATGATGGATTATTGTTCTCAAAAAACCTTTCAATGCGGAATTTTTGACGAGAACTTGGCTGGAATGATTCGTTTCCGCAATTTAATGATTCATGCGGATCAGCCCGGCTACGCCAAACAACGTGGCACGAAAAGATAGAAGAGAAAAGACGAGAAAATATTATACAAAAAAACTAGAAAGAACGTGGAAAATGCAACGGAATGAGGTGCTAAATGAGTTCTAGGTGCCGGAAGAGCTCATGAGTGGAAAACGCCTTTGGGTCTCGGAGCGAGAATGCAATAAAACAGTGGCGACTCTTTTCTACTCTCTCTTTAGCTTTGAACGCTGGTATTGTTACAGCGGAATGGAGTCAAATGAGAAGATGCAAACGCTTCTCGGTTATTCGATTCGTAACGGCTTGCTCCCGATCCACCTCCTTCTCTGCGGCTCTTTGTCTCTTTTGCTCATTTACGTGGTTATGTCTTGTGTATGTTGTGTGTGTGCTCATCCGGGAAGCCGTGTGGACTACGCGGTGGGCATCTGAGGACTACTGATGTGCTCCCGCAGCTGTCGTCAAATGTCTGTCATGGATCCCTGCATTGCCCTCCCGCTCACCGGCCGGATTCACGGCGAGCGGGAGTGCACTACGTGGTCAACTCATCATCATTATTCTCTGTCTCTATCAGTTTGGAACTCTTACACTGATCCACCCCTCCACCAACCTGCATCTCGAGAATTTTTGGAACATTTTCACTGGCAGAATAGTGGGCGCTTGATGGATGGATTGGTGTTAAAAATGCAATTATACCGATGTACATTTGTTTCGAATTGCACACGGCCACACAACGAAGAAAAATGAAAATATGAGGACGCGAAGGGTTTTGACATTCATTGGGTACTTCTATCAAAGGAATGAGATGGCTACTTGAATGGCTGCGAAAAATTTGATCGAACACGCCCTTATTGTGTAATAATTCATTTCACAGGGGGGTCGTTCATCTGAAAGACGTTCAATATATTATCGTCGCAAAAAAGAGAAAACGAGCACCCTTGGTGTTTATGTACAATTTTCACGATTTTATTCGCGCTTGAATTCAAATTCCGAGTTGTACACTGAGAATTACTGTATTACTCATAACAATACAAAACCAACTCATGGCCCTTAATGAGTTACGGCAATGAGGATGCTCGTTTTTCACGATTGCATTTAATACACAATATTTCTTTCAATTTAATATCCGCTTTAGAGTCAATGTTAAGAGGATAATCATGACAATGACAAATTCACGATTAAATCCTCACAAAAAGATGCCGGTCTACTTTTGTCGGGTTTAAAGCAATTCGATCATGATGCAATGATGACCTTCCGGCAGATGCTATCCGAAAAAAGCACAGCCGAGTAATTCAAAAATTGGTTTGAAAAAAAATTAGAAACAGGTTGCCATCGAGAATTAAATCTTTTTCAGTTTATAAGTAGAATATAATATGTTCATAATGCGTTCGATTTTATCGAATTGTTGGTTAACTCGATGTTTGCAGAATATAAAACTGGCTGAATACAATGTCGAAAAAAAAATTGCGAAGAAAGGCTTTAGTGACTCAAAAAGAAAAAAAAAAAAGAAACGAATGCATATCAATGTGTAGTCAAATTTTGTAGTATTTTGATAAACAATTGCGTTGTTTTTCAATCAAAATCGGTAGCAAACAATATTGTTCGCACCGTGTCTAGAAACGAAAATGATTGATGGAGGCTTTTGCACTTTTCCTAGATCTGCAGACAACAAGAGAAGATTGCAATTGCCAAAATAATTTTGGGCTAAATCAAATCCAATTTTCACTCACAAAAAATCCAATCAAATAAACAGAGAATATTGCGTGTTTTTTTTTTTTTTTGAAAAGTTGATGTAGACCACCGAATTTAATCAAAAAATATGTGACGTAATAAAATTTTGGGATAATGATAATTTCGGCGACCAACAAATTCGGCATTGCCTTGGAGAACAAAAAGGGTTGGGAACAACCAACAAATTAAATGTATAATTGTCAATGGCTAGAAAAACGACACATGTCTTTCAGGAAAACCGGAATCGTCCATCAACTACGCAATGCCTCGGAATTTCTTGCGTTCAAAATTTTTTTGCGTCTTTTCACCGCTTCAATGTGGCAAGCGTTCGTCGACAATGAGATTGATGAAATACATGGAACAACACAACACCAAAATGAATCGAATCAAGACGTACAAAATTGAATTAGTTTGATTGGAAAAAAAAAGAGATAAAGATAAGTTGTTGCCAATTTGCACAGAGGTCAAGGTTGAATGAATTGGTGTAGTTGGAATGATGAGAGAAGCATTTTAATCGTTGATAATGGTCTTTTCATCCATCAATCTTTTCGCGCGACAAAAAATATTGGCGAAAAATGGTTTGGCGATGAAAAGGAGAAGAACAGGAAGAATTATGTGGGCGACCCTCTTTCCAAATATTCGACATCGTTTTTTTTTTTGTTGCCAAATACAATACATATTGTAATCGTCGGAAATTTCTCTTCTTTTTGCCGGAAAAAAGAGAGGAGAGAAATGAAGTACAGAAAAATTGCAAATAAGTCGAAAAAAAATTTTTTGAACTATGATCGTGTCGATGTCTTTAATGTTTCCCGACAGCGAGTTGGCCAACTTTCATGCGTGACTGATGACTTCATTTTCCATGTTTCATGTTTTAATTATTACGCAATTCAAGCACTTTCTTTATCGCCGTCGTTCACTTTTTTTTCTAACCGTCTTGTGAAACTTTCATTGCGCTAATGCGCCCGCTCTCTTTTTTTCCATTATTATTATTAGCCTCCATAATTCACATTGAACATTAAATTGTCGTCGAAACTAACCAGATGGATGTCGGAGGCGCTCGTCAGATTCTCCTTTTTTGAAATCCCTCCAAGACTCGCCACCGACGTTGTGCCATTCAAAAATGATCTTGGCGATTCTTGTGATTTGCGGCGAAATCTGAAGTTTTTCAAGATGGCTACTTGGTTCGCAAATTCTCACAAAACATTTTCACAATTGACGTTTCCCCTCCCCCTCTCCCACAAATGAAAATAAATTTACGAAAGGCAACAAAACAATTGTTCTACATTATTATGAGTTATAAAACAATGTAAGAAAGCTCAATTTCTTCTAAAAAAAAAGTTCTTCCGTTGCGGGGAATCGAACCCCGGCCTTATGGGTGAGAGCCATAAATCCTAACCACTAGACCACAACGGACACGGTGGGTCGCCTTAAATACGGCAGTGAAACTACGGCAAACGGAAATTTGCAATTCTTGAGTTGCCTAACGGGTTAAAGGTGGCATGTCAATATTATCAACATTTCTTTATATGCAAGCGAGAAATTTTATAGCAAATTAAATCAGTAATATTAAATAATGGTTTATAAAACATAGGCATATGTTTCGCTTTTTAAATAATATCAGTTAGAGACATAATTTTGGTACAATTTTATGGAGCGATATTATTTTATCATTAAGTTTCACATTGAAGCAGTATAAAACAGAAACTCCAGATTTATCAAAAAATTCATCATCAAATTATCATGTTTTAAATTTAATTACTAGCAGTAAATATAATTCTAGATATACTTTTTGCAAATTAACTATTTTAAAAGAATCATATCGTGTATTTGATTTTGAAGTTCATTGCTATTTCTTTTAAAATCACGTATTTTCCAATAAACTGGAAGTTATCAAATTTTTTAATTACGAAATACACCGGAAAAAAACTTCATTCAATTGTCTGCTATTATTAAATTGCATTCCCTCTCATAAAATAAAAAGAAAAAATCATCTTCCGTTGCGGGGAATCGAACCCCGGCCTTATGGGTGAGAGCCATAAATCCTAACCACTAGACCACAACGGAGGTTGCATCAGAGCCTGAAGACGCCATACAAATGCTCGCTAGACCTCTATCACCCGCTCTTCAAATGATTGGAAACACTTGATAATGAATAATGTTTCTGTTCGAATTGAGGTCAAAATTGCCCTATATTAAACCGTTTTTTTTCCGAGTCTCTTTTTCGGAAATACTCATCCTTATATCAAAAAATCAAGAAATAGCTAACTTTAATAATTCGCCATTCTTTTCCTCATTGTCGTAACGCGGCGACATTGGAAGATCTAGAATTTACTAGTGAAAAGCAAAAATAAATGTGTTTTATTACCGAATCCTTTTCTTGGTGTAGAAATTAGAGGAATATTCTCATTATCATCTGGTTCGAAAGCGGGTCCTAAATTCGATAGATCAAGTTTTTCCTGGAAAGAATATGATTTATTTACTTACGGTCAATTTGAGAATGGACTTACCAAAACCATCGTTTTAAAAAACCCTTTTCTAAGCTCGTCGTCGTCGTCATCATTCACCAAAAACTGGGATTGCTCTTGTCCAGGACGGTCGGAATTTGTCAGAAGTTTGGCCAATTTCAAATCATGACAAAATTTTTCTATAGAATTTCTAGTAACCTGAAAACGATATCAGCTAATTCTATTGTTTGATCAGCTTACTTTCAAGCGATTCCTGAAGCTTTTTCGCGTCATGATTACCGCCTTGTGTGTACACCGAATTAAAACAAATCCGATAGGCAAACAAGATTATCAATATCTAATCCTGAATGAAAAAAAAATTATGAAGACGTAAAAACCATATTAGCAAGAGGAAGATTAGTGAATAAAAAAGACTAGTTTGTTTGAAATTCAAAATCATTTAGACAATATTGAATGAAATTTTAATAAGGGGGGTTTGCACAAAAAAAAATGAAAAGAAGTATTATCTCGCTTATATTTTGGATTCCATTTTTGTATTAGATATGTGCGACTACAAATATTTTTGGAAACCCCCTATATTAGTCATAAGTGAGCCGAATTACTGTTAAAAAAAAGTTGAAAGATTTAGAATCTTGTGTAATTTGAAAGTAAATGCAATAAAATATGAAGTATTTCAGAATTTTTTCTCGAAATTTTACGAAACATTAGAAAGGTTAAACTGTTGTAAACTTCAAATTGGTTTTTATTTTTTATTTAATTTTAATACAAAGTATGGAAAAATTTTCTTAGATTAATGCGTTTTTTTATTTTCAGAAAGAAGTTTATTTGATTTTGCAATTTCCGGTTTTAGATAACAATAAAATAGCTCAAAAATGACCAAAACTGGTAAAGTTTTATTAAATACTCAATAAAAATTGTACACATGCCGAGTGAATTTGAAGAACTTAAAAACTTCTAAGCGAATTGAGAACATAATGGGAAAATAAAATTGCCATGGATACGAACAAAAAAAGGGGGATGAGGGGGGGGAGCGAGTTGGGCATAGAAGCGGACAGAGGTCACTAAAAAAAGTATTTGTGTTCGGCCCATTTTTCGTGTCAAGCCCTTAGTTCTAGTTTGTTGGCATCAGAAATACGAGTTAGTTAATAATTGTATGTAGACATAGGCGAGGAGGAAAGCGGAGGCTGGTGGCTCGGCGAGCTTAGCATTATACCTGCCATGCGGCGCGCTTCCAATTATGTAAATGCGCAGGTGTCCCATCTGTCAAGGGTGCATAATTCATGTTCCGCATCCTCGCAAATCATCCCTCCCCGTTTTTTTTTTCGAACCAGAAATTGCATTTTTTTTCAGCTTAATCACGCCTCAATGCCACCTATTCAACTGGAAAATTCCCGAGTTCAAAGTGCATTTTTTTAAGCGAGCAATTACATTTTTAGAAAAATTTCGAAATTTGAACGGGAATAAATGCTTATTATTTTGCTCGGTGAGCTCACATAACAACGTGCATACATCTATTGTTTATACAAAAACAATATGAAAAAACCTAGCATTTTTTTCTCAAAAACAAATTATTTAGGTGGGAAAATGGGAATCGGTTTGATTCGAAATTTGTATCATTCTTTTCGTATTCTTTTCTGAGGGTTTTCAAAGCAATTAATCTCCTCTTGAACATTAGTAATCAAAAATGACTAATATTGTATGCCTAACGTTATAAAGATTTTGTTAAGAAACACACCGGAAAAAAAACTTCATTCTAATGTCTACTATTGTTACTTAATTTATCTGCGACATGCAAAGAAATCAGCAGAAGTTATAGACATTCCACAAAATATCAGAAGTTGAATTCTCTCTTATAAAACAAAAAGAAAAAATCATCTTCCGTTGCGGGGAATCGAACCCCGGCCTTATGGGTGAGAGCCATAAATCCTAACCACTAGACCACAACGGAGATGACAACTGAATGTGAAGATGGCGATGAAGTTTGAGAAATTTCGAGTTGATTGACATTTGGCAAACTCTGCTGTCTGTGAGCATTTTATGGAAATATCAGCCGCAATTTTTTTTTTTTCAAAAATTCGTTTTTTTTTTTTGAGAATAATACATTTTGTAATAGTTATAAATTAATACTTACAACAATAAAGAACAACTGAATTAGGAAATCTGTGATTCTTGAAGAATATTAACAAATAAATTATTTTTTTTAACACTTTCAGTCATTTTAAATTGCTTTAAACGTTTTTTTATAACATAACTTAGCAAAAAGCTCAAAACGATTATCTATGTAAGGAATGGCGCCATAAAAATGTTCATCAAAATTACAAAAAGTTAATTCCGTTGCGGGGAATCGAACCCCGGCCTTATGGGTGAGAGCCATAAATCCTAACCACTAGACCACAACGGACATGCTGCTGGCATGAGGTGACGCGTATGAAGAAAGGGCGAATTTCCGCGGTGATACGCGTGTGGAGAGAAATGATTGAAAGAGTGGGTGAAGTGAAAAGGACACCGCATTTCGCAAGAATTGTAAAATCGGTTTAAAACGGCAGATTTAGAATATAAAAGAGATTTTATAAAGATAAATCTGAATACGGCCAATTTAGGAGAGATGAAGTAGGATTAATCAAAGCCATTTATTATCAAGGTTTTTTTAAACAAAATTTCAAAGAAAAGAAAAATAATCGATATTCTTTGCGAATCTACTTTAATCATTCAATTGTTGGTTTTTTTTCCAACCAACTAAAATTCAAGAGAATGAACAAAATGAAGTGCAGACATTCACACGTTGCCTTTCGCATACATAATTTACGGCCAGTTCCAAGTTCTCTGCTTTCACCTGGTGCACTTCTTTCAACTCCCAAAAAAGAAAGTATTAAATGTCCCAACTTATACAACGTAAAATATTTATTTTTCGATAAAAATCGTTTACTATAACATTCGATGAATAATTGATAGTATTTTGATTAATTTGGCAGTGTTATAAATGATGTATATATAATATAATATATTAATATATATGTGTGTTTATATTTTCGTGTACATTTGGCTTACTGAATAATGACAAATATGATAATAACAACAATAATGGCTATAATGACAGTTGGCGCCACAATAAAACATAGAACGTTAAGGAAGCAATCACGTGGACTACGGTAGTTTGACGGCGACCATCCCCATCGCGATGTGCGTTTTTCAACGGTTTTTCTGGAATATTCGGTTAGTGAAACTCATTGATTCCCTGAGTATTAAGGTGTCTAGCAAATTTCACGCGTTCCTTTTAGTTAATTCGTTATAAATAAAAAGTCCAATTAGTATTATTAAAATAAGTGTTATAATAATTGGAATGCATGTTTTTATAAAATATCTCATTTTCCAGCGGGACAGATCGTCTCCATAATAGGTGGTTCGGTTTCTTATTCGATGCCTGTATTCGATATTTCAGATTTTCGACTTAAAACAGAAAAAAGAAACATTTCGCTTATTACCTTCGGCGTTTTCCACCGTCATTTTTCTTTGTATTTCTCCCAATTATGGCACCATGATCATATTCATTTGGATGTCGAACTGGATATTCCGTGGTTCGTTTCATATGCCGTGTATTATATTGCTCTTCCAGCAATCCCAATTCTGCATCTAAACAACTTTCAATCTTCTGGACCAACCCATTAAACCACTACCACGCGCATTGTATTCATATTGACGTCTTCGCTGTACTTCCTCGTCTGTAATTTTCAGCATTGTGATGTAATGGGAGAAAAGGATTCAAGCGCTCACATCTTCTTCTACGCTCCTCCTCTTCACGACGGCGTTGCTCGTCAAGTCGTTTACGTCGTAATTCTTCCTCCTTCTTTTTACGTTTTCGCTCAATCTCCTCTTTACGAGTTGTAGTAGTAGTAGTCGTCGTCTGGAAAACGTCCGGTCAATTTGTGTTTTTTTTTTCAAAAATTTACTTCTTCCGTCACTTCTTGTGGTCTTCCATGAATTGATCCATATGGATTATAGGGGTCGGCATGAATACGCTGTAAAGAATAAAATTGCGGCAAACCCTACATTTCACATAAAGTTGGGGACCACACAGGGAAAGAATGCATGCAATATTACTACGATATAACAATAGGCAAGATGAAAACCATACACGGACAATACATTCTGGACTTTTTCCAGCCAGATGCACTCTCACTTGAATTGGCGATCCGGATCCTCTCATCGAATTTGGAATGATATAATGATTTGGCTGATACGCTGAAAATGATCTAGAGTTATGATTATTTATATGAAGCCTTACGCTCAGTCGGCGGTTGATCGTATCTATTTCTGTTCTGATTGATTTGAGAATAGGCTTCATAAACAGACCGCTCTTCTTCTCGAACTTCTCCTCCGTTTATCTGAATAATTTTAAAATTAAAATGAATTAGTGAATTCATCTCTTACTCTACGAACAACTGGAGGAGGTGGCGGGTTTGGTTTTGTTTCTGCAATTTCTAATATAATCTTGGACGGAAAAAATATGTGCTCTTTCACATTATAATGGCAAAATAAATAAAACTCGCTTCTACAAGTTCTTCCATATGATACGTAAGGCTAAAATTCAAATAATAAAGCAATCGCACCCCTAATTCATTTCTTGCCATTAAAATCATCATATATATCAATCGTACCGATGAAGCCATAATCTTTTCTTTGACGTTCTGGAGAAATGCGGCGATCAATATAAATCTGTGTTGATCCTTCTGACTGTCGTCGGCTTCTTCTATAGGTTTCGCTTCTATCAAACGCATCCTTATTCCTTCAATTTCAAATGTAAAGAAATTTCCAATATTTAAACTACATACGACACATAAACTGACTCATTCACGGGTTGATAGTCATATTTGTTTTCCGAGTGCACCAGCTCGGGCCCGAAGCTGTGTAGGCTTGTTTTGCTGCGTCTCGTTTCAATAGTGCCAAAGCCAGTGATAACATCGGGCCCTGTATAATATGGATCATTGAAGAATGTTTCACTACGAGCGGCATCCGACGACCTGAAATTGTACAAATAAAAAGCTGAATGTTGATTTGAATCTATTACTTCGACCAGCGTTTACGGTCGGTAGTTTGAGCGGCGGATCTTGACTGTCTTTCGCCGCTTTGTGAACTATAATGGCGTTCCTCGTAGACGTAATTGGACCTGAAAATTTCCACTAAAATAAAATCTTTGAAAAACACTCATTACGCTAAATCGCTGGTTGGCTTAACTGATGTCGCACTTCTCCCTGAATTCATTCTTTGAAGCTCCTCGTTTGGTGAATTTGTTGTACTGCTTTGATTCTTATCGACTATTTGTAATCCGTCTCGGCTTAATCTATAAGCGTCCTAAATTTTAGAGATTACTATTGGATGAATGAAAAAACCTTACTCGAACTCCAATATTGTTGATTTTTGTTACATAGGGGTCTTGGTTCATATAAGCAACTGTTGAGTAGCGGTCCGCAATATCATGTACTACTGGAGGAGGTGTGTACTCGTCAGCGTAATGGCGAACGTCGTCTAAAAACAGTATATACTAAAAGCACTACAAGCAATTAGAAAACGCAAAATTAAATTGATTACAAGTCTCAATCAAAAGTAATATGACTCATATCAATTCCTTATTTGTATATGCCAAAGCATATTTGCGCAACGATGTATATGCATGATTCCTTATAGGAATATACATATATATACTTTAAAATGTTAAAATTGAGATTTAATATAGAACGTATTGAAATTAAAAGAGAATGTTTGGACTCGAGCGTACAACCGTTTTGATAATGAATAATCAGCCTAAAATATGTGCTCGAGTACATTATAAAATTTGCCCGATAAGATAATTCGTGCCGAATCGAAATAACAATCCCGCTGGTTGTGACAGGAAGAAAATTGGAGAATGAAATGGAATGTATATCGAAGAGGGTGCTGAGTTTCGAATCGACTATTGTAGAGAAGGTTGTCGACTCAGGAATGTGCTGTGAAAAATATGCAATCTCGAAGCAATTCATTTTATAATAGGAGTACGCTCATCGTGTTGAATCAAAATGTGACTCATTATTGGAGGAAAACTATTGAAAAATACTAAGATGTTACTGTACTATTTTAGTTTTCTAAATGTTTTAAAGCGATTGTGGAAGCTCAAAAAAAATAATGTTCGGAACACATTTTTGCTAATTTTATATTGAACTAGTAATCGCAATTACCTGGAACGCTATGTCTTCTCGTCAGAATTCCGTTCCGTAGCTCATATTGACTTTTCAATTGCGAATCTCTCGGTTGCATATATCCTGGATCATCAGTAGCGCGATATGCGTAATCGTAAGGTGCTGGAGCTGTTCTGAAAAAAAAACCATTTTAATCATTTTAATATTCTAAATTCATTTAAAAGATATAAGTAAATTTTGAAATAACTCATTGAGAACGCAATTATTTGATTAGGGTTATATCGAAAGCATTATTTCAAATAGCTCATTTTGTTCCCGCTTACCGGTTTGTGGTGTCTGCCATTGCGCGTTCCAAAGCAATTGTGCCGCTAGGCACACTAGCACGATTCGTCGGCGGTGGTTGGGGTGGCGCAAAATTTGGCGGTCTTGGCGGAGGCGGCGTCGCTGACACACGTTTCTCGTCGCGAAGTGGGATTCCAAACGATGACGAATCGTCTCGTCGCGGTATTGTCGATGTTGGCGGCGGCGGCGGCGATGCCGGCAATGGCGGAGGCGGAGGCGGAATGTTTGGTTTGAGCGGTGATGGCGATTTTGGTGGAATTGATGGTGGTATCATTGTCGTAATCGGTGCTTCAATGACTGTTGCTCTGCGATTGTTATGATCATTGTTGTGAAATTGTTAGTAATAGCAAGGTGAAAGTGGATCTTTGATTAGTAAAAAAAGTGTGAGATCCTATTATTTACTTAAATTCCTATTTTATATTATGCAGAAAAACGTGATAATTGAGACTTATATATAAAAGCATTAACTATATATATACAAATGTATGAAACAGAAAACCTACGGGCTTCTTGATGTGTTTTCACTACTTGAGCTTCTTCTCGACTCATAATGCGATCCGTAGAGCGCGTCGTCAATATAAGGCAATCCGGATATTGTGACAGGCGTAATTGTCTGAAAAAAAATGCAAATATTGAATATCGATTGATTTTTTCGAGCAAACAATTGGTTTTTATCAGTGCGAGTGCCAGCTGGCTTCAAAATTCTCAATCGTAAAAGGCAAACAATGCAAATACATGTGTATACACCTCGGTGTCGAAAAAAGGCACCTACATGAAGGTAATCGTAAAAATCCTTGAACTGGTTTGTCGACATTTTCCAATATCTTTTACGGTGCTCATCGTTCAAACGATCCTCTAAATGTAAGAATTTGGATGACATGTGGGTAAACTAGAACGCGTCGTCGTCCAACCTAATGGTTTTTGAAAAATACAAGATGTATTTATTGTGTATTTTTTCTTCTCGGATAAACCGAAGCGGCGAATTAACGGTTCAAATATTCTAGAACCATCGGAAGCAGTAATGAACACAACAATATTATCGCTTACATGATTTGGAAGCTCTGTCAAAATCTGTAAATGAAATTGAAGCTCCTAATCATGAAGAATGAAACCTTTTGTAATTCTGTTTCCTCATGGGTGCTCATTCGATATAAATCCGAGAACACCACTCCAATAGCATCGATTCTCATTTTCCAGTTGCTTACTAACCATGACAATGTGAATTCAGAAGCCTCAACGTTATTTCTAAGCACATAATATATGTTATTCATATATGTACTGATCATTACATGGTGTCCCCGCATCCTGGTGTATCTATGATAACTGGCCGCACTGCCATATTTGTATTGTTAAAAATGTAACATTGAATTGGTCGGTTTGGCGTATTGTCGCTGAATTTCTGCAAATCTATATATCAAAATACATTTTTGAAATTTTTATCCGACTTCATTAGCAATTCGATATCGATATCCTGAATTTGGGTCAGTGCCATAAAAATAGTTGCAGAAAAAATCGATCAAATCGGATTTTCCGGAGCTTGATGGACCCAGCAACAATAGCACTCTATTAGATCGTTGTTGGTCATCTAAATTACAAATATTAATGAGGTGGCATCTTTGTTTAATTGATAATGGTCCTATAGAGCTTGAACTTTTGAATTAGCTTTTTTAAATATGTGAGCTACCAATATATCCACAATGAAGTAATAACGCGCCTTTGGCATAGATTAAAAAAAGCAACTAGTTTTCATGCTGGAGAAATTCAAAAACCAAAAAGAACGAATTTATCAGTCTGTATTACAGTATGACGATCACATTTTGCGTAATTTCGAGTAATTGGCAAAACAAATGCATTCCGCAGCGCAATTCAAATTCAAAATCATGCTGCAACTATGAAGTATAGAAGAATTTAGTGAAAAAATTCTAGATGCATGAACCAATAATTCAACGAATTTCAAACTCCACTTTAAAAATCTGTTTCTATTAATTCCAGAGGATTGCATTTAAAAACTCTAGGAGAAACCAATTATTAAATTACTGTAAAAATGTTTTGTAACTTTTTGCGCTTCCACGTTTCATGCAGCATGTGCGCTTTAGCGCAATATGGCGTTGCTTGGGAAAGCGCGCCACCGTCTGACATCAGGGACTATACTAACATAAGAGAATCTACAGACAATTGGCGTCAATTTGCAGTTCGTTTCGACAAATGCGCTCAATTGCAATCGTTAATGAGAGATGTGACGCTCCGCCCCCACAGTAAAAAAGGCCGGCGGATGCTCAATTTCGTCAGTTCTCGTAGCTCCTAGAGTTGTGGGAAGCCCGCAAATCCTGAGGGCTCGTCGTGCCCTGGATAACGTGCGGATTCCACGCGCCCCGCATAACTTGCGGGCTCCACGCGCCCCGCATAACTTGCGGGCTCCACGCGCCCCGCATAACTTGCGGGCTCCACGCGCCCCGCATAAACTGCGGGCTGGTTGTGGTCAAGGATCCCCTCGGTATGTCATATACATCGCAATTCTTTTTCTTAATTCCTTGTATTGCAGATCGAAAGCCACAGTCGTTCCTCATTCATGCTTCTCGGATGTGCTATGTTGAAAGTGTTCTCGACTGGTGCGACTCCGTCAGCCAGTACTAACCCTACTGCAGTGTCGCGTCCAGGCCGACGTTAAACTCATATTCATGAGTAGACATAACACGTGAAGGTGAGCAAGAAAGTGGAAGGACAAAAAGCGATGCCGCCTAGGACGTCGAGCAGAGCGAGGGAGGGGATTCGAATGGTAAAAAAGAAGTCATAGTCTTTCAGAATAACTTGAATTATTGCAGGTATGTTGAATCGAATGGGTCTAATCGGAGTAGACGGATCTAAAAAGCGTCGAGGAATGAGCAAAATCATCGGGTATTTGGTAATTTTTAGTCAGGTTTTTTTTTTAATTTTTTAATTATTATTATTCACTTGCCCTAGTCGTACCACTTACGGCTGTGCCCTTCTATATCCCACCACTTGGGATTCCCTCTCTTCTCTCCGTACATTCGTACCACTCACGTTTGTACTTTCTCTCGGTCTTACCGTTTGGGACCATCTCTTCTTCTTCGGGGAAAGCCGGCTTCCCTTTTCCTCTTTCTGCCACCAGTCATACCACTTGCGACTGTCCCTTCTCTCTATCAGTCGACTGAACCCCTGCCGTACCACTTGTGGCCTCTTCCTCCATATCCCACCACTTGGGATTCTCTCTCTCTCTCTCTCGGTCCTACCGTTAAGGACCAACCATCTCTTCTTATTTTTGGGGGAAAGTCGTACCACTTACGGCCATGCCAGACATTCCACTAATGACTGGCTTTCCCTTTCGTTTTTATTTTTTTTTCGTATTAATTTTTGTGTACATATTTCTTTAGGTGTTTAGGTATCGTCGCTTCTGCTGATGAAAGGAACCAGCCGGTGAATCGATTCACCACCACTACTAACTATTCCCCACCATTAAGCATTAGCCATACTAAGGGTCCCTCTTCTACTTAATCCGCCGTAGTCGGCTATATAAGGGCGGTAGTCGGCCATTCCCCCAAACGCCAAAGCTTCCTGATCCCCCCGTAGTGTCGAGGCGTTGGCTGGATGGTGGCTTAACCGCTGTATCCTAAACTCGGGTGATTGGCCTGGCAAGCCCTTCAGCCCTGATTCCGTAGCCGGGAATCGAACGTACTTGGAAACTGCTATTGGTCGTTATGGATGGTTATGCTTTAGAACTTTGCTTCACCGGATGTCCTCCATACTAGTAAGGATGTCATCTGGACCTGACCTATATTGACGTGGTTTGGCCAGCTATGTCAATATGTCCAGCCTTTCGGGTGCACATGGACCGTGCTTCATGGCATAGTAGCTTGCTACTTTGTAGTGGCTTGCTACTACTTAGTAGTAAGCTGCTATGCTGAGAACACAAAAACCACTTTACCATATCACCAGTAGACCCGGGGCCCAGCCAGACGTGGCTTGCCCAACCACTTCTACTTCTATTATCCTCGGATGATAGTTGTGGGATGTCCTTGGGTGATCCCCATGGTGGGATCGGCGATGACCCACATCAGGTTTTGGCCTGATGCTGGTGAGCCTCTACTTCAAGTGTCGAGCCTCTACGTGGCGAAGGAGATCAACTGACTCGACACTTCTTCAGGGGGTCGAGTCAGGCTAATCGACACATTGTCTCATGCAGGTGGAGGATAATCCTTCTCAACCAGGCGCGGCTTCTTTGCGACCTAGCAAGTCGCAAGAAGTATTCAGAACCCATTGCAATAAATTCCAATGTTCCTTTTTTTTTAGGGTTTTTGTTGTTTGTATTGCTCGTTTAATCAACATTCTTTTTTCATACTAGGCTTAAATGAATTAGCAGATCAACAATTATCTGCGAGAATCAATTTGAGAGTCTTAGTCGGACCATAGCACCAACTTTCTGTAACTTTCTGAAACTCTTTTTTGCAACAAGGTTTGTTGGATTAAGCTGCGAAATTGTGAAACTGCAAAAGGGTTCTTGCGAAACGCAGACAGTCAAACAAACGTTCAGACGGCACTTATATGTCATATATGGCAATTCACATTTCGGAACTGCATCTTTTCTTGGGAAAGATTTCAACAAAACAAATAGCTACTATTATTTTATAATATATATCTTAATATTGGTAATATTTTTAAAAAATTCCGTATACGGGCCAGAATGAATAAACTTAAATAATAAATTTGGAACTAACCTTCTGTGCCTCCAACAAAAACTGTCCGCACATCCTTCATTTCCAAGGCTTCGCCCGAAAACTTTGACTCTGGAGTGATCATGTCTTCGTATAGAGGGCTTCCCGATAGAGCCCTACAATTGGGTCAACATTATTCCATTTTTGGCATTTATTTGCATAGATGTGAATTTGCCGGAAAGATTATAAATCGTTCCATCAAGTATTCACACAAAACTGAAAGGTGTCATTGCCAATAAGCATTCCTTTAAAAGTTATAGAGTTTCAATAATGACTCAGAAAAATGTGTGTGCATTAATATCAGCAAACAAAAGAGCAAAATGAATATTCGAAATATCAATCACTGATTACGGAGCACATTAGAACATTTAAAATTTACCTGATCATTATGTGTTTTGCAATTCGCCGATCTGAAATTGTAAAATTTTATTACGATTTTGGAGTGTTGCAAAATAGGCATACTCATGTTGTCACACAATGCATCTAATATGCTGATTTGTCAAACATTAGAAATGTTATGAATGAATTGTATACGAGATGGTTTCGTACTTTACGTTACCATAATTTGAATATTTGAAAATTATAAATCTTGTAAAATGACAAGCAATAAATTAAATCATAATCGAGAGAAGTATGAAAATATGATACTTGCGATATGATAAGAATTGCAGGTCTTCTCAATTTGGTAGTAGACTTGCGAAAAACCCTTTTAAATTGTGATTGTCTTGGTCGTAATGTACCCCTTTTTGGTATTGTGGGGAACGCCACATACGCTTACAAGTTTCATCATTTATGATTTTGATTGATCACAACTCGATTGGATTGATTTCAAAGTGCACGAATCAAAGACGATGAGAGATAGAATGAATTGATTGAAAATCAACTTCAAGTTACTAACTATGATATTGTGACAATATTAAATTGTATCACCTTTGTTCTAATAAGAACAAAGGATTGATTACAATCTAAAAAAAAACTTAGCAATTTATTTAAAAAAAACTCGAAAGCAATTATTTTTCTTAAAATATCTCATTAGGTCTGAAACCGAATTTTGATTAAAAAAAAACCGAAGAAACAATTAATACTTTATATTTTTGCCTAATTTGCTTAAGGTTTTTTGGATTGTTTTGTTTGCGAAATTGTCATATTGCCATTAATATCTTATTGATTTTGCTAATACACTTTTTTTAAATAGTTACATTTTATATATTTCAGAATAAACAATTATAATCAAATGATTTGGCTCGGTTTATTTGTAGCGATTCTATTGAACTTCCTCTTCAAATGCTGGAATGCGACGTAGGCACATGTTTGCTTGATAAGGAAATAAGGAATCGTTATTCCGATTTGACATCGATTCATATCAAATTGTCGAAGATTGCATATGAAATCGCGAATTGAACTTTTTTTAATTAAGGGTTCTATGCGGGGCGGTCGTGAATTATTAGGTCATGGCACGTTTCACGTCCACAATTATTTGGAAAATATTATTTATATTTTTAAGAATTTTTTAAAATAATATTTTGCCATATTCTTAAACCCCTTTAATCTACGAAAAAACTTATTAAATTATTTAAATTTGAGATGAAACCAATGAAAAATATTGAACCAAATGGGTTATCTGATGATTTCTAATGTGCGAACTGCTATTGTGGTAACTTCAAACCAATTGGATTCGACAAAACTCGGGGTTTTATTTTAATTTACCTATCAGATTGGTAGTGTGTCGGACCCGATTCGAATTGAAAGATTAAGACAAACCGGATTCTATTAATAAACAATCGGTTTCGACAATTTTACCAAATTATCCGTAGACTATCCTATCGGATAAGGTCGATTCCGGAGCCGAATTTTGTCGGATCTGATTGGTTTTGAGCTACCAGAGTATTTAATACTTGTCTAATCAATGTGATCCTACTACACCGTTTGAAGCTTTTGATATCGGCCAAGACTTTTGAAATTCGTTGAAAAATGTGTTCTTTGTGTCCTTAAGCAACGAAAATGATGTTTTTTTTTTAATTCTATTGATATAAAACTTATCTATCAGAAAATGGACTATTTGAATTAGTTCCTTAATGATTTGTTATATATTAAAATCTGTCTGGGCTATTCAGAAAGTAGAGCTCAATTCTTAAATTTTTAGTTTGCCGACGTAAATGAAAATAAATATTTAATAAAATTCCGGGATTCAATAATATTTGAAATTTGTATGAATGATTTTAGATAGCTTTGAAAATTTCGAAAATTAATGGTTTTCTAAAAATCTTTTTTTTATTCAATTTCAAAATGTTTCAAAAATTAAATATCAAACAATATCACAATTTACCGTAATATTCTAAACGGTTTGTCAAAGAGCTTAGTATTTCTATCTTGTTTCTGCTCATTTTCGTTTTGTACTATGATAATTTGAACTCACAATTGTACAGAATGATAAACACCAGTTTGAGTCCAGTGCTCACGTGACATATTATCAAATGTCAAAATTCTGTCGATATTTCCGGAATAATGGTTGCATTTTGTGCTTCATCAGTTTCACAATTTCATACAATTTCAAATAAATTTATTAGTAGTAATATAGTTATTCAAAATTTTACAGTTAATAAAAGTGATTAAACACTATTTAGCAGTGGTGATGATGATGGAATGGGTTCCAATGATGATGATGATATCCTTCCTCAATCACAACAACTGGCGGTCCGGTGATTACTGGCTGTGGTGGCGGATAGTAGGCTGGTGTGACGATTGGCGCAACTGGTGCGACTGGGATCACCGCTGGTGGTGGTGGTGGAACGTATGGCGATGGATATTGTTGTGGGTATGAGCATGAACCATTGTACGGATTGTAAGCCATGATGTCTAAAAAAAGGTATTAAAAGAAGGAATTAAGACGAAAACCAAAGAGGGTTATTGAAAAGAAATGAAAGAAAAAACTGATTGTGAACTGATAGATAAGCCATGTGGACAGCATTTTATACTATTCCGAATCGGTCTCGTCACCTGCTAAGTAAACAGTGCGTATCGTTTTTTACGCATTTTGAAGGTATCAATGAAACCTATTTTGAAATTATTCATGACTCATTGTGGATAGATGAATCATTTTGATCTCAGGTGACATTTGTTGAAATCGTTCAACGCCGTCCCGGAATTAAGCACGAACCAGTATATTTTATTTATTTTCAACGTGGTTGGATTCGAAAGAATCGACTTTGGCAAGATTATAAGAGAGAACTGTTTAGTAAAATATTGAGAGTATGTTTTTGATACTGATGTTTAAAGAGGCGAGCAAATTTGAAGGACCAATTGTGTCTACCGTTTTTGGACTTAAATGAGCAACATTTCGATTTGGTTTTGCAGGGCTAACATTATTTGCATTGCATTGTAAGCTTTATGTGCATCCGAAAAGAATTTAAAGCAGATTATTCAAATCGATCAACGTTTTCTAAGAAATGACAACGGGGTTTGAATTCCCGCCGAAACTTCGGAATTTACCTACCCCTTTCCGAAAATATATTATTATTTTTAGTCTTTGATATTAATTTATTAGCACTCCGGACTTAAAAAAACCGCAAAATTCTATAATTACTAATAATGCACGAAAATGAGTGAAAATACCGAACGCAAATCACTGCAAAAAAAATCAAAAGACATCCATCTTATTTGAATAAATTTTTTGGTTGATGTCTTCGTATCAAAGTTTACATTTATAACCTTTTTTTGTCTTGTTTTGCACTACTACTGGTCTCATATTTAATGCCATATAATCAGTTTTAATATTTCTTTCTACTAAGTAATCTGATAATTTAGATTTATAAATCATATATGCTTTTTTTGATGTTTTCACGTGAACAGTTAATTGTTTCCTGATGAGTTTGGCAATTCTTTCAATCTTCATTCGAATTAAAAATTATCGAACCGACCCATGGAATGCGAGAAAGATTCATCTCCGTAAATCTGCCCGCAGACAGCAGTCACCGGACCCCGACTATACCTTCTATAAACATACTCACTCGAACGCACTCAAATTTTGGGAATTGATTTCCAAATTTCCGATGACTCATTCAACAATTTCAATTTTTTTCAAAGTCTCGCATGGTTTGATTCGTTACCAAAATAAACAACGCTTCTCTCGCTCTCTCTCATCAGTCACAATTTTCACGATATTTCGGTTTCCTTTTCCACCTATTGTGCTCTTCGTTTCACTACAAATAGTGCCCCCCCCCCAAAGTTGACATAAAGCGAAGCGCCAATAGTTCATTCATAGTTTCCCCTCATATTCTTGATATTCCTTCTTATCACACAAAACTCACTCATCATATTTTCTTTTCAGTATGTCGAACCACTATGGAAATGCCGGAACAATCTATCCGAACCAAGGAGCGGACTCAATTCCAATTGGAAGCGCCGGATTGAAGCCTGAAATGGGGCATGGCGCTCAGCCAAATGTGCATATTGGAGGCAATGTGGATCCTCGAAATCACGCATACAATCCATCCATCGGAGGCGGAGTAGTTCCAGGAAGTGCTGGATACAATCCACTACCAGGTAGCGGACCTCAACCAGAATATGGAAATGCTGGATACATTGGAGATGGTGCTCGACCAGGACATGGAATTGGTGGTGGTGCAGCTCCAGGAAGCGGCGGTTTCATTGGTGATGGTGCGCAGCCTGGACATGGAATTGGTGGTGGTGCAGCACCAGGCAGTGCTGGTTACATTCCATACAACAATAATCAAGGAATTGGAAACGGAGCTGGACCTGGCAACGCGGGATACAATCCTCATATTGGCGGTGGAGCTCATCCGCGCTCATTTGGAATTGGAGGCGGTGCAAATCCAGGTTTTACGCAACCCGGATATAATGGAATTGGTGGAGGTGCATCGCCTGGAAATGCCGGATACCACGGAATTGGTGGTGGTGCCGCTCCCGGCAATGCTGGATACAACCCATCAATTGGCGGAGGTGCAGTTCCAATCGGATTTGCTTCTAATCCTAGAAACGAAGACCACGAGTGTTGTCATCATAAGAAAAACCATCATAAGCATAAGCATTGTCATCATCACGATTAAGTGTAATCAACGTGTAAATGTCATTGTTGGTTTGTATTGTTTTCATTGAGAATAAAGATCAAATAATGAATCCTACAAATATTGACTGACAAACATCAGCAGCAGTGACAAACAGCGATATCTCATAAGATCAGCATTAGAGTTGTATGGGAAAAATTGAGTTAAAAAATGAGTGAGAGGAAATTCATATTTAAAACGAGTAACTTCCAAAATAAGAATAAAAACTCCTAAACAATCCCTAAATTACAGAGCATAGACAATTCTTTCTTATTTCAAACGATTAATATGAAATTATTATTGGATAAAATAATAATTCATGATGGGTGTAACATTTTTTAAATCTTCAACAAAAAATGTTTTTTTTGTATTTATTTTAGCTTGAAATTCAGATTTTTTATGACTTGCTTAGCAATAAAATTGTAGTTTTACTCCAAACATAAATTCAAATTCCATTCCTGTTTGTCATTTTTTGAATAAAAAAGTCTCGGCAATATCAGCATCCTTTTTTTTAGGTATGTTTGTTTTTTTAACGATGTGATAAGGAAATGTCATGAGTCTTAAACACACACGCACACATTCAAAAGACGTACAACCCACACACGTTTCATGTATAAAACTACTTCAATCATTCGATAAAACCAATATTATTTATTCGATTTTTTTCTTATGATACTGGTTTTTTCAGATGTCTCATCACCAATGCGTAAACCATCCTCATCAAGGTCCACCACCGCCAGCTGGATATGGACATCACCACAATAGTCATGAGAATGAATTGAGACGCAATCTACCTAATCAGTGTCCACCAAAACCTCCATGTCAAGCTCCACCTCAACCACTACACCATCCGGATTACTATAATCATGTGCCACCAAAACCACATCAACAACATCATCACGGCCATCATGTACATCCCGGGCACCATTAATTCCAGACTTTCAGCTTCGTATTTAATTTGTTCTTCAATAAATTTTTCAAACTCAATTTTTTTTATTTTTTTTTTTTGACTGAACTGAAACACAGCTGACATTTGTTATCGTTTAGGTTATCAGGTCAAACCCTTAAGGCACCAACCTTCCGGGCAAGGTAATTTTGACGTCAAAAAATGCTATCAAAGAGTCGTAAAAAGAACACATGTTATAAAACCAATCGGAGACACCGAAAGTTTACCGCCCAATGACGTAAAGTACAAGAATAAGGACAAGGTACAATGATTAAAAATGCATACTGTAAAAATTTCATGGGAATCTTCGATATCTAAACTGAACCGTTCAAGAACTCACAATTCTCCGACTGATATGATTCAAGTGAGTATTTCTTTGTGAAGTCAAGGTTTTTAACAAACTCAAAGTCAACCGAAGTCCCTTTTCTCTGAGAATTGTGGCATGTTGACAAAATAATGCAGTATGCAGAAAAAAATGTGAAGTCAGCAATGTAATCTGTTTGCTACTCGCTAACGCAGCATCAGCAATTATATCCGAGTTTGTAGGAATCAAAAAACTATAAAATTATAAGATTTTAAAAAGATACGTTCATAACAGACAGCTCTGTTAATAATATCGACATTTTTAGATATATTGATCATTTCTTAAAGTTCCAAACGAGGCGATCTTTTTTTTTTATTTAACAGTTGGTTTTTGGTAGGCTGTCGAAATGTAGAAGTTATAGGTGAAGCCTGACGTTCATTTTTTAATTTATAAAATAGTTTCACACATTTGCATTTCTTACTTTCAAAGATTCTGCAGAGCATCAGAAATAATTTTTGCCTATCGAAAATTAAAAAAATTCGAATCATCGGAATTTATTTCATAATATTCAATATACATACAGATGAAATATAAATATTCATGAAAAAAAAAACAGAATTTAATCAATTAGTAATGTCCGTGGTGATGTCCGTAATGATGATCATGGTGATGATGATCAAAATGATGATGATGGTCATGGAAATGTTCGTGATGCGAATCGAAATGGCTGTGGTGGTTCGAATGGAAATGATGAGAATCCATATGGCCAACAGGTGCTCCGAAATTCGGCCGTCCCCATGGCTGCACATTGGTTGGTACTGTAGTCGGTACGAATGAATGTTGAGCGTATGGAGCGTATCCAGCGTTTCCGTAGTTGTACGACATTCTGAAAGAGCAATGGTTAGTGTCGAGTGTTGAATGAACAACTGATTGGAATAAACGACAGTCGGTCGGCCTTTTAAACGAAAATGATGCACAATAAAACTGCATGTGACGAGAGGTGTTAAATAGATAAGGATTCGAACCTACACTCGCACACAATTGCTATGACTTACTCAGTCCTATGTCAACTTTGCGCAATACATCAGGAGCGATTGGCGCGGTAGTGAATAATCACAACATGGCTCACCACTCTATTGTTTACTCAATGATGTTTTTTTTTCCGGAAAGGATTAATATCAACGAAAATAGAGTTTCCGTGTTTCATATATGGAAATGTACTATTGTCTTCTTTAAATAATCGTTTTATCATAAGAAAATGATAAAAATCGTAAGGTTTATCCTTTAAAGCATGTGAAACCGGCGCCGAGAAATTTTAAAAAATCGCCAATCATTCACATGCTTAGATCGTTCAATGAATTCTCGGTGCAGTGTCAGCATTTTGGAATGGACACTAAGCAACATGTTCGTCATTTTCTGCAAAATTGTCCTGTGTTGAAAATTTGCAAAATTTTAACGAAATGTTGAAAAAGTTTCGCCATTATCGTTGCTTATCTGTTTTATGTTTGAAACATTGAAAACGTCATTCTCGAAGCTTCTCGAAGTGTTCTAGTGCTCAAACAACATCAATCATTCCTGCTTAAAAAAAAATTCAAAAGTTCATTGTTTGAAAATTTAAGATTTGTTTTAGGAAAGCCCGAATTGATCGAGCAGCCGTACTAAATATTGGTTGTGATGACTTGCGATTTCAATGAACAACAAGTACATTTTTCAAACAGAACATTTCAATAATTTTGAAAGCATGACATCTCTCCAATCGACCCTCTTACTGTACCATTGCAATGCTATTAAGTAGCAATGGTTACAGAAGAGAATCAATTGGAAAAAGGATGTAGAACGGATAGCAATAATAGTAGTCGTTTCCGCGTTTCTCAGCTTCATCTGTGTGCATGTGTGTGCGAGTGAGTGTATTCATTTCACTCATTGGAATTGGGCCGATTACGACACCGCAAAAAAAAGTGAACGGAGATATCCTGTGTAATAATTTCTATTAGAACTCCTCACCCACTCACCAACCAACAAAATCGATAAGCTGCTCCCTCGTCTTTAGCTCTCCTATAAATTGTGTTACCGTAGCAGAGAAGTGAGAAGCGAAAAAAATGGGTGTCAATCAGCTTAAGCCGTGAGAGAGCGTATTCGAAATAATATAAGCTTCAAAAGGCTTGCGGCATTGTTGTAATCATTATACGTATCATGCAGAATTTTGATATTACCGGGAGGAGAGAGATTCTAGCGAAAAAAATAATCAAATAATTTTGCCATTTCGTAACTATAATAGCTATATAATAATATAATAGAATGTTGAGACCATCTAAATGTCGAAGCAAGAGATTTGTTGGAGATTTTTTAGTTTGCAATTTCCTGATATTAATGACATTTTATTTGAAGAAAGAAATCGCCATTTAAAAAATTGAAAAAAAGTAAAATCAAATAGAAGTTTATTAGCTGAAATCAAAAAGTAATGATTTTGAGTTATGAGAAATTCCGTACAAATTTTAGGAATGAATCTTGCCATTTCAAATGTTTAGCGAGAGAAATGGAATATATAATTATTGGTAGTTGACGGCTAATCATTGTTAAGCTCTACACAATTCTATTATTCGGCTTTATATTTCACCTATCATTTCTCCATTCACTTTATAGCTAATAAAAAAATGCTATTGGCGAATTGAGGAATGACAGGAGAAATATGAGTGTTTCATTTCGATTTCTTAAATGAATGTGCCAAAATAGGTTGATTGTAGAGTTTTTTTTTTACAAAAAAGCCAGTATTATATTTTTTCTGTTAATCGCTCCCATCATCATCACACGAATTCAATTTTTATTTTCTTTCTGAACCCTATGAACAAAAAAGAGTGCGTTTTAATCGATCACCTTCACTTAGATTAGTAAATCTCTATCACTTGATTTTCATATATAGAGCTTATCATTTGGCTCTTGACGATTTTTTTTACACAACCAACATCTAACTACAATAAATGAATTTTTATTACACCAGAAACCATTAAAATAAATGCATTTTCTAGGCTATCAAATGAAATTATTTGGTGTGTGCAATAACTTCAGGCCAATAAAAAACATATTTGAAAGAGTAGGATGATAATGGATAAGAAGTTTAGGCAACTGGCTCAGCGGCAGCTTCGCTGTCTGGGATGACAACCTCCTGAAATTTTACATATTCGAAATTAGTTTTATGATTTTTTCATCACTCACAGCTCCCTCTCCTTCAGCAGCTGGTGCTGGTGCGGTGCCCTCTGGGATTTCCTCGAAATCCTTCTCCGGCAATTGAAGTGGAATTGGATCAATTGGTGGTTTGGCTCCCTCAGCTTTCACCTGCTCCGTGTACTTTGGTGGCTCCAAATTCTTTCTGAAATCATTTGAAATAACGTCCTGTTAACACTTTCGATATGGCAATTACCTAATCTGCTCGAGTTCTTCATTATCTTTGCGTCCCCACTCCGGTGGTGGTCGGGCGGTTCCGTGAGCAATAGTTGGTGGTGGCTTAACGTATGGCTTCTCAAATAAGATGCGGCGATCAACATATGATCTTCTGTCGATCTGACGATCGAATTTAGAAGCGACGGTGATCTTGGGTGGATGGACCGATGAGGCAGCCTCCTCTGGGTCAAGACCTTTCTTAAGAGCCTTGTTACGAGCAACCTGGCGTTGTCTTTCATTGAGCTCTTTGAGCTGAAATGATACGCGTTATAGTTTACATCAAACACAATCTATCTTACGTCATAATCTTGACGCTCACGTCTTTTCTCCAAGTCGTATTTCTCTCCCTCAAGCTTGACAATGCGGGCATGCAATTGCTTGATCTTCTCCTTCAAGTCATTTGGCATGAGGCCGGAAACATCCTGTGCTCTGCAGACCGAGGCCAAGAACGCCTTCTTGGCTTCCTCCTGTTGCTCCTTCGAGACTCCTTCGGCCTTGGCTCCCTATAGTAAAAACAATGATATGATCTGTAACTTCGCAAAAAAAATTACCTGAGCCAAGTTTCCGAATTGCGCAGCTTGGTCACCCTTGCTTGAGATGACGAAGTTCTTTCCTGCTGGAGCTCCGGCGGCGGCGGCAGCGAACGATCCAGCCATCATTTGTTGACGGCGCATTTTCTCCTCATTCTTGCGGATTTTCTCAGCATCAGCCTTTGCCTTGCGTTCTTCCTAGAATGGAAATGAAAATTGGATCGGCACAGACTATATTCTCAACCTCTTCCTTTCTTCTTCTTTCCTCATCCTGACGTCTACGCTCAGCGAATTGACGCTCGTCTTCTTCGCGTTCAGCACGACGCTTCTCTTGTTTTTCCTTAAGCTCACGAAGCTCTTGCTCGATTTTTTCCTTTTCAAGAACGCGGCGTTGCTCGTAGTCGAGAAGCTTGGCGGCTTCTTCCTCCTCGTGACGCTTCTTGGCGGCAAGCATGGCCGCCTCGGCCTCGGTCATCTCCGCTGGAGGCTTCTCCTCTTGGACCGGTGGACGCGACTTTGGCCTAAATTAGATTATTCATATGTGTCTACTAGCCTTTAGTTATCACTTCTCTTCCGCTGGAGGAGCCTCCTCCTCTTCTGGCTCTTCACCGGCCTCTTCCTCTTCACCTTCCTCAGCTGGAGCCTCCTCGGCCCTGTAATATCGTAATAAGTACCTTCAATCATTTCGATGACCTTACTCCTCTGGCTCCTCGGCCATGGATTCTTCCACTTCTTCCTCCTCCTCACCGGAACTGAAATCGATATCTAGTATCCTAATAGAGACTTGCTTAACTTACAGTACTTCCTCCTCGTCAGACATGTTGGCTAACTCTGAAATCGTTTATTATTATTACTAGTACTAAATGTGTGTTAGCAATGTTTATAAAATGTAGTGGCGTGGAGCTCGAATCGATGTTCGAATGCAAATGAGAAGGCAACTAGGATATAATCGTCCCCGCCTGAAGATATTGCGATAGGCGGGGTTTTGCAATTCGACAGCATCGTTGTGTAACTTGTAACGAAAGACGGACGCGGTGGTGCACAGAAAAAATCAACTGAGCCATCGAGTCACTCAGTGGGTAGGCGGAGGTGTATTCCCGATGAGTGTAAAGCACGTTCTTATGAAGAAAAACGGCCACGAAGAGATGAGGCAAGAATAGAGACGATATATGCTTTTTAGCTGGAGCACACGCTGTGGGTGCGTGCGTGTGTGTGTGTGCGCTTGTGTATCTCGTCTTCGGTATCTGTTTCTCGTCGCCGACGACCGATGGCACGACGAAGAAGAGCAAAAATTACTGCTCACACAACCAATAACAACTTTGCAATGGGGCCGAAATAGAAAAGCAATCGGTGTGGAAGTTTTCTTGAGAAGAAAATGAGCACGAGAGAGTCTGTCGATGGAGACATTTTTTCATAACCAGATGTGATCAAGCTGATCTTAATTTACGAATCAGGATTAGATTCAAATAAACAATCGGACTTCAGTTTCTGGCAAAAAAATATTGAAAAATAAAAAATTAATAATAAAATGCTTTCATATCAGCAATTAGCGATCAGGAACATTCTGAAAATAAATCGGTGCATTTAAAATTAATATTTGTGTACATGTTAACATATCCCAATTAATTTGACTCTAGGAATCATAAATTGTGAACATCTCGAATTTTTAGATAAGGTTTTGTTAAAAATGAACATTTTTTATTTGCTTGATTTTTTTGCTTAAATTCACGAAAATAATATAATAATTTAAATAAGTGAATATGAAAGAAATTATTGCTAATTTTCATATTACTTAATTCAAAGATCAGGCATTTTAGAAATATTGTAGACTTGAAAAAGCATAATTTTTTGAGCGATTTCTTCCAAATCCCCACGATGTTTTCCTGCGACTTCGACTCTCCCATTTCACGGGTAATGACTCTTAAACAACAAGTAGAATGATACAACTTGCGATATTAGTGTTTCATCTTCTCTTTTTCTCCCAACATTTGTGTTTTGTTTATTTCTGTTCGTGCTGGTGTGATCTGATCTTTTTGCTATTACATCCCAAATATCTTACATCTTCGTCGCCGCATTTTTCTTGCCCATCCCCCGCCAACCAAATGTTCGGGCTGTTCAATGAGAAATTAAAACAATATGGATTCGAAAATTGGAGTTGTGTGCAGAAAACTGGACAATTGTTTTCAATTAATTCGCTAAATGTCAAACTAAATTAACAAATAAGGAAAAATAATTTCAAATATATAAGAGACCGGCTAATGCTGTTGCTCGAATGCGGAAAATTGGCTAAATGCCAAAAAACTAAATTAAAACCTAGCTCAGACCAGTAAATCTACCATTTTATTTTTGCTCCAAGACCATTTCCGCTATTATTTGCATCTCTAGTGTGGTCGTCAAAAATAATAGTACATTGTTAAACAATCTTACTGACTTACTTACTTAGAGCCGTAAGCATTATTTAGTCCACTCAAGCCAAGAACCGAAAAGCCTGGAATGCTGTGATTCGCGAACGACGAACCCGACTCAGGCAAATCAAATAAAATATTTTAAGAATCAAATATTCAATAATAAAATCTAAAATATTTCGAGAAATTCTAAAGTTTATTGACACTTTCAAAAACTTATTGAGAATCGCTAAACTTAAAAATATTTTTTTAAATATTATAAGATTTTCTCAAATTTCTTGAGCAAATTCTAAATTATCTCAATAAATTTTAAAATCTTTTAATAATTTCTAAAGTTGATTGAGAAAATTCTAAAATATTATAGAGGCACGTTAGTTTCTCAATGAATCTCAAAATATTTTATTTGATTTGCCTGAGGAACAAGTGGCTAACAAAGCAATTTGAACAATATTATTCAAATAAATATTCTTATAAAATTTTTGTCCATATTTTCGCTTAATTCTCGTTTTTGTTGTCTTGTGAAAAGTTCAAAAATGTAAATGCTCAAAAACACGTGATATTGTTGTTTCTTATGTTTCTATTCCCAGATAATTTGTTTTTCTCTCACACATTATTTTTTCTGGTAGCAACGAACCATTGAACCTCGCTGCCTTTGATACACCGACACATTTCAAAATTTGTTTTTTTTTTTTCAAGCGCCCAGAATGTTTGAGTCAACATTTTATTGAAATAATACTATCAATATTTTCTAATGCTTTTAGCCTACTGGATTATTATTGTACATTTGTTTTGTGAAGAGTTACTTCCTGGAGGTGAATTTCAAAAAAATATGCTATAAAAATTAAAATTTTGCAAGAAAATAATGAGTACATTTTCCAATAGTTGTATAGTGAATTAATGGCTTCTGGAAATTAATGCAAAAAATTCGGAACACGGCGAGCACAATACTGAAGGCGAAGCAAAAGAATTTTGACAGAGTTGGAGTACATAGCCGGTGATCTTCGTTTTGATAATGAGCTGTTGGCTAGGATCGAGCGATTCAACAAATGCCGTCTGGAACCGGTACAAATCAGCGTAATTTTCTAATAACTTTGCAATAGACATCGACATATTGCGCGGATTGGTTGCCTCCAACGCTTTCAGTTGGGCCTCTGCCAAAATCTGAGCAGCCAATAAACTAGTCTCTGAAAAACGATTTTTGCTTATGTATTTCAAGTTTTGGTTGAAAACCTTCGTCTGCAGCTTTCGACAACCCATTGCTATTGTTTGACAATGTGTTTGACTGGAATGGTCTGAAAATAATTTTTTCGAATGGAATCCATCTATTCAATTCACGCACATATCATCATCACTTTGGTCCAAAAAAATCAGCGAATTATAATAAACAAATTGTGGCTCATAGTTTTGTGATCTCGCGAGCGCAATGATTACCAGCTCCTTTTCATTCGTATACTCGCGAACTAGTTGATTCCAAAGACACATCGCAGTTGTACCTGCACACAAACAACATTATTTTTTACACCTCGACCAATTATCACCATGAAATTTTCCTCTCGCTAAGAACGCGGAGCAATTTTGCTCAACTTCATCATAGGCTCTCTCCCGCCAACTTTTCAAAAAGTAGTTGGGATGCTTATTATTCCAAATGATTGGATAGGATCGAATATGATGTATAAATGTGAGAATGTGGGGGGTTTGATACTTCAAAATTTGTTCTTCGCTTTTTGTCCTCTACAAAAAATCTTTTCAAACCTTACTCCAATCGGCATTCCTGCTTGGCTTTTTCGGTCTCCCTCCGCGACGTTTCGGCGATTCGCTATGAACTGAACAACTGTCTGACGAATCGTCGATCGTCACTACTGCAAAAGTCACTGTCATTGAGCAGTCGAGATTTTTCAAAAACGCGCCTTCGACGTTTTTTGATTGTGGTTCGTATGACATGGCGACTGCTTGAACTATGTTAACAATCACATCGCTCACAACTGTGTTCACACTTTTTCCGTTATCATCGCTAATTGTTCTTTCAAAATATCTTGTGTGGCGGGCAACTTCTTCAACGACATCATGCACTGCGTTCGGTACTTCAAACGATTCCGGAAACATTGAATTTTCCAATCCTTCTTTTTTTGCCATTCCCAGAATCTGGTCTACACTCCATACGCTCGTTATGTTGCTGTTGGCCGCTGGCTCCTTTTGGGCCTTCTTTCTTCTTGTCATTGTTCTTCTCGATTGCACGTTTCCCAGCTCATTTGCTGCCGAATCAAATTTTCTTCTTCCGATTGGATCGTATTTCGGGCTCATTATAACTGCAAAAACAACATTTAAATATTATAATGAAAAAATGAATCGCTAATAATAAATGGCAATATCTAATAAAGTAAATGCTATCTGAGGTTGATATCATTGATTTTTAAACAAAATGGCAAAAAAAAAAACAAGTCTTTTGAATGAATACTGCGCAAAAATTATTTTTAGACACTGTCTTTTGTTGACATATTTCAGGTGATAATTTCAGAGTGTCTAACGTTTGGTTTTTTGGTAGACCACTTGCACTATGTATTCCCAATTATTTTTAACTGTTCCGCGTAGATTGCATATGTCTCGGAATCGTGGTGAGAATCAATAATTAAAAAAAAAACAAAGCCACCCATGGTGAAAACAAAAAAGAGAACGGACAATGTCATTAAAAAAAATCTGTGAAATATTACAAATATGGTTCTTTCTCTCATCTGTGGCCTTCTGCGGACATATCGAAGGTCATTATCACGCCTTCAACAGGTTACGGTAACAATTATTTCCGGCTAAAAATGTACTGGTAGCGATGCTAGAAATTGGTGATTCTAGAGATATTCATGCTTACATGACATGACTTTGAAATAATTCCAAAATTTATAGAACGACTGATTCAATGAATTGATAGAATTGAATTTTTTGAACGTTTGGTGATTAATGAAAGGAACAATTTTTCTTAGCTAGGAAAAGCAAATTTTATTCAGATCCTTTACTTGATTTACCAGAAAAAATAGCACACAATTAAAATTAGATCCTAAACAAGTGTTAATGATTTTCAGAACAATCACTAACAATTTTGAATTATCGTAACAAAAATCACGGCGGTCGAAAAATGGCCTACAATTGGCTCGTTGTTAAGAATGTCGAAACGTCGCAAAATAATCTTTTCATAAACCAAAAACATCGCTGAGTTTTTTTTGCGATGCCGCCCTCTTTCTACACTTGGTCATGTAAAAATGCAAATAGTGTACAGAATTTGGAGACCACTCCACCGTCTCTGGCCCGAAAGCGATATGATAGTTTATGCATTGATGAACACTGGCAATATCAGTTACAAGAAAAATTTCGGAGTAATGTTATAGAGTCAGTAAATATAGTAAAATATATTGCATGGGTATAAGTGTTTTTTTTTTAATAGTTATTCAGTTTTTCAATGGTCCAAATTTGACAAGCTTATGAATAAACTCATGAATTTTAGTTTCACATCGATTTTTTTAAGTTTCATGAAAACAAAACTGGAAGAAGAAATATCGGTTTTCGATTTCAACAATAGCCTTACAATTCGTTTGACATCAAAAGAAGAAATGCATTGTCACACACAGAAAAATTTCAATCGACGAAAATTCGAATGATAGAAGCATTTGAAAATCGATTTTGTTCGTTCGCTGTTTATAACTGTATGACAAAAACGACGGCAACAATAAAATAAACGCGGAACAAATGGATGAATTTGCCTCAGAGTGGGAAAAAATTGAATGAATGTGAAAGTGCACATGTCGAAAAAAAAAAGAATTTTATTATGATAAAAGTCATTACTTTAAGTTGAACAATTCAAAGAGTCATAGTCGCTTTTAGTTTGGCTCAACTGCGATAATGTTTTAGATATCTTCATATTCTCGCGTGTGTTATTCGAGATAAGCTCACGAAGAGTTAATTTTGCATTCTTTCAAAAACTGTTCAAGTTCATTTTAGAAACGTGTGAAAATGACAAACGCAGATTAGAAGATAAACAATTCACGTGAAAATAATGAGAAAATTCTTTATATGGCGCCATGGAGAAAGTCGTTTGTACAAAAATTCACCTGCTTACAGTAATCGCCGGATGCCGGTTTTATCTGCTTCTATTAATGCTTGTAAATGGTCTTTAATTCTCCAATGAGTTCTCTGAAATTCAAAATAACGGTGTAATAGAAATATGATGTCATGTATTTTTATAAAGTTCACAAAATGATGGAGAAAACAATTTGAGCCTTGGTGAGTCAGCTTAAATCTAAATAATATTTTTATAATCGAAAAAAGAGCCAAATCATGATTTTTCAATCAAAAAATGATAGACCGTATTTAATTGGTTAAAAATTAATCAATTTTCAGTCATTATTTTATTCAGAGTTGCTCGAACTTGCATAAAATTGTTAAATATGGTTTATGGCAAGGTATTGACATTTTCTATCTCGTTCACTTACCATATCATCTTATTCGGTTTCACAGAATAGAATCTGTCCTTGAGTGCAGAAAATTCTTTTTAACAAATTTTGACAAAAAATTTATTACGTTCCCTCTCGTTTTGATAAGAGACAATCAGATATCTTTTTAGCGGAAAAATGCATTGATGGTCTCATTCAATGATTTATGTGAACACATTATTAACGTATCAAGACGAATACCGTTTTTGATAGGACGAAGTCTAAAACTACCTGAAGAAGAAACACAAAACGATAAAATAACGAGGGATCGATTTCTTATTTTAATCAACGTTTCACAAAAAATGAGAATTAAGCCTAAACTCATTGTACTCTAAAAATCACGAGCATTGCAACAATTCGAAAACGTGGGTAGAATAAACGTGTTCAAGGTGTACAAATGCGAGTTTCTCAAGCTGCAAGGTTGTTCGTTGTCTATATGAAAATGCAAGTCATCTGTCATTGATTTCTTGGAAAGAAATAGTTGGATGCGAATTTAAAATGAGATATATAATATTGTTGGAAAATTTGAGGAAAATCGTAACTGGTATTTTCAAACGTATATAATTTTATAGTTATCTATTCTTGGCGCATTTTTTCTTGAAATAAAACAAAACAATATTACATTTTTATTTAAGTTTTTTTCCGTTAGATTTTTATGAATGTGTTTGATTTCATTAAAACTTCATATTATCAGACAGGAGTTTATTTAAATTCAAATTTTAAAATCTAGATAAGATTTCTTACTTTTATAAATACCTTGGCTGTATTTATTTTTATTTAAAAAAAAATTCTCCAGAATACATCACTGAATTTTTGCTTTAATTATAGGAATAATTTAGAACCACTTGAAGTAATTTAAAATATTCAAGGAGGCATAAAAAATTATACACTAATTAATTTTTTGCATACTAACTAAAGTTTTAATCATCTTAAATTTTGCAGATTATTTCATTTGCATTGCTGATCACATATTTTAAACATGTCTTCAAACTTTTCCCATTTTTCGAACTTAAAATTGTCGACCCCTCAAAATTGCCATTAATATCCTGACAATTGAATATGCAATATCCGTGCTCATTTGCATACGCGTATAAAACATATTATTATAGTCAATACATATTACATATTAGACTTCTTATTCCTTATTGCGGATTAATGTCCAAATCACCATGGTAACCATACGTTTCACGACGTATCTAATAATAATACTAACAATAATTATTGTTTTTGTAAACATAATTGTTTCTCATTATTTCGTTCCCGTTTTCAACCATTCCAATGAACACTGTTAGACTTGACGTTTTTTTCTTATCGCATCGCATCGCTTTCAGTTTTCTGTCGATTAGAGAAAAACTGCGTAACTTTCGATTTCATTTGAAAATGAATCGCCACATTGAAATCCAACAGTAATGTTGAGGAAAATGCGCTCTAAGGAACATGCGAACGCATGGCTCATAAAAAAAAACAACTGGTTTCACCTTTCATCGAAAGAGATTTTCCTGAGTTCCAAACATTTTTTGTTCAGAAATTTTAATACTTATGAATGGACACAATTTTTCGATATTTCTTTGAGAAAATATTTGGTTTAACAAAATTTACATAGACACTATCAATCTCGTTGATTACGAATATCGGCCTAAACCAGCGATGCATGTGCGCTCCACCGCACAACAAAAATTTTATTGTTTTTCAAAAAAAAATCGTCATTTCCATTTTCTCGTAAATTCTGCTTAATTTTAATCAAATTCCATTAGAAATTGTACAATATTCGTTGTTTCTTTTTTAATCGCAAAAAGAGTATTGTTTGCTTAACGTGTTTGTTTACATTTGTCGCATCGAATTAAAAACATTTTTTTCCGGAAAAAAGTCATTAGAATTCCAATGAAAAGTTTATCTTTTTCAATGCTTCATTTTATGTTAGTTTATGGGAATGCAACATTTTTTCTTCGAGTTGAACGATTTGCAAAACGTCTTAATTGCCATCTTATCTTTCATTTTTACTCGACAATGATTTGAACCAAGCGGATGACAATCATTTTTTAATTTTACTAAATTTTAGTGCTACCTATTAATGAAAATCTTCCTTTACTTTAAAAAAAATCTGAAAAATATATTTTTAAAATAACGAGAGCTGACACGCAAGAAAAGCAAAAAATTTTCTAGACATACTTATTTAAAAAAACGTTTCACTTATAGCGCTCGTCGTCAGTCGTCTGTCATCTAAACATATTTTCTTCTTTCAGATAATCTCGAAATTGAAAGATGACTACAGAAAACCCGCCGTCGACGAGTATCATTCCACCTGATTCCGATTCATCCGAGGAGCTCAAGAAGCCAGCGAAAACAATAGCGGGTTTGTTGCAGCGTGCTCGTAAGACTGTGATCGTGGCAGGCGCTGGTGTTTCAACGGTATGCGTCGAATCTTAATAACGATGAGTAGTGTGATTATTCAGGCCGCCAACATTCCAGATTTTCGCGGCCCCGATGGACTCTACAATAAGAATGTCGATCTTTCAAAAATGTAAAAACGCATTAGTGGGGAAGGAAAATGAAAAAAAAACCTTTTTTTTTTAGCAATATTGACTTTCGGACCCTAAACCCAACAAAGTCGCATTTGATTATCCGCGAGCTTCTTGACCGCGGTGTCATCGATTATTTGATTTCGCAAAACTGCGACGGACTTTTTCTGCGTGCCGGAGTGGCCCAAAATCGCATTTCCGAGATTCACGGAAACATGTACATCGAGTTCTGCTATAACTGTTTTCGACAAGTGATTCGTCCATATGATGTCTCTTTCAATAGCAAGTTCCGGTAAGTCGATATAATAGGCACCCCTCTACTGCATTGAACGTTGATAACATTCAAATGAGACTATCATAAAACGTATTTTATAAGCGTTCTGTGTCATCTAATGAGTCACGATGTTTGATTTCTTTAAAAAAAAGACAATTCCTTGTAAGAATGCATCTTTTAGGCAACATGAAACACCATCCGACTGTCCAAACTGTCGCCGAAAATTGAAAGATACCATCATTCACGAAGGAGAGAAGACGACAAATTTGTATCCGCACAATTTTCAACGGGCCGCTGATTCTGCTTCAAGCTGTGATCTCATGATATTTATTGGAACAAGTGGTGTGGTCATAAAAGAGTACAAACAATTATATAATGTGTCGGCTGAAGTAATCCTCTTTCGACGCACATCATTTTTTTAATTACGGTATTCAGAAAGTTATTATAAATGACGGTCCAACACCGATCGATAATGATAGCAAGTATGTTGTGCGAGGAAAATGCGATGATGTATTCACCGAAATTTTGAAGGAGCTCAACTTGGACGGCCTCGATGAATCGATGTTGAAATATTGCGGGTATTTGAAAAATTATATTTCAAATTTTAATTTTTTTTTCAGACACTGCGATCCAGTTCTCAATCAACCGAAAGGTTCGCGTAAACTTGACTTTCTTGGTTCTTTCACTCGTTGTACTTGTGCCGAGAGACCTCCCAAGAATATGTTGGTCATCAATCCATCGACAGCCAGATACGGAATTCCGGCTTGGATGATGAACAGCATTAAACGTAGAAAGACGATTGAAAGTAGTGAGATGAGAGGTTATTGTTCGCATGTCAACTGTGATATAATCATGAATCGTTTAGAATGCGAAAGCGAGGAAAGTAGTCATGATTCTGATGACTCTGATTTTACACCGGACAAAGAAAAGAAATCACAAGGTGCTGATGTGAAAGGAAAACGAGTAAACTCAAGCAACAAGCGAGCGTATCGTAAGAAGACAGTGAATAGTGGAAATACTCCAACAAGCAGCACTTCAAAACCAGCATCGGTATGTAGTTTCAAATTTGCACTAAATCAAATAGTTTATTCAGATTTTGTCTCGTCGTGGACGCCCAAGAAAACATTTCGCAAATAGTAGTGATTTGTCTGATGGCACTTATGGCTCAGTGGAATCGACGTCACATGAAACTACACCGGAAGTTGCTGTACGCAATTCAATTCAAGACAGCTCCGACCAAGTTGCTGAACAATATATTCGAGTTGATGTCGAAAATTCAATCGATGTTGTCCAACAAAACAAAGCCTATTTGGTTGCCGTCAACGACATCGAGGTCTCTTCGGAAGTTACCATCCAAGTTGCTACTGAGAATGCCGTCCCAGTGACTGCAGAAATCCCAATCGACGTTGATATCAAAGAAAAGTTGGAGCAATCAATTTCCCCAAACGGTGAGACATGTGTACAACAGAAATGCTCAACACCAAAGAGTAATGTTCTCCAGCTTCACGTGTAAATCCAAAATTTCATAGTTCTCAATTTTGAAATGTTTCTTATTTATTTCGACCATTAGGTATTATTATTATAAATGCATCGACTAATCCTTTTTACATTAATGGGGGATGCGGCTAATTCGTACTAATCAGATGCTGATTCCGATTAATTGTATTAGCACTAGTTCTCACCAAAAAATCACAATTGTGTTGTTTTATTCGTTGCTTTAAAGAGACTTCGTCGCCTATGGAAAATCTTGCTCGTCGAGCTCTGATACTTGGAAGCTTTTGTTTCGCCGATGATTGAAAACCAGTCGCCTACTTCCATATTCGCAGAATTCAACACATATATCCGTACCCTATATTTAGCATCTCGAATGTGCCTGCTCGTGACAGGCCTCATTACACTTCGCCCAATTTTGGCAATAAGCAGAGCGCCGCCCCCAAATGTGCAGAGCGTATTGGAGAAAACAAGCAACCAGCGAGCGACACCTCACCGTGGGCGAACGGCGCACGTTCACACTTTCGAGCGCACACTTTGTCGTGTTGCCTATGCGGCCGGCGCCGACCCGGCAGCACCTTTATCGTTTGGGTCTCTTCATTTTTCAAATTGGACGCGTTCGTCTCGCGCTCGACAACATTTACAAATTCGCTCGCACAGGGCGGCCCGCTGCGACGATGCGCCAGACAACAAGCCGCCCGCTCTCTGTGCAGGCGCGCAGCCCAACGTCGAAAATCGATTGGAATTGCTGTTCTGGGGTTAACAACAAATCTTTTTGTTTGCCGCTTTCTATATGTTCTCACAAGAACTATGAATGTCTTCACTAAGCAACGTGTGCAGAAAAAATAAAACACCCGCCGGTGCGTTGGCCAAAGTCGGCAGACGACCAGACACAAGAGGGGCTGGACATAAACAGGCACCACCTCTTCACAATATCGTCGATATCGAGCGAATTTTGCATTTTCTTTTCTACCTCTCGCGCCGCTTCACCACTTTTTTACATTAGACTTTTCGCTCCTTTTTTGGATGGCTGAGCATAACTCTCCATTTTTTATATATTCTTTGAAATTAGTAATAATAATAGCAATAATTCTTCAGCCACCAGCGGACGCATTATGAGCTCTGATAACGAAGTTGTTGTTGCGAACGATTCGACCTTGGGGAATTCGGGTACGCGAAAAACAATCGCCTTGATAAATGAGCCCAATAATATTTTAGATGAAAATGTGGAACAATTAGCTGTCATTGCTGTTCAACCTGAAGTGCCAAACAATCAGCAGGATGAATTATCGGGAAACGTGCTCGGACTTGGTGAAAGCTCCCCGAGAAATCTTGGGTTGAATGTGACTCGCCCAGATGGAGATATCGATGACCATGGCGAGTCTGTTAACAACTCCGGCGCTCTGAATCCTAGTCAACGTCTTGATGAAACCATTGACAATGTGGTAGCGGACTCTCGCAATTGGCTTGGCCGTGCTGATCCGGAAATTGAAGCAACAAACGTTGACGCTTCTGGATCGCCATTGGCTGCTGAGAGACCGCGCCTCGGCGAAGAAGATACTGAATGTTGGTTTATTCTAAATAATTCAGTGTGTTTACGATATTTTCAGTGTCAAGAGAAAATCCAGCTTCCTCTCCGTTATTTCGGGATGTGCAGTTAGTTTCAGCCGCTGAGTCGTCACCGTCAACGTCTGGTTTTAACATTTACAGAGGACTATTCATACCACCAAATGGTTCCAGTAATGTCACTTTTGTTATGATGGTGAGATATCAAATTGTGGCTGGAAATTGAGACTGCAAATATTCCACCTGCTTTCTGCTTTCAATGTGATTAATTATTTTCAGGTTCCCGCGAGCCCTAATGCAGATTCTTCGCAACCTGAAAATTTGCCAAACCCCGATGCTGAGTCTGATCAGCCGATACAAGAAAATTCTCAATCTCATTCCCATGATGATCGAGAGATGGCGGAGAACCATCTTCAAAACTCCCAAAACGATCCTACTGAAGATATGCCAGCAAACTCTTCACAAAACGGCCAAGAAGAGCCTAGCGGTGAGACGCCATCGATACCTCTGCAGAATTCAGAAGAAGGCCCTACAATCGAGATGTCAGAGCAAGTTTTGCTGAATTACCGTGAAGACCCAGAGAATTCTCCACTAAACCACCGAGAAGAACCGGCGATCGCTGTAAACACTTTTCTAAACTATCGCGAGGAGCCTATGCCAGAAGTGCTAGTGGATCCCAGTCTCCCGGACTACGATGAGGAGCTCGTTCGAGGGCTGTCGATGGATTCTTATCCAGAAGATGATAAAGAGCTTATTCGAAGGCTGCCGATGCATTCCGTTCTAAACTACGATGATGAGTCAAATGATACGATGCCAACAAGTTCATTGCAAAACTACCGAGAAGAGCCCAGTCGCGTGGTATCAGTGAGCGCTTTGTTGAACAACCAAAACGGGATGCCATCGAGTGATATGATCTGCTATCGAGCACAGCCAATACAGGAAAATGGTGATCTACCAATTGACGACAATTCGGCTCCTCTCGCAAATGAACCCGGCGTTCCGCTTTGTCTTCTTAGATCAAATCATCGATTCAAATTTTTGCCAAGAGCCCTCATGAAGCCAAATCCTTTCTCATTGCTAGCCCGCGAACTAGCCAATGTACAACGAGATGAGCAACAAGAATTTCCAAAATTTTCGCCACCGACGGAACCATTACGTCCGGTTTATCCGAAGACGTCGATATACTCTCATTCAAAAGGAAGTTATCGAATGACTTCAGCAGGCGTCGTTGATCCAGCACCAACTGTGGCACCGACATCAAACGTGGAGCCGTCGCCAGCCGATGAGCCAACGCCGGCTGCGGAAGAGCCAACTAATGAGCCTTTTGATGCCATTCCACGTATTCACCAAGGCGCATTGTTACTCTTGGTGGATGAAGTAATTCGAGAAAATGGGTCAGTCAGTCCAAGGGAGCTGTATCTTCGTTATTTTCGCATTTTCCACACTCGCCGTGATCTCGATGAGCAAGCTATGACCCAAGGTTAGTGATTTTGATTTGAAGCAATATACAAGCATAAACCGAAAATCAAATTCCGTCAAAATGCTGGATCATTTCAGGTGAAGATCCGCAAAGTCTTAGAATAATGCTATCAAGGACATTCGAAATAATTGTCTCGAATATGATAGAAGTCCAGAGGAATAGAAATTCGTTACGTTCGGAAGATGAACAAACCAGTTATCCGTTCCTTGAAGAGCTACAAGTTCCACAAGCTGTGGTAAATCAAATGAGACGATCAGCTGCGTCACCAATGCAAGCACCACCGGATCATGAATTGCACTACATTCCAAGAAATGTTGGAGCCGTATACATTCTGAGACAGGGCTTGATTCTAGAAGGCGCTCCTGACGACGACGGGGACGACGACAGCAGTGATAGCGATAGTGATGACAGCGGTAGTGAAGGAGAGTATGATTACATTAATCTTTGGGAATGGAGCCGCTACAACGAGCCAAGACCGAATCTTTTCGGACCAGGACATTCACCATTTCAATTTGACAACGAAAGCTATGAAGATGATGATGAGGATCAAGAAATGGAGCATGACAGAAGCGGCGAGCACGAAGCACAGAATAATCAAGAGACTCAAGAAGATCAAGTCAATCAAGAAAATCACGACGTGCAAATGAATCCAATCGAGGAACTGAATCAAATGAATGACAATGAAGGGGATGAAAACCTAGATGAAGAGGATGAATCAATGGAAGTCGGAGAAGTGCTAGAAGCGAGCAACAGTGAAGGATCCAATATTGACACAACGGTGAACTGCGCACGCGTGCGTCCAATGACAGATGCTCAAAAATTAAACATGTTGCGAAAATGGATTCGTAAAGTGATTAATGGAAGTCGACAAATAGGAACAAGTAATTCTATAAACAATATAGCATGTTTAAAAAATGTTTATTAAGCAATCAACATGAGAAATTTCCCCATCATGTTCCTAGATGGTGCAGATAACGCACCTGCCGAAGATCTTGCTCACTATGAAAGCGTTATGAAGTATGCATCATGCATCACATTTTATTTATATGTATGCATTTTCAGTCAAGTTTTTTCGAAGCTTCAAACCATTTCAAGATGTTGGACGGTGCCAGTGTTTGAGCAATTTAAGAGAAATTATGAAATTCGTTGCGGTTGCTACATGGAGCATATGACATTGGATGACCTTGTTGATATGGCCGTTTCCTACAAAAGGTTGATAGAATCTGACAAAAAAAATAATATCTAATAATTTTTCTATTTCAGAGATCTTGATATGGTGGGATATTACGGCCAGTCACTCACTAATGAACAATTGTTTGCGAGATTTGCAAATTATCAATCCTAAGCTGTATTTTTTACAAATTCATTCATTGTATTTTTTTTTTTGATTTGTAACGTACCAATGCTTATACGTATCGAATTTTCTTCTTACTGTAATTTTTGATTGATATTCATGTCATTATAGTACCCCATCTTCATAATACACTTGTGAGCTACCATTTCCCTTTCTGATGGATGATCCTCCATATCTTCCCAATAATGAGTGATCTCGAAAATTGAAACGTTCTTGCCTACTTTTGTCTCATTACATCTGGAAAATTTCATTTTACATATTTTATTGAACATTATATTCTACTTATTTGTTGGCGACCTATTGGATTTTAGTAAATATTTTTTCTGTGTGAACGAGTAATTCAATCCTGTCGTTGTGCTTTTTAGAAATACGAATCGAGGAGAAATTTTCATTTATTTAATTAATTCTATAAAAATTCAAAGGTCAATTGCTCTGGTCTCATCATCTTCGCAGGAGCAGCTAAGAAGACGTCGTTTTTCAGGAGCGTAAAGAAGTCTGAAAGTTGTTTTTGAAATTTTCAAGATTTTGAAAATATTATTCATACCTGTATAACATGGAAGCAAAAAGACTTGACATTGTTGGTCCTAGCCAGAAGACGAAATGATCATTGAATTCTTGGACTTCCGGATATTCTTGTACTCCGTGAAAGGCGCGACTCAATGCAATAGCAGTTGCCATCAACGAATTCCATCCGACCGTCGACTGAAGCAAACTGAAAAGAAAATTCTCAAGGAGTGCATCCGAATATGCAAAAAATTGTTACCTTATGAAGGATGAAAGAGAAATTGACGATAGGAGAGCGACTGAGTTTTTTTTCAATTTTCCGATCCTCAACGAATGCTTGGTTGACGACTCGTGGCACAATACATGAGACATCACAACCATAATAGTGCCAATAAATTGAGCAATCACCTAAAGCGTTTCAAATCAAATAGCTAATTACAGAGAGTGTCTAACCAATTTATAAACTGCACTTGATGCTTTGTCATTAATATCACTTGTTAGAACAGGTGCGCCAGGAAGTTTTGATGAATGAATTACCTATACATCATAAATAATTTTCAGAGAAATGCAGTTCTAAACGTGCCGAAAACGCGTGAACTGCTAATATTGAAGCAGATATTTGAATAATAAATAAAAACACGCAAATGTACCAAGAAGTTGTAAGGCAGAATAAATGGGCCAAAGTGATAGCAGGATTCAAGTGTATTCTAAACAAAATGAAGATGATTGTTTTTTTGCTAATAGTCACTCACGTTCTAAATGCTGATATAAATACTGATGCTGCAATTGCGTCACCAACAGATAGAAGAATTATTTTGTGAAAATGAAGGACGTGCCTTTCAGACAATTCACAATCAGTGTTGAGCGATAGGAAAATAGTGAGAAACACCTGAAATTGATACGCTAAATGGACCATAGTCCGCTATACTAAACCGCCAAAAATTCTGCGGCACATGGTCGTAGGACATTGTCAAGAAATGACTGACAAGATGTAGATGATGATCCCTACAATTGTTTTGTTAAGATGACAACATTGGCCAAACCTCGCTTGCAAATGAATGGCCATGCGGAATTGAATGTGGACGAGCGGAGCCGTTCTTAAATGTAATTGAAATTGATTGACAAGATTTTGAAATTATTAATATGGAAAAAATGAATGATTACAAATTTAGAATTCAATTGAGCTAACCTTGCTTGCTAGAATTCCGCCGTTTTGTGTTCCATAGGGATTCCTTGAATAGGTTTCATATCCCGTTGCCTCCATTTCATCATTATAATACTGCGACAAGTGCATAGAAAAATGAACTGAAAGGATATGAATTGAGGAAAG